TTTTGCCACTTACAACTTGTTACTGGGAAAGTTTGTGTTTTTGCCACTTACAACTTGTTACTGGGAAAGTTTGTGTTTTTGCCACTTACAACTTGTTACTGGGAATGTTTGTGTTATTGCCACTTACAACTTGTTACTGGGAAAGTTTGTGTTTTTGCCACTTACAACTTGTTACTGGGAAAGTTTGTGTATTTGCCACTTACAACTTGTTACTGGGAAAGTTTGTGTTATTGCCACTTACAACTTGTTACTGGGAAAGTTTGTGTTTTTGCCACTTACAACTTGTTACTGGGAAAGTTTGTGTTTTTGCCACTTACAACTTGTTACTGGGAAAGTTTGTGTTTTTGCCACTTACAACTTGTTACTGGGAATGTTTGTGTTATTGCCACTTACAACTTGTTACTGGGAAAGTTTGTGTTTTTGCCACTTACAACTTGTTACTGGGAAAGTTTGTGTTTTTGCCACTTACAACTTGTTACTGGGAAAGTTTGTGTTTTTGCCACTTACAACTTGTTACTGGGAAAGTTTGTGTTATTGCCACTTACAACTTGTTACTGGGAAAGTTTGTGTTTTTGCCACTTACAACTTGTTACTGGGAAAGTTTGTGTTTTTGCCACTTACAACTTGTTACTGGGAAAGTTTGTGTTTTTGCCACTTACAACTTGTTACTGGGAAAGTTTGTGTTATTGCCACTTACAACTTGTTACTGGGAAAGTTTGTGTTTTTGCCACTTACAACTTGTTACTGGGAAAGTTTGTGTTTTTGCCACTTACAACTTGTTACTGGGAAAGTTTGTGTATTTGCCACTTACAACTTGTTACTGGGAAAGTTTGTGTTATTGCCACTTACAACTTGTTACTGGGAAAGTTTGTGTTTTTGCCACTTACAACTTGTTACTGGGAAAGTTTGTGTTTTTGCCACTTACAACTTATTACTGGGAAAGTTTGTGTTATTGCCACTTACAACTTGTTACTGGGAATGTTTGTGTTTTTGCCACTTACAACTTGTTACTGGGAAAGTTTGTGTTATTGCCACTTACAACTTGTTACTGGGAAAGATTGTGTTTTAACCACTTACAATTTGTTACTAAGAAAGTTTGTGTTTTTGCCACTTACAACTTGTTACTGGGAAAGTTTGTGTTTTTGCCACTTACAACTTATTACTGGGAAAGTTTGTGTTATTGCCACTTACAACTTGTTACTGGGAATGTTTGTGTTTTTGCCACTTACAACTTGTTACTGGGAAAGTTTGTGTTTTGCCACTTACAACTTGTTACTGGGAAAGTTTGTGTTTTTGCCACTTACAACTTGTTACTGGGAAAGTTTGTGTTTTTGCCACTTACAACTTGTTACTGGGAAAGTTTGTGTTTTTGCCACTTACAACTTGTTACTGGGAAAGTTTGTGTTTTTGCCACTTACAACTTGTTACTGGGAATGTTTGTGTTATTGCCACTTACAACTTGTTACTGGGAAAGTTTGTGTTTTTGCCACTTACAACTTGTTACTGGGAAAGTTTGTGTTTTTGCCACTTACAACTTGTTACTGGGAAAGTTTGTGTTTTTGCCACTTACAACTTGTTACTGGGAAAGTTTGTGTTATTGCCACTTACAACTTGTTACTGGGAAAGTTTGTGTTTTTGCCACTTACAACTTGTTACTGGGAAAGTTTGTGTTTTTGCCACTTACAACTTGTTACTGGGAAAGTTTGTGTTTTTGCCACTTACAACTTGTTACTGGGAAAGTTTGTGTTATTGCCACTTACAACTTGTTACTGGGAAAGTTTGTGTTTTTGCCACTTACAACTTGTTACTGGGAAAGTTTGTGTTTTTGCCACTTACAACTTGTTACTGGGAAAGTTTGTGTATTTGCCACTTACAACTTGTTACTGGGAAAGTTTGTGTTATTGCCACTTACAACTTGTTACTGGGAAAGTTTGTGTTTTTGCCACTTACAACTTGTTACTGGGAAAGTTTGTGTTTTTGCCACTTACAACTTATTACTGGGAAAGTTTGTGTTATTGCCACTTACAACTTGTTACTGGGAATGTTTGTGTTTTTGCCACTTACAACTTGTTACTGGGAAAGTTTGTGTTTTGCCACTTACAACTTGTTACTGGGAAAGTTTGTGTTTTTGCCACTTACAACTTGTTACTGGGAAAGTTTGTGTTTTTGCCACTTACAACTTGTTACTGGGAAAGTTTGTGTTTTTGCCACTTACAACTTGTTACTGGGAAAGTTTGTGTTTTTGCCACTTACAACTTGTTACTGGGAATGTTTGTGTTATTGCCACTTACAACTTGTTACTGGGAAAGTTTGTGTTTTTGCCACTTACAACTTGTTACTGGGAAAGTTTGTGTTTTTGCCACTTACAACTTGTTACTGGGAAAGTTTGTGTTTTTGCCACTTACAACTTGTTACTGGGAAAGTTTGTGTATTTGCCACTTACAACTTGTTACTGGGAAAGTTTGTGTTATTGCCACTTACAACTTGTTACTGGGAAAGTTTGTGTTTTTGCCACTTACAACTTGTTACTGGGAAAGTTTGTGTTTTTGCCACTTACAATTTGTTACTGGGAAAGTTTGTGTTTTTGCCACTTACAACTTGTTACTGGGAAAGTTTGTGTTATTGCCACTTACAACTTGTTACTGGGAAAGTTTGTGTTTTTGCCACTTACAATTTGTTACTGGGAAAGTTTGTGTTTTGCCACTTACAACTTGTTACTGGGAAAGTTTGTGTTTTGGCCACTTACAATTTGTTACTGGGAAAGTTTGTGTTTTGGCCACTTACAATTTGTTACTGGGAAAGTTTGTGTTTTGCCACTTACAATTTGTTACTGGGAAAGTTTGTGTTTTGCCACTTACAACTTGTTACTGGGAAAGTTTGTGTTTTGGCCACTTACAACCTGTTCCAACATAGAGATCTGGTCTATGTTTGTTACTAGCTAGAGGGCCAATCTGTGTGGATGTGGTGTGAGTGGGAAACTAAGTCTGATGATGGCTGATGGAACGGTGACCTCAGCTGTTTCTAGCGGGGATTTTATCCACCCACCGCAAGTTTCTGATCAAGAGAAATTATCAGCCCATGTATAGCCCCCCCCCCCCTCCCGCTCCTCATCTTCGTCAATGTTCACTTAACATATTCATATACATATTCATATATATATATATATATATATATATATATATATATATATATATATATATATATATATATATATATATATTACACAAACTAAACATGGATTCGTTGTATCAGGTTAACTATATAAACTAACACAAACTAACATGTATCAAGTAAACTATATAAACTCATCACAAATTAAACATGTATCTCGTAAACTCAGTCCACGTATGGATCTAACGGCCACGCTCGCAGATGGCGTCACATTGATCACGTGGACAATACGGATGTATCAATTAGCCTGACGGGATCGCACTTTCAGGACCAGGTTCCGGTAGGGGAGATAATGTCCCATCCATCATGCTGACGTCATCGCTCCAGTTGATTCACTTATTTATTTCTTTACTTCTGTTCTGCTTCCATACTGCTGGTCAGTGTTCAGGGCGGGGGAAGATGTGGGGGCAGGAGGGGGGGGGGGGCTTTATAGCTGTCCAAAGAGAAATCAAGTTCCACAAATCTTAAGCTGGGATCCATCCGGCACACACCAGACCAGGGCGACCTAAATAAATAATTACCGACATCAAAGACAGCCGGCTCATAAATCACTTTGAGGCTCATTGTTTATATATGTTTGCTCCACAGCTTTAGCGGTATAATCCAACAGCTTTGAAGCTTACTGTTCGGGATTGTAATGTAATACAGTCTTAGCAGTATAAAACTAGTAGCTAGGGGTGCAGTCAACGTCGGCTGTATGATATTTATTATTTAGAGACAGCGTACAATACTCATGTCGTCTAAATACTAACGCTTGTTAAACAGTCGTTTGGCTGCCGGCAGTTATTGAATGTTGCCGGCAGCAACTTATTGGTGCCGGCAGTTACTGATTGAAACCGGCAGTTTTTGCTCGAGGCCGGGCGTTTTTTGATTGGTGCCGGCAGTTGTTAATTGTTGCAGGCAGTGATAGATTTATGCCGGCAGTTATAGATTAAAGCCGGTCTGAATCCCAACAGCTATTTATTGATCTTGACCTGTTGCCGGCAGTTATCGATTGATGGCGACAGGTCATAATTACTTAGTAACAACGTGAATAATTAAAAATGGTCAAGTTATAACTGTCTCATCAACTTTATCGTGGCAATGGTGATCATGCTATAGACTAGTGGTCAGTCAGTCTAATACGGTAACATGGCATAGACTAGTGTGTGGTCAGTCTAATACGGTAACATGCCATAGACTAGTGGTCAGTCTAATACAGTAACATGCCATAGACTAGTGTGTGGTCAGTCAGTCTAATACGGTAACATCGCATAGACTAGTGGTAGCCCAGTCTAATACGTCAACATGCCATAGACTAGTGGTCAGTCTAATACGGCAACATGCCATAGACTAGTGGTAGGCCAGTCTAATTCGGCGTGTTCAGAGTTTAATTCTAATCCCCTAAAAACTTCAAACTTAACTTTAATTGATCTTGTAAAACTTTGATTTTATAAGTAAAATAGAAGTTTCTCGATGGGAGAAGGATGGGACGGATAAGCCGCGATGTCTTATCTGAGGCCGTTTGTCATGGAACCACTTCTACAAATAGAGGCCCAAGAATTACATGCTATCGAGCGACATAAAATCCATCTCTTTCAATGTAATTCAAAGGTAACGAAATATTCAATGTAAGCACAATATATATGAAAGAAAATATATTACGGTGTATCGATTTAACGATAATACCTATACTCAGTAGACCGATCGGAATATTGTGGCAATCTATGAGCGGTGTTCTAAGAATAGACATAATAAAACCGATCCCCCCCTCTTACTCTGGAGACGATGATGTAACGAAGAGCATACAGCGCCCTGGTGTAATGTTTGCACGTACCGTGTTTTCTCAGAGCACGGCCCAGCACCAGTGTGAGATGTGTGAGCTTAGTAAAGTGCGAGAACACTCCGAGTCGATGTCTAGGTGAGCACACTACCGCCCCTGTCTGCGTGTACGGCGTCACCTACAGACCAGTCACGTGAGTACTGCTTGCTTCTCTCGTGTACACACTCACCACTGTCACCTACACACCCTGGACTACACACTGACAGGCTACACAGGTAATTAGTCTAAGATTGGCCGTGCTCCAGGTGTGAACACGGTGTGTAGAATACCTGACACGGCACGGAGAAGTGTGACTTCTAAGATAATGAACTCACATGCGATCCAAAATGGCGTAACATACCTGCGACTTTTTGTTTGATTTACTAGTGTATTGACAAGTTTCTTATATGTTATCAAGTTAGTAATGAGTCTAAAGTTTCTTATTAAACTAGCTGTTACCCTACTGTTAGCTCCAGATTAACTCTCACGCGCATCTGTTAGCTCAATATTAACTCACACGTGCATCTGTGAGCAGGTAGAGCCGGTTGAGAATTTGGCCCAAGTTAGGTCGTGTCAAATATTTGTTTGCAGAAATAAATTTTTAACACGATAAATCATAAGGGTGAGTGCTCAATTTTTTCCCGTTCAGGATATTCTCTTCTGTCACTAAACAACGCAGTACCTCAATATTACCTTAATTCACTAAACAACGAGGTACCTTAAGTACGTCTACAGCCACCCCTATTCAGTGAATGTTGTGCTAGATTGTTCTATAATGACGATCTTTAAAAAGTAAAGCCGTTTGTCTACTATGCAATAAGAAATCAACGTTGTAGTTATTTTATTTCAAGGAATATACAAGCCATACTATCACTATACGACATGTGATAACTATTATTAGAATTACTTGAAAAATTAGATGTTATGGTAACATCCGTTTGAAATGCTTCGGGGTACTTAAGGTAGCGAGGATGTGTGCGCGTGTGTGTGGAGCGGGGTGGGAAGCCTATTAGAAGTGGATTCAAACCCCAACCCACCCTATCACAAGCAAATCTCAACCCATCTGCCACTTAAAGTTTCCGTCTGCAGATGGGACTGACATGAGTTCAGACACACCGCGAAATGTTATCGTGTGTACTGTGTAGATCTGCGTCCTGCTTCATTTACCCGTTTTTTTTTTCTACACAGAAAGGATTTTTTAAATTAGATAACTATGTGAATTAGCACACATTTTTATTATTCAAGACTTCAAATTGATGTTTGTAATGTAGCAACAAGAATTGAAATGGATGTTTGTAATTTAGCAACAAGAATTCAAATGGATGTTTGTAATGTAGCAACATTGTATTTTCGCTGAATTGAAGGAACACGCGTATAAACAAAGGTGTGTATAGGTAAATAAATGATCACGTGGGTAGCCTAGGGGTCAGAGGGGCGTGGCTTCTAGATCGAAATGTTTCCTACGTTTTGTGTATAGGATTCAAATTTCGTAAACATATCACCCGCCCCCACTCCAGATAAAGCACTAGGGGGCTAAAACGTAGGCAATTATTTATACAGTTTGAACAGCATTTAATCTGTAAGGCTGTACACAATTCTAAGAAAAAACAAATGAAGAAGGTTAGAAATTCAGCTTTGTTTTGTTCTGTCATACAGTTAAACCCGTACACTTCCTCTATTGTGAGCCGGTTAAACACCGTAGTTTTGTCATCTAGTTAAACACCTACTTCCTCTATTGTGCGCCGATTAAACACGTACACTTTCTCTACTGTGAGCCGGTTAAACACCGTAGTTTTGTCATCTGTTTAAACACCTACTTCCTCTATTGTTAGCCGGTTAAACACCGTAGTTTTGTCATCTGTTTAAACACCTACTTCCTCTATTGTGAGCCGGTTAAACACCGTAGTTTTGTCATCTGGTTAAACACGTACTTCCAGTGGCGTAGCCAGGATCGTCTCAAGGGGGGGGGGGTCCAATTTTTATCCGGGGACAAACTTTCGATTTGCACCCCCCCCCACCCCTCAAACTTTCGATTTGCACCCCCCCCCCCTCATACTATATATATATATATACCGAGGGGTCTATGGGGGGGGGGGTTATGACCCCCTCCCTAACCCCCCCTGCCTACGCCACTGCGTACTTCCTCTATTGTGAGCCGGTTAAACACCGTAGTTTTGTCATCTGTTTAAACACTTACTTCCTTTATTGTGAGCCGGTTAAACACCGTAGTTTTGTCATCTGTTTAAACACTTACTTCCTCTATTGTGAGCCGATTAAAAACCTTTCGTTTGCAGCATTGTTGACAGCCCGATAGGGTAGGGGTAGGCGAGCTAAATTGATAGAAAGGTCAAAGAGCGAATATGCATCTCTTGCGTCTTAGGGGAATTCTTTCCACACAGGAAAACACTGCGGCGCTTCTTACCGGCTTTTATCGTTGGAGTGCTGCACATACAGAGTGGGGAGGGGGGGGGGTGGAGTGCTGCATATACAGAGGGGGGTGGAGTGCTGCACATACAGATTGCAGTGTTCTCAGTGTTTTAAAGGCATCTGACCGGGGTGTTCCATCCTCCCCAGAGCATCCACCCCCACCGGACAGAAGAGAAAAAAATATGGGTAGAAAATATAATACTCTAACCAGTCTACACCCCGGAAGTTTCAAGTGCCCTCCCCCACACTCGGAGATAAATATCTGAAAGAAACCTTGTTCTCTAAAAATCCTAGTCGAGGCTGCGATATGATTAAAGTCAAACATCTACAATAGTCGAGGCTGCGATACGATAAAAGTCAAACATCTACAATAGTCAAGGCTGCGATACGATAAAAGTCAAACATCTACAATAGTCAAGGCTGCGATACGATAAAAGTCAAACATCTACAATAGTCAAGGCTGCGATACGATAAAAGTCAAACATCTACAATAGTCAAGGCTGCGATACGATAAAAGTCAAACATCTACAATAGTCAAGGCTGCGATACGATAAAAGTCAAACATCTACAATAGTCAAGGCTGCGATACGATAAAAGTCAAACATCTACAATAGTCAAGGCTGTGATATGATTAAAGTCAAACATCTACAATAGTCAAGGCTGTGATATGATTAAAGTCAAACAGATCTACCAATGGCCTTTCAGACCGTGTGTCCCTGTATGTGGTAGATGTCAATGACCAAGCTAGATAATTATAACAACCCATTCCGATTTTATTTTCGTTGCTTAAAAAAATGGCTCCACTACAGATGGAATTATAATACGACTATATATGGCTACATATGTATGGCTACATCTGTATGGCTACCCTTGTATGGCTACATCTGTATGGCTACATCTGTATGGCTACCCTTGTATGGCTACATCTGTCGCTACATCTGTATGGCTACCCTTGTATGGCTACATCTGTATGGCTACATCTGTATGGCTACATCTGTATGGCTACCCTTGTATGGCTACCCTTGTATGGCTACATCTGTATGGCTACATCTGTATGGCTACATCTGTATGGCTACCCTTGTATGGCTACATCTGTATGGCTACATCTGTATGGCTACCCTTGTATGGCTACATCTGTATGGCTACCTATGTATGGCTACCTATGTATGGCTACATCTGTATGGCTACATCTGTATGGCTACATCTGTATGGCTACATCTGTATGGCTACATCTGTATGGCTACACCTACATGGCTACATCTGTATGGCTACATCTGTATGGCTACATCTGTATGGCTACCTATGTATGGCTACATCTGTATGGCTACATCTGTATGGCTACATCTGTATGGCTACATCTGTATGGCTACCTATGTATGGCTACATCTGTATGGCTACATCTGTATGGCTACATCTGTATGGCTACATCTGTATGGCTACATCTGTATGGCTACATCTGTATGGCTACATCTGTATGGCTACATCTGTATGGCTACATCTGTATGGCTACACCTGTATGGCTACACCTGTATGGCTACATCTGTATGGCTACATCTGTATAGCTACATCTGTATGGCTACATCTGTATGGCTACATCTGTATGGCTACATCTGTATGGCTACATCTGTATAGCTACATCTGTATGGCTACATCTGTATGGCTACATCTGTATGGCTACATCTGTATGGCTACACCTGTATCGCTACATCTGTATGGCTACATCTGTATGGCTACATCTGTATGTCAGTGACAATATAACCCGACTGGATTAATTGGCCGAACAACTTGTCTTATTGGACACAAAACAGTGTGGGCAAAGGCCGCTGTACTGTATACGTAATGTGGCATCGTTGGTATTTTTTCTCTCTGAACTGGTAGAGTAGGTCACTTAGGCGAGGGCTGGGGTAGAGTAGGTCAACTATTACTAACTGGTGGAGGGTGTAGGTCAACTATTACTAACTGGTGGAGGGTGTAGGTCAACTATTACCAACTGGTGGAGGGTGTAGGTCAACTATTACCAACTGGTGGAGGGTGTAGGTCAACTATTACCAACTGGTGGAGGGTGTAGGTCAACTATTACCAACTGGTGGAGGGTGTAGGTCAACTATTACCAACTGGTGGAGGGTGTAGGTCAACTATTACCAACTGGTGGAGGGTGTAGGTCAACTATTACCAACTGGTGGAGGGTGTAGGTCAACTATGACCAACTGGTGGAGGGTGTAGGTCAACTATGACCAACTGGTGGAGGGTGTAGGTCAACTATGACCAACTGGTGGAGGGTGTAGGTCAACTATTACCAACTGGTGGAGGGTGTAGGTCAACTATTACCAACTGGTGGAGGGTGTAGGTCAACTATTACCAACTGGTGGAGGGTGTAGGTCAACTATTACCAACTGGTGGAGGGTGTAGGTCAACTATTACCAACTGGTGGAGGGTGTAGGTCAACTATTACCAACTGGTGGAGGGTGTAGGTCAACTATTACCAACTGGTGGAGGGTGTAGGTCAACTATTACTAACGGGTGGAGGTAGTGTGCGAGGGCTGGGGTAGAGTAGTTCAATTATTACAAACAGTACAAATGTTCATTAACAAACGAGAGAAATGTTAAGAGGAAGCAAAAGTGAAATAGCCCTTTCTGCCTCCCCGTCGGTCTTGCCCCTCCCACCCCACCTCATCTTCTCATCCCTTCGTGGTCCTCGCCTCCCTCATTGTCCTATCTCCCCCCATGGTCATCTCCTCCCCCTTCATGGTCCTATCGCCCCCCCCCATGGTCCTATCGCACCTAATTGTCCTCTGAGACTGTTGAAAGCAGTGTTAAATCAGGTCAAATGTTTGTTGTGGTTTCACTGCATCACACTGTTACAGTAGCTCCAATACCACGTCAGTGTGTGATTACACCGCTTCAGTTCATTAGAGTTAATTATGTCACGTGACTAACCTCTAAGCTCAACCAGCTATCAAGTTTCTAAGCTCCCACAATGCCGCTGATAACTGTGAAAATAAACGAAAAGACGTTCCAACGTTTTCTTTTTTTTACGTTCGAAATTTAATTTTCCTGATCAAATATTTCTAGCCAGAAAAAAATGTCCTCATCTTTTGATTAAACTTCGATTATTTTTTTTAGCTCTGCTGACTGGGTCACAACTGCAGCTATAAAAGCACTACATCTGGTGCAGGGTGGGGGAGGTGTAACGCTACACTGAGTCGCTTGTCTGTTGTGCTTCCGCCTAGAATTAGCACTTAAAATAATTGGCTTCAAAGTGGAGTATTTGATTGATGTGGCGTACGTATGTGGTTGCCAACTATTTTAAAATCCGTCACAGACAATGTTTTTATAACCTTTCAAAAATAGCGATCAGGATTGGTATCTTCTGGGCTAGTTAAAAAGGGTTTTTGAATCTCTAAACAATGAATCAATGGCGAAACTCGTGGTTTATTTATTGATTGTATACATGGTAGCTGGTAGCCTTAGTAACCGAGGTAGCTGGTAGCTGTGGGTGCTGGTAGCCTTAGTAACCTTGGTGGCATGCACGGAACAGAAGATAAGCCGTGAAAAGAACGTGCTTATCAGACGACTGATACTAAGCAGAAGATTTGCAGATTTCAACCAAATATGTGATCTAATTCTCTGGGTCTGGTTTGTCGATTTTATCTGAACCTAAGTAGTCCCATACATGTATTGGCCAGAAATAGCTCTAGATTTAAATATCCATTTATTAACCACTTCCGTCCTGTTTTAATGTGTGGCTAATGTAAACATTGCATTGGTCACTTAACATCGTCGATCGTTGAGGCAGTTACAGGGACCTCGTCATTAGCATAGTTGTCATTGATACTTGTGAGACCTCGCCATTGGCACAGTTGTCATTTGTACTTGTAGTACAGTTACCTCGTCATTGGCACAGTTGTCATTTGTACTTGTAGTACAGTTACCTCGTCATTAGCACAGTTGTCATTTACGCCAGTAGAAGGAGAAGGACCTAACGTCATCTGTGGTTTAGAAATTAAAATCGGTTTACAAAGCATTAGTGCCCGATTGAAACACGTCAGCCCATAGCGCATCTGTCCAGGAAAATACCTGTTTAGTCTAAAAAGTATAAAAACAGGCACCTAATTCGTAATGTTTTACGCAAAAGTATCTAAGTCGAGAGGGTCTAAAATGATAACAGAGGAATTAGCATTAAAAAAGTACGAAAAGCTGTAAAAACATTTTTTTTCTGCAAACCAGTAGTCCGGGTTTTCGAAAATAGAAGAGGCTAGCAATATGTGTGTGTGGGGTGGATGGGGGTGGATGGGGGGGGGGGGGGGCTAGGAATACATGTGTGGGGGTGAGGGGATGGGGTGCTAGAAATATGTATGGGGGAGGGGGGACTAGTTCTATGTGTGGATGGGTGGGGGGGGGGGGGCTATGAATGTGTGAGTGAGGCTGAGAAGGTCGGGGTGAGGTTAATACCCCACTGACGTTAGACGAACATTTATTGTGATTGATAGAATTTAAAGCCTTTACATAACTGCTGATTCGTTGACCGACTTTTTTCTGGTATCAACAAGATGCTGAGACAAATGTAGGTTACAAAGTGCCATCCATCTTCCACAGAACGTGTAGACACGTAATTTGTACTCACCTAAGCTCGCGTGTCTTTAAGTTGAATAATGTTAAACTAATTAGCTCAAATTGGCCTTTTATCTATAGCGTTGCTTGTCTTTTTTAGCTGGGAGAAACGATGTTTAAATTTGCTTAAATGGTGTTTAGGCATTTGTCCGGGGAACACTTCATCATTTAAATAAATCATTGCTTCGTTAGCTATTAAAATATTGCCGTGATGCTGATGCCCCTAATACATTAAGATGTAATCAAGTATTGAAGATTTGTTTTCCTACATTATTTACATATTTTTTTCTGCTTTCAGCGATGTGTAGAAAGCGGTAATGGGCCATCCACTCGATGGACAGCGCCCAAGGCCGGGGGGGCCGACAGCCTCAGACTAGTGCCTCGAACAAGCGTGTCCCTGACCTTGACCGCAGCACTGTCAAGGACGGAAAATCCACATCTAAAACCAGCGCCCATGGCGGCGCCACGACGCCCTCCAAGAGCTCCCCCTCATTTCTCAGCCCCAATGACGCCATGGGGCTGGGCGACGTGGTGTCGCGTCTCAAACAGCAGGGTGGGAGCCCTAAGCCCCGGCGGACAAACGACGTCAAATCTCGGCCCAAGTCGTCCAAGGATGACCCGCCCAAGAAAGCGAAACCAACAAAAGACGAGCCTACACAGCGAACGAAATCCTCCTCTAAAGACGGCACGCTCTCCAAATCTAAAGGCGACAAGAAGACAGGCTCGAAGGAAAAAATTCTTGACGAAAAACCCTCCCGCAAAAGCAAAGAGTCTCAGAGCGCCGACACCTCCAAGCTGCAGACACCGAAAAACAAACGCCGGGCTCGTAGCGCCTCAAGACCACGTGACACCCCAGCAGACGGGACTAAATCCCCCGACCCCGGCGCTACAAGCCCATCCAGCCCAACCGGTGGGTCAGGTACGGACAGGCGGGCGTCGATTCCAGTTATTCGGCTGTCGCGTGAAGATAGCAAAAAACAATCTGTTATCTGTGAAGACATCCCGGACTCGCCGAAATTCAAGCGCCGGCTGTCCGTCTTGTCGCAGGCGAAGATCGCCTTCGAGAAGGTAGCGATGGCTGTGACGGACGCCGAGACGGTGACGGTGCAGGACAGGAGCAGACCCGTCAAAGACAGGAAGACCAGATCTCACTCGGCTCCCAGGGAAATCAACCCCGAGCGCGCGGCCAAATCCGCGGAGCTCGCCAAAAAGAAATCGCACTCGAAAACTTTGTCACGTGACCTGAACCACGACAAGACGCCGCTGACCGAGGACGACGGAACAGCATCGACAACTATGCAGCAATCTAAACAGCAACATCGGAAGACGGACGTCAAACGGAAAGACGCGCGCGTTGAAGGGGAGATTTCCCTAGAAGGCGTCTCCACGCCGGATTTGTCCAAATCGGCCTCCACGACAGCGGCGAAACCATCTTCTTCGAATCCTTTAAAACTCCTGCACTCCATAACCCGGCCCTCCAGTCTTGCATCCTCCTCCCCCAGGCAGACCACGCCCTCCAGGCCCAGGAAAAAGTTTTCTAGAGGTCATATAGACCAGGATCCCTTAGAAGTAGACTATGAAGTGTTGGACGACCGAGTCACCAGCATAGAGCCCCGGAGATCAGTCCCTAGTGTAGAGCCCCGCCGCTCCATCCCTTATGCTGAGAGCCACAAAACAGCGGCTGAAGAGCCTCTGTTGGCCAAGCACAGGGAATCTATCTCAAAGCAGGGGAGGTTATCAAAAGATCAGGAGTACGTTCAGCCAGCCCAACGGCCGCAGTCCATCCCCTATGTGCAGACCTTCCCCCGCACGAAGCAACAAGAGACGGAGCAGCGCCCGGCGTCCCAGATGTACACCTCAGCTACCATGGACCCGATCAAAGCTAGAAAGGCCACGACGCCGTCCTCCAGCGATCGCTTACGTTCCTACACGAACCAGCTGAGCACGCCCGACTCGGCCTTCTCCCCGCTCTTCAAAGTCCCCAGCTCGTCTTCTTTCACGTCATCAGACGCACGTTCTGACGTCTGTCTAGATCTTCCAGATGTTGCCGACCCGCATGTCAGCGACCTTCACCTTCGGGAAGCGGAGCGAGATCTGAAGGTGAAGTTAGGGTTCCCCAACGCTCCATACAGCCGTATCGTGCACTACACCGACTCCAGTCTATGTTTAGCCATCCTCTCCGCCATTCTTGTCTTCTTGGTGTCCTTCGTCCTGGTCTGGCCGCTTCTCGTCATCATCCTAGTCATCGTGCCGGTCGTTGTCCTCCTCAAAAGGTTGTGTAGCTGGTTGTGCTGCTGCGGCCCGACCCTGTGGGGGCGCTGCTGTCTCTGTTTTTGCCACACCCACTTGACCAGTTCGGAGTTGATGTGGTTGGGTCGAGGGTCTGGCGCTGGTAACTCTGTGGCGCAAAGCCTTATGGTCCTGCAGAAGGGTCTCGACACCGACCGCATCCGGAACTTAATCGACTCGCGACTGCTCTCGGTGGAGAACCGACACGGACACAAGATCTACCCCAGGTTCACACAAAAGGTAGGCACTCTTTTATCTACACCTTAGGGAAGAAAATTGGTCTCGCTAATCATGCCTGCCAGATATGATAATATAAACATTTGATTTTTAGATTCTAGAAATGTTAGACTTTTACCTGGATTATAATTGATCTGCACCTGTATTTTTATCTCCATTTTTACATATGTATTATGATTTGTCGTTAAAATTAGTCTTCAATATAATCGTTTTTTTTTTCGTGCATAATGATGTTGGATTGGTATTTTTACAATGCTAGACTTAAAAAGCCACCTCCCCCCTCCCCCGACATCCCAATCTGACCTACTTTTAACTGTGATGTCACGTAACAATACGTAACAATCGTGCACTAATTCACATATTACCAGGCTCAAGTGATTTATACCTATTTATAGACTGTCCTTTAACCAGTCGTGTCTCACTGTTATCTGGTAGCCGTAACAGTATCAAAATGAGACTGACCAACCTGACCACACGTAACGGATGGTTGTTGTGATGGTCATTAAGCTAACTTTGTAGATTGTGTTTATTTTTTATTGGTAGCCAATAGCTTGATCACACTATTATATCTTCAAACACAAACAACGATATTAAAGCCAGTATTGTATTGATCTTAAAAAGTGTTGAGTTTTGTCCTAAATCTTTTGGTCAAGACACTATTAAAGTTGTGTTACATTTTTTGCTCATTATTAAACTGTAACAAGTAGACTACTTGGGTTGTGTATGCGGTAAAGTATTTTCTCCTACTTACACTTTGTGTGTTGTTCTATTGTTTGCAAGTGTTCCCATAATTAAGTAACATTTAATGAAATTTAATTTTTAAACTATTACATACAGGAACGGGCAATTATCTTTGATGCAGGTTTAAAATGTGTATGATGTCTTAATTAGTTAAATGTCTGTAATTAAAAGTCCTACGATTACAGTTTCGGTAAACTTAATTCCCTGTTAATATTGATATAGTTCGGCCAACAAACATTTGGTTTGGGAATCTTTCTTCACAAGACAGCACTACTAAAGCCAACATATTAGAGTGTGTTGCAACACCAGAAAAGATTAGAGGCTATTTTTTATTTCCAAACGTGTCTTGACAACAACAGCTTTTCGAGTTAGATTTCACAACACATCTTATGCTTATAATTTACCGTCTATGGTGCAATAAATGTATGTCATTAAAATGCAGTTATGAAAAACATGAAAACAAAACAGTGAGCTTATTATTGGACGAAAGTAAAAAAAAAATGTTTTTGAAACAAAATATGTTCGATAGGTCGTGCCATTCTGCTGTGGCCAAGCTTGGGTGGCCGACAGACACTTCATCCTGGCCAAACATGTGTACAACATGCCGGGGTACATCGAAACACTGGAGGATCTCCAGCAATTTATTTCCAAGATGGCAACTCAGCCCCTGTCCTTAGACCACCCTTTGTGGGAGATACAGGTGAAACTTTCTTGCAATCCTATACCCAAATTATATATATATATATATATATATATATATATATATATATATATATATATATATATATATATATATATATATATATATATATATATATATTTCTCAATGGGTTACTGGTGTCGTGTATATTTACAAACAACCGCCAAACAAAACAAGATTTGACCTTTTGAACTAACCTTCCTACCCCCCCCCACAGGTTTTACACAACTTCCGTGAGCCCCGGGACACGGTCCTGTTGTTCCGTATGCACCTGTGTATGACAGACGGAGTCTCCATTGTGCATGTGCTAGAGAACGCCCTGGTGGATTCACAGAAGGTGATGTAACCCGTATCTCCATTGACTCAACAAACGCTTTTCTTAACTTGAAAAGTGTATTTGCTTCAAATAAATAATTCCACCTAATGTTTATTAGGGGATAACATTCTTTTATGTATGACACACAAATTAGACCGGCACTAGTCAGACGACATACCCCATGTACTCACCCCCCCCCCCCTCTTGTTTATCCCAGCAGACGACACACCGGAAGTCGACGTTCAGCTCCGAGGCGTCCAACACGTCACCGTTCAAGGTGATGTTCTCCGGGCCGGTGACCTTCTTGTCGCGGTACCTGTTCAGCGGTCAGGACGTCAACCTGATACACGGCCAACACGTCCACTCGTCTGGCGAGATGGTCGTGGCCTGGTCGGAACCTTTCAGGTGGGTTGTTTTAAAGTCAATCACAGAGGTGGGTTTTCTCAAGTCAATCACATAGTTGGGTTGTCTCAAGTCAATCACAGAGTTGGGTTTTCTTCAACTCAATCACGGAGTTGGGTTCGTTTGGCTGGTGTAAGGCTACTATGTTGGGTTGTTGTTGCTCTTTTTTTTTTTTGCCGTTATGTCAAGCTTTGTGCCAAGTTTTGTGTTAAGTTTCATGTCAGGAAGTGTTTGTCGAGCTATGTTTTTATGTAGGCTGTTATGTTTACTTTCTTAACCTTAACCAATCCACGCGACCTGAAATCTAAGTTATCTAACCCTGTGACTCTCACTGTACCCGTGCGATCAAAATATTTTAGAATTAAGTCCTGAGTATATCATTCTAAAAATGTCTCGTTTTTACAGTGGTTACTCTGAGATCCTATTTCTGAACACCAATGTCCAGGCTAAAAACGTTAAAATACATTTCCTATTTGAACTTATGTCTATTTAAAAATAAGTCCATTCATTAAGGCCAATATTCAATCCAAAAAAAAACCTCCACTAAAGACCAATGTCCAGTCTACAAATACCCTCACAAATACCCCCACTGAAGGCCAACACCCAGTGTGCATAAAACCTCCACTGAAGACCAATGTCCAGTCTACAAAAACCTCCACTAAAGACCAATGTCCAGTCTACAAAAACCTCCACTAAAGACCAATGTCCAGTCTACAAAAACCTCCACTAAAGACCAATGTCCAGTCTACAACAACCTCCACTAAAGACCAATGTCCAGTCTACAAAAACCTCCACTAAAGACCAATGTCCAGTCTACAAAAACCTCCGCTAAAGACCAATGTCCAGTCTACAAAAACCTCCACTAAAGACCAATGTCCAGTCTACAAACACCTCCACTAAAGACCAATGTCCAGTCTACAAACACCTCCACTGAAGACCAATGTCCAATGACCAACAAAAACGGCACACTGCCACTTCTACACTGACTGACCTCTAACCCCAGCCGCCGTCATTCTCATCTCTCTCCGTCGAGTGTTCGATTTATTTTCTTTACATGCTGATGCTTCAGTTTTCCCCAACAATCTTTCATCTGTCTTTGATCTACCAACCGCTAATCGAATTGTTTTATCGGGCTCCTTTTGATAAGTGCATAACCCCGTTCTCGCTTATCTGCCCTCTCTATCCCGTGTTTAATATTATATTTTTCAGACAATAATTATAAATCGAAAAAGAAATATTACATTTTTAGTATCTTTTTGGAAACAGTGCGATCCACTTTTTTTTGGTTGCTGGGGTTTTTTTTTTAATTTATTATTATTTTTAAAAACGAGGTTATTTTTTTTTAAATTAATTTTTGTTGACGAAATTGGTTTGTTTTCATTATACGAGCCATGTCACCTAGTTGTGAAACTACAAGGAGCAAGTGCTAAAAGGTGGCCCGCCTCGTACTGTACTTTGTTCTTTGCTATGAAAATATTCTGAGTAGTGTAACTAAGTCTGTCTTTGGTTCGGACGTAAATTTTCCGTTGGCGTTATCCTAATACTTGATGGAAATTGGGATTATTGTTTAAAGTACGCACACATTTTTTCACAAACTCCCCAAAGACGGCTGGGTACAGTGCTTACCATGCTATCCCTTTAAAAGTCCATGTCGTACTAACTGATGTCATCTACTCCATCTGCCTACACGGAGCACCACGTGTGAAGATGATGTGTCGGGACATGAACCTAAATATTTGTGTTCAGATGTCAGTTTTTGTGGCGATGTTTCGGGACATGAACCTAAATAGTTGTGTTCAGATGTCAAGACATGTGTCGGGCCATGAACCTAAATATTTATGTTCTGATGTCAGTTTTTGTGGTGACGTATCGTGTTATAAATATTTGTGTTTCTCCAGCCTGAGCGCGGCGATGCGCGTCAAGCAAGTTGTCCGGTGTACCCTGAGTGAGCTCCTGCTGTCCATAACGGCCGGCAACATCCGCACCTACCTGCAGGTGAGCGGCATCACCCACCCTTTCAACGTCAAGTGCGGCCTGCCGGTGGACTTCCAGTCTATGGACGGGGGTGCTCTGGATATGGAAAACAAGTAAGTTTTTTGTATCTTTGTAATGTATTGTTGTGACAGCACACGTGGGATGATTTGGTAAAGAAATACACAGAAGTTTGTTCTAAAACTTATAACACATTCGTACTAGTTCCACAACCCTCCACCGTCTTAACCAACCACACCTATTGTGATATGAGATACCCTGTGAAGTCCTGGACACCCCAATGGTGACTTCACTAAGCAAGCCTCACTGGTGGTGCGTTTATTAAGTAAATCCAAAAGTGTTTCCACCGTGCCACATGTAAGAATTATTTCTTTCTTAACTTACGTTAATCCATCGAAAGCGCAGCATAGTTCCTGAGCCATGTATGACAAAAACTTCTAAAAGCAAACACTCCTTGAGAAGTTGTTGATGACTAGCCAGCTATAGGAATGAACACCACGTTGATCCAATAACGCATAATTCACAATAGCTTAAAATAGAGAAAAAAAGATATTTAATTTTTATTTTTAATACTGACAGCCAACATTTTCTAAGTGGGTGCTAGATCTACGTCTAAACTCGCGTTATCTTCCAATGCCCTCAGAAGTGTCTTTAAATGATTCCGGATATTGAAAATGCAACTGCTATAATAATAAGCCAGATATCTCTTTTTAAAATGCGTCTATTAAATCATATCGATCTACCAAACGAGACAATAGGGTATACCGATGAACAGTAATAGACTTCCGAAAATAGGAGTGTTAGGTTGTTAGTTGTAATCTCAAATATAGTTTTACGGTTGAAATTAATGTTAGGCGTATTGCAGGACTAGGGTTAGGTATAGGGTTAACATTGACATAAGCAAGACATGTGTATTTAGTAAACTACCAGTAACCTAACAACACCTCTTTTTAAAAAGATTCTATTATTGTTCCACGTATAACAAATACACCCCGTGAGTAGAACAGCCCCCACTCACACTGTCCACCTGTTTCAGGTACGCCATGGTGGTCTTCCAGCTGCCCACAAACACAGAGGGCACCATCCCCCGCCTCTGGGAAACAAAGTACAAAATGGGAGAGTTCAAATCATCAGCTGAGGCAGCGATCATCAGCGGAGCAAGATGGCTGACGTATTGTTTACTTCCGGTCTCGTTCTTCCAGCAGTTGTGGCGCGAGGTATGTAAACAAACATTGTTGTTAGATTTTCTACAATCGTTTTATTTAACGGTATTATCGCACATGTGGGGGTAATATTTCAGTGGGGTTTTTCGTTCATCTACGTTTTATTATTTATTGAAACTAATACTCACTACACATCGGTGTAGGTAAGGGGTAATAAACAGTGTTTCTTTCAGACTTTTTTCTCCGGTGTTGGGGGGGGGTGGAATGAAATTTCCGGGGGGGGGGGGGGGACACTGTTAAAAGTATATTTTCTATATAAATTCCATTTTGTTCGGGTAGGCGGTAGACTTTCTTTGAAGAGATGCCCGGAAGAAACTCTGGTAATAAAACTGGGTGTGTATTTAGCATGAAACTACTCAACAGACCCTGCTAAATGTGTCACAAATACTTTCACAAAGGGTGCAATGCTGACAGCTTTTCTCACAAATTGTATTAAATTCTCTAAAATTCCAACTTCCTACTTAAATGCTTACAGTCGTATGTGACTGGGAGACCTGAATGACAATACGTCAAAAGAATATCTCACCACGAACTGTCATTACGGCCGATGATCGGCCGTAATTCCCCTTTCTGTGGTGTTACGGCCGACTAAATCGGCCGTTATTAAAATCGCGGTTAAAAATGCGAATGAATAAATATACGTTGGTTAAGGGGAAGTAACTATTAAAAAATGAATTTCCTTCCTGTTTCCGGTATTGGAATGCTTTCTGTTTGTACATGAGCTTTGATTTTCGTTTTAAAACGGGAGTGAATATTTTCTCAGTATTTTTACTATGAAAATGTCGGTCTAAAGCCGGAGATCGTCAATCTAGATTAGAAAATAGCCTTAGATCTTCTTTATATGATTAAATACAGTGAGAAAATAAAGAGATGACTAGACATTCATGTTTGTGGTCTTTATTTCAGTAATAAGATATTTTAACGAAGTGACTACGCGTCTCGCAAAGCGTGGCCCCTAAAGAATAGACTACGCATCTCGCAGGTTTAATTTGCCATCTTGTAATTGAAAATGCTTACTTTTTACCTTTTCATCACATCCGCTGTGGTTGAGTCAACAGTGTGCCAGCTGTAATCTGAAGTTCATTGACCCGGAGTTCAGAGTTCGAACCCGGGGTTAGCTAGATTTTTACTTTCTCGTATATACGAAGTATAGAGAAAGTATTGTAATCGTGCAAAAAAAAAAAATCGAGATTTTTACAAATCTCAACGTTTCACACCTCACTGATACGGAAAAACATAATTTTGCAATCTTGTCCGTATGTCTGTGTGTGTGTGTGTCTGTGTGTCTGTCCGTGTGTAAACACGATAACTTGAGTACCGTTACAGCTAGGTTGATGAAATTTCATATATAAGTATTTTATCAAAATCGTAGATCCGTATCAACTTTTGAGCGATTTCCGATAACCGGAAGTGGTACTTTTCCTACTTTGAATTTTTCAAAAGCCTATAACTTGAGTACTATTTCAGATAGATAAATGAAATTTCACATGTAAGTAAAAGATCTAATTCTCTACCTTCTGTTAAATTTTGAGTAATTTCCGTTGACTGGAAGTAGTAATTTACGCTACTTCCGATTTCTCAAAAAACTAATGTAAATTTTTAAAGTACTAATAATATTGCGCACTATTATACGCGTTTTTATTCGGCGTTTGCTTGGTGCGCAATGTTTTTTTTATGAGATTCTATTCTATTTTTAAAAGTTTAAGTATTTAAAATGGATTAAAAATCATAACTATATCCCCAGTTACCATCCCCTGTTGTTTTATATAAGAATATTCGAGAAAGTTTAGGGGAGATCACTACCGGTTTATTTTTTTTCATATTGAAAATATGACGTAGACTATGATTCTTTTTTTTTTAAATAAAATTTCCAACCATCGTCACTGGCGTGATTGCTTGGCTTACGTTTACTATCCCGTGAGTGGAAAATCCCACCACGGCCCACGGTGTCGCTGTGTGTTCAGCAGGCCTAAAGCATACGTCATAGTCGTTCACACGAGATCGTCTGTCTTCACCTCTCTCTTCCTCCCCCCCACCCCCCCCCCCCTCCTCTCCCCCCTCCTCTCCCCTCCAGCAAATTGAAATTTTTTTTTAAGTTCACATAGGATAAATAATATAGACTTAGATCTACTATCACGGATGCTAGATAGCTAGGCCTAAAGGTTAAAGGACAGTTTGGTTTAGCTAGGTTGCTGCTAGATCTAGGACTATCTAGGCCCATCTGACCTCACAAACTTTCCTTGACACTACACTGTACTGTTTTTTTTTTTTTACAAGTACTATATCTAGACTCTTAGGTGTTGAAATAATATAAATACACTTAAACTCGATCTAGATCTATGTCAACATTAAATTGTTACCACGAAAAAAAAAATCGTTTTTTTAGATCGCGTGCCACCTAGGGTAAAGATTAAGCGTAACGCGGAGCGAACTGCGCAAAGGCGGCCTTACGCGTCACGCGGAGCGAACCGCGCAAATGCGGCCATATTTTAATAAAAAACTAGATTTATAATAATGAAAATGCATGCCTTTTTACTGTAATTCTTTGAATGATCGCAAAGTAAAAGTCATGAATGAAATAATTCATACAAAATCGCTTTTCAACATTAGTTTATAAAACTATGTATTATCTAAAACTAATGACTTCTAGTATCTAAAAATGTAGTTTCTATGAGACTTGGAATTTTTTTGGGGGGTTTTAGGGAGGGTTGAATACAGAAGTTGAGTAGTCAAATTTTACTCTTCTTGTAAATGTCAAGGTCACTATCAACATACACAAAATAAAAACAAACTATTTGTGTATCAAAAGATTCCTTGTCCAATATACTTTCAGAAAATGTATACATGTAGGGGTCTCTGATTTCATTCAATACTAAATTTTGACAATTTTATCAAGCATACGAAAAACTCTAAAAATGCCCGAACGCCACAGACTAGTTGCACTTGACAGTTCGTGGGTTAAAGGATCGAGATAAAGATTTTAAAAATAACCACTCTAAGTTTTTATATCAAACATAAACAAGGACAGCAACGACTCATCAGCACTGGTGTAGCACTGAATTAGAGGCCTTGTAAGCGTAATGGTGAAAGGACGCTTTGAGATTGTCTTTGCTTTCAGACCGGAAACACGCCAAACCCGTTTCCGGAATTTCATAGTTGAGTTTATTGACGTATCTGGCCGGCGAGCTGTTGGTTCATTACTACAAAGTCTGTCGAGCCGGATGCTTTGATAGTGCGCCACAACTGACGGCTTGTCCTGGGCTTGTCAATAAAGTTATCTATAAATAGGAGAAAAAAGGGTAAAAAACGTCATTTTAAGGGGAAAAGGGGGAGGGGGAGGAACGTGGTTGTGGAAAGTGACCGGTATACCCTGGAACGTTAAAATCTCGTTCACAATATCTGTGGGTTTGTGGTAAATCTAGTAACTCAATTTTTACCCACTTTTAATGCACCGATTTTTTTTTCAAATTTTCCACGTACATTCGTTTCCGATGACAATGCAATAATATATTTTTCTATTAAACGAATATACTTGTTATGCTAAATAAAACATGTACCAGGAACAACTGTTTCTCAGTCAAACCTGGCTTGACACAGCCCCATCCCCTTACTTCAGACGAGGACTTAGATTTTCTATGCAATTTTGGGGGCAGTGGTTATTTCAGCTTGTTATACTTTTATGTTTGACTGAACTCACTTTAGCAATATTATCCCCACCTATTACCTCATTAGATGACCTTCACAAATATTTAGCTTGCACCAAATTTAGAACCATCCACATCTTCTTCTTCTTCGTTCTTAATTTTTAGTGTTGGGAGGAATCGAGCCTTATCTGCCAGAGTGTTTGAACTCGAGACTTTTTTCGAATGTATCAACCATGAGCTTTGCCGACTCGACCATGCTTCCATCACAATTAAGGATTGCGTGTCAACTGGTTATGCGCCATTGAGGCCATTGACTCCGATTTCAGCCAGCTTTTCTTTTTGGATTTGCTTCCATAGTCTTTGTCAAACCAAGAACAAACTATAAGGCAGCAGTTGTTTGATTTTGGAGTTGTCTCTCCTAGAGCCTCATCTGCCCGAGGGTTCGAACTCGAGACTTTTCGGTTTAGCAACCATGAGCTTTACCGACTCGACCACGCCGACCCCCAATCCATCTCTGAGTATCCACATTTTCCAATTACGAAAACACTTCCATCAATAACGTAGGCTCGTCCAACAACCGCCAGACCTGACGAAATTAAACATACCACTCTAGTGATTTCAATATTCAACATTTTTTTAAAGATGTGCTGCTAATTTCCACGTCAAGTTTCTAACCAAAGAATACCAACCATGAAATTAAATGAACACTCCCCCCCCCCCAGCACCCTTTTTTCTCCGTACACCCACACATTATCAAACCTCTGTTTACTTTGTCCCAGATTGTTTCCTGTTTTTGTTTTAAACAATTTTTAAAATGTCCAGCTATTCTCGACAAAAATTCTTTAAAAAACTCGTTCAATAAAATTACGACATTAATATGTTATGCTGTAATCAGAAATGTGGCACTTGTGTTCTTTAATGAAATTAATTTTATCGGGATGTTTTCCACGTGTGCCCAGATTTACGGCAAGTGCACACTTCTCGTGGCCAACCTGGCAGGACCTACCTCAGTGCTAAAGCTGGACTCCAGGGAGGTCAAGTGCATGATGTACTGGCTGCCTCCCCTCGACAAGGTCCCGCTAACCGTGTCTTTCATCACCTACGCTGACCAGATCAGAATGGCCGTCATCGCAGACAGATCCGTCATCCCCAACCCCGATCTGATTACCCGGGATTTCAACCACAAGGTAGGCCTTTAAAAGATACATCAACCACAAGGTAGGCCTTTAAAGATACATCAACCACAAGGTAGGCCTGTAAAAGATACATCAACCACAAGGTAGGCCTTTAAAGATACATCAACCACAAGGTAGGCCTGTAAAAGATACATCTGTCAATGCTGCGGGTTTATCTGAGTAAACATTCATTTTACTAAGGAAAATAAACCGGGAGTGATCTCCCCTAAACTTTCTCGAATATTCTTATATAAAATAACAGGGGATGGGAACTCGGGCTATAGAAATGATTTTTAATCCATTTTAAATACTTAAAGTTTTAAAAATAGAATAAAATCTCGTAGACAAATTAATTACACACCAAGTGAACGCTAAATGAATAAACCGGGAGTGATCTCCCCTATACTTTCTTGAATATTCTTATATAAAATAACAGGGGATGGGAACTCGGGCTATAGACATGATTTTTAATCCATTTTAAATACTTAAAGTTTTAAAAATAGAATAAAATCTCGTAGACAAATTAATTGCACACCAAGTGAACGCCCAATAAAAAAGCGCATAATAGTGCGCAATATTATTAGTACTTTTAAAATTTACATTAGTTTTTTGAGAAATCGGAAGTAGCGTAAAGTACTACTTCTAGTCAACGGAAATTACTCAAAATTTAACAGAAGGTAGAGAATTAGATCTTTTACTTACATGTGAAATTTCATTTATCTATCTGAAATAGTACTCAAGTTATAGGCTTTTGAAAAATTCAAAGTAGGAAAAGTACCACTTCCGGTTATCGGAAATCGCTCAAAAGTTGATACGGATCTACGATTTTGATATAATACTTATATATGAAATTTCATCAACCTAGCTGTAACGGTACTCAAGTAATCGTGTTTACACACGGACAGACACACAGACACACACACACACACAGACATACGGACAAGATTGCAAAATTATGTTTTTCCGTATCAGTGAGGTGTAAAACGTCGAGATTTGTAAAAATCTCGATTTTTTTTTTTTGCACGATTACAATACTTTCTCTATACTTCGTATATACGAGAAAGTAAAAAGTTTACTTATAAAGCACGAATTATATTCTATGGTATTTTTTAATTGTGCATTTTATTAATTAGGCCTACTTTTTTTAAAACAAGGAATATAACCGCACCAAAGAAATCGTTACCTCCATACAGAGGGCATTTCAGCACTGGCGCCCATACATGCAGTGTTTCTTCCAGACATTTTCTTGGGGGGGGGGCATTTGAAGTTGTCGGGGAGGGGGGAGACTGGTATATATAAATTCTATTTGTTTGGGGGGGGGGGGGGGGCGTTAAACGTTTTTCGGGGAAGAGCCTTCCCCCCCCCTCAAAAAAAAAGATGCATGGAAGAAACTCTGCATACATGATTAACCTAGTTCCTTATTTCATCTGATTTTATTTTGTCTTTTAGTTGGAGACTTTGTCCAAACTTCTGGCCCATCGCAGAATACCAGGCGAAAACTCGGCAGCTAATCGTCACGAGAACATCCATCTGCTGTCCAGCTTCACCCTAGAGGATCTCACAGCTGAACAGGTGAGGCGACACATAGGTCAATGACCTCACAGCTGAACAGGTGAGACAACACATAGATTAATGACCTCACGGCTGAATAGGTGAGACAACACATAGGTTAATGACCTCACAGCTGAACAGGTGAGACAACACATAGGTTAATGACCTCACGGCTGAATAGGTGAGACAACACATAGGTTATTGACCTCACAGCTGAACAGGTGAGACAACACATAGGTCAATGACCTCACAGCTGAACAGGTGAGGCATCACATGACCTCACCGCTGAACAGGTGAGGCGACACATAGTTTAATGACATCACAGCTGAACAGGTGAGGCGACACATAGTTTAATGACATCACAGCTGAGCAGGTGAGGCAACACATGACCTCACAGCTGAACAGGTGAGACAACACATGACCTAACAGCTGAACAGGTGAGACAACACATGACCTCACAGCTAAGCAGGTGAGACAACACGTAGGTCAATGACCTCACAGCTGAACAGGTGAGACGACACATAGTTTAATGACCTCACAGCTGAACAGGTGAGACAACACATGACCTTACAGCTGAACAGGTGAGACAACACATAGGTTAATGACCTCACAGCTGAATAGGTGAGGCATCACATGACCTCACAGCTGAACAGGTGAGGCAACACTTAATGACCTCACAGCTGAATAGGTGATGCAACACATGACCTCACAGCTGAACAGGTGAGGCATCACATGACCTCACAGCTGAACAAGTGAGGCAACACATGACCTCACAGCTGAACAGGTGAGTCAACACATGACCTCACAGCTGAACAGGTGAGGCAACACATGACCTCACAGCTAAACAGGTGAGGCAACACATAGGTCAATGACCTCACAGCTGAATAGGTGAGGCAACACATGACCTCACAGCTAAACAGGTGAGGCAACACATATGTCAATGACCTCACAGCTGAACAGGTGATACAACACATAGGTTAATGATCTCACAGCTGAATAGGTGAGGCAACACATGACCTCACAGCTGAACAGGTGAGGCAACACATAGGTTAATGACCTCACAGCTGAACAGGTGAGGCAACACGTAGGTTAATGACCTCACAGCTGAACAGGTGAGGCAACACATAGGTTAATGACCTCACAGCTGAACAGGTGAGGCAACACGTAGGTTAATGACCTCACAGCTGAACAGGTGAGGCAACACGTAGGTTAATGACCTCACAGCTGAACAAGTGAGGCAACACATGACCTCACAGCTGAACAGGTGAGACAACACATGACCTCACAGCTGAACAGGTGAGGCAACACATGACCTCACAGCTAAACAGGTGAGGCAACACATAGGTCAATGACCTCACAGCTGAATAGGTGAGGCAACACATGACCTCACAGCTAAACAGGTGAGGCAACACATATGTCAATGACCTCACAGCTGAACAGGTGATACAACACATAGGTTAATGACCTCACAGCTGAATAGGTGAGGCAACACATGACCTCACAGCTGAACAGGTGAGGCAACACATAGGTTAATGACCTCACAGCTGAACAGGTGAGGCAACACGTAGGTTAATGACCTCACAGCTGAACAGGTGAGGCAACACATAGGTTAATGACCTCACAGCTGAACAGGTGAGTCAACACATAGGTCAATGACCTCACAGCTAAATAGATGACATGACCTCACAGCTAAGCAGGTGAAACAACATGTACATCCATGACCTCACATAACATTTATCATCATGGAGTGGAATTTTTAATTAATGAACAGCAGAACTGTTTGCCCACAAAACTCAGCCCCAACCTCTCCTCCACACTGGTGTAAATGTATGGGTTTGAGGGGGGGGCTAAAGCTTTAACGAAAACCCAAATTATTCACAAAAAATTAATATATATCATCAATTCATACTGAAATAAATCTAGAATAAACATGGATAAATAACCTACCCAGAAAAAAGTGGATGGTAAAATCAGTTTAGGTGCTGATATTTAGAGATAAGACTGACATACTGTTTTTTCCTTTTCATTATTTCAAGGTATTTAGTTTGGCACTGTAAGCATATCTGATCTGATGTCAGTGTTCTCATGAAACATAATTTTAAACTTTCAGATTCAGCTGGAGATGTCATTAGTCCAACAGGAGCTACATGAGATGAAGCTTCAGCTAGAATCAGGTCCAAGCAACTACATCAGCCGCAACGACACCGAGCTGATGAACCAGATAGAGGCTCTAAAGGAGAGGTCCAGAGAACTAATGATGTACCTGAGGAAGAAGAAAGCTTGTGAATCAGAAAATGCCATGATATTTTCAGAAGAGGTGACTACTAACTAAACATTATATTTTTGTCCATCAGTTTTGTATTTCATAGCTAGATGGCACTGGAGGGTTAATATATTAGATTATCAGATCCCTAATTGTGCAAACCTTTGAAATTCACATCACAGAGTTAGTAAGTTACCTACACACTTTTCTAGTTAAAACTTTCTGATAAACTGTTTTTCACATAATTATTTTGATTTTTTAGTAATCTATTTAGAGAAATTACTCTATCTTAAAAATACAAAAAAAAATTATAATTTTAGCTTTTACCTATTTTAATTAAGTTAACTTTTAATTTTAAAATACTAATTAATATGAACTGCTTGCCATCCCTAATTTTATACTTGTATATTGAAGACCTGCTTGTACATAAAATATTTACTCTCCATCACAAGATGATTTAGATCCTACATAAAATATTTACCCTCCATCACAAGATGATTTAGATCCTACATGAAATATTTACCCTCCATCGCAGGATGATTTAGATCCTACATAAAATATTTACCCTCCATCACAGGATGATTTAGATCCTACATAAAATATTTACCCTCCATCACAAGATGATTTAGATCCTACATAAAATATTTACCCTCCATCACAAGATGATTTAGATCCAACATAAAATATTTACCCTCCATCACACGATGATTTAGATCCTATATGAAATATTTACCCTCCATCACACGATGATTTAGATCCTACATGAAATATTTACCCTCCATCGCAGGATGACTTAGATCCTGAAGCTGGACAGGAGAGACCCCAAAAACCATTCCGACGAAGAACGCTGTCCATGTCGAGTAAAATGTCGACAGCATCAGTATCCTCCACCCACAGGCCTCTGTCAACAGCTTCCACTTCCAATCTCCCATCTCCAATACACAGTGCTCTCCCTTCTTGGCCTGAAGGAGATTTGGGGGTAAGTCAGTTTTAAACTGCTCTCAACTCTTAAACAACTAGAGATTTAGTACTTTGTCTATTGTAGCTTTTATCTGATGTGAATTCACATCATATGTACTCCTCTCAAGAAGATTTAACAAAATAACTAACTGAATCCATTTAAAGTTTTAGGACATTACTACAACTATTCACAATGTGTGTAAATAAATTAAAGGAACTCACTACGTCCAGTCCGGACATTATTTCAATAATACCCATTCACCATATTGTATCGCAATCTCTTTTATAACACCAAATTTCTTGTAACTATTTTTCAGCCTGATGACTTGGAGGGAGGCACAAAAAGTAAACATATGTATGTCCAAATGCAACGAGCTGCTGGGCGGATAGGCAAGGATGTAACCACACCAGTTTATAATTATTCAGATATCAAAGGTCGCTATCACAGCCTGGTTTCCTAACATCAGAACATGCTAGACATCATTTCTTTTGTAACATCATAAACTGAAAGACATCATTTTTTTTCTAATAACACAAGATGTTAGATATCCTTTTTAATCTAATACAATGAATAATAATGAAATAATTATGCAAGAAAAAGGGGATTGACTGAATCTACAAATATCACTTGCTAGAGATTCTAGACTGACTGATGTCATTTCTTGACAGACCTAGAGACTCCACTCACTGTTAGGGGAGATCACTTGTGGCAATATCATGTTCCTGTGGTGTAAACACCCCCATTCTACCAAGCAGTCTCACAATGATAGTAGCAGCTTAGACTGAGCCAATCATCCTTAACCTTGTGCTCACCATCCTCACATATGTCATACAACTGATTATGACTGTTATATTTTTCAGTCATACTTAGTGACAGTATTTTTTCACATGAAATTGTAAATTGTATTAACCGACTTTCTTCCCATTGATTATGGAACTCTCACTCAGTATGTTGGTTTTAAATAGATCCCTTTCTTCTATTGATGCCATATTCAGCTCTTAGAGTTTATGTGATGTTTTTGTTTTGTAATCTAGAGAGAATAATTGTACATAATCCTAGCATGTATAAATTATTGAAATATTTATTAGAAAATCTGATTGTGTTTGATTGCTTTTGTGATTTGAATTTAGTTAACAGGTCATGTAAATAATAGCTTATATGTCAAGCCAACAAAAAATTGTGTTTTCAGTTTAAAAATTCTAAATTATAATCTAATGTAATTTACAAGTTTAGTTGACCGGCAATTTTGTAACCTACCCAAAAGCTTACACAGTAATTTTTTTTTTTATATTTAATTATAACTGCATTTTTTCTAGAAGGAAAACATGTGAGACTTATTTATTAACTTTTTTCCTTAGTTAAGCTGTGGTTTATTTTTTTTTTAAGTATAAGAATAGCTGTGTCGCAATTATAAGTCTAGACGCTCATATTTATTTAACATTCTGAAGTAAAAAAAAAAGCATTTTAATAAACAATTTTGGATACTTTTTTGAACAAGCTAATTTATGTATCTGTGTGGATGCATTATCGCATACTAATTACTTAAATTTTAAAAAAAACATCAAATATTCACACTATTTTTTAAATTTTTCAGCACACAAAAACAAAATTTACTTTCAAAATCTTCTAACAATTTTTTAAAACAGTACTCAGTTCACTAAATTATAAAATATAAATGTTGTTTGCTTGAAGTCAGTAGTTCAGGCAGTAAGATGTACAGATTTCCTGTAGACTTCATGTACTCAGGGAAAATCAATGCTCACTAAATTTTATAGATTCTGTGTTTATGCCATACTAAGCCAACTTCAATGTAATCAAGAGTTTGTAAAGATTTTAAAACTTTGTCTAAATTCTGCATTAATTATCCTGTTTTCTTGGTATTTAAAAAAACACTTTTCAATAAAATTATATTGAATTAAATTGTATCTATTTGTGGATGCAATATTAGGACATGGTCAAAAATAGTCTGGCAATTCATGAAAATCAATGACATAGGGGAAAAAGGGTGAAACTTTGCTGTATTTTAACCTTAGTCAAATTCTGTGTGCATCCTCTAATGACATTGTCCACTGTTTGAAAAAGATGTGTACATAGCCTCAGGTGTTTGAATGTATTGTGGTAGTAACCCTAATAATGCATACATGTGAGGAAAGTGATGAAACAGAATAGTGATTGGAGCTTAAGAAATATACCGGTGCTCATGAAATGTAAATTTTTTTCTTGTAAATTTACAATTTTTTATTTTTGTTTATCTGCTGTTTTTCTTTTTTTTTTTTTGCCAAAAAAATTCAAACCACTTAATATTAAAATTTAAAAATTAATTTTGTACTTATTCCAAACTATTGTACTAGGCTTGAATTTATTTTGAAACAAAGTTAAATAACAAATAGTGATCATTCTATAATTACTTTCTGTTTAGAATAAGCTTATTTTTATTTCAATTTTATAATATTCCTAGAAATATTCAAAGTGAAATTTTTTCCATAAAACAACACATGAATTTGGTTCACATATCAATGCTTGAAGACTTCACCCATATATGCATATGTCCTCACCTTAAATTTGTTGAACTTCAACAGAGCCCAGAACATTAAAGATTTATACCAAAAGCAATTGTTGATGTAAAATTATTTATCTAGTCAACTAGGCTGTGAACTGTAGATAGAATTGTATTTCATTTGTTATTTAGTAACTGTACCTAATTCTAAACTTTAACAAACATCACTTATCTGTATGTGCAATATTGAATGTTTTTTATTGTATGTACCATAAAATTGTGATTGTGAAAAATTGTGAGTTATATGTTAAAATTTAATTTAATAACAGCTGCAAGAAAAATGTCCCATATATTTTTGTTGGTTTTTCTACTTATCAGCTGGTAACAGGGGTAATCATAGCAAAGAGAAATTTATTGAGGCCTAAGTGTCATAAAACCTTGCCCTGTCTCTAAAAATTTACCAAAGAACACACCGTTAGCTGTTGTAGAAAGCAAAGCCAATTTGTGAAACAATTTGTAAAATCCATCACTTTTTCAAGTTGGAGAATAGAATAATTGTTTTTACTAGTTTTTTTTAGACAAAAATTTGATTTTTTGGGGCTCAAAATTTCTTCCAAAGTGACTAAAATGAAGTTAGGATTTTTGTTTTACCATTCAGTAATAAACAAATTAAAAGCCCAAATTAGACAACTATATGAAGACTAGATGTAGACATTGTACATAACTATGACTAATTTTTACCCTTGCACTTAGTGCTGGTGGGCTATGAGTGCGTGGCTGCACTGGTGGGCTATAAGTGCACTAGTGGGCTATGAGTGCATTGTTGCACTAGTTGGGCTATGAGTGCACTGGTGGGCTATGAGTGTGTGGCTGCACTAGTTGGCTATGAGTGCACTGGTGGGCTCTGAGTGCACTGGTGGGCTATGAGTGTGTGGCTGCACTAGTTGGCTATGAGTGCACTGGTGGGCTATGAGTGCACTGGTGGGCTATGAGTGTGTGGCTGCACTAGTTGGCTAAGAGTGCACTGGTGGGCTATGAGTGCACTGGTGGGCTATGAGTGAGTGGCTGCACTAGTTGGCTATGAGTGCACTGGTGGGCTATGAGTGTGTGGCTGCACTAGTTGGCTATGAGCGCACTGGTGGGCTATGAGTGTGTGGCTGCACTAGTTGGCTAAGAGTGCACTGGTGGGCTATGAGTGTGTGGCTGCACTAGTTGGCTATGAGTGCACTGGTGGGCTATGAGTGTGTGGCTGCACTAGTTGGCTATGAGTGCACTGGTGGGCTATGAGTGCACTGGTGGGCTATGAGTGTGTGGCTGCACTAGTTGGCTAAGAGTGCACTGGTGGGCTATGAGTGCACTGGTGGGCTATGAGTGAGTGGCTGCACTAGTTGGCTATGAGTGCACTGGTGGGCTATGAGTGTGTGGCTGCACTAGTTGGCTATGAGTGCACTGGTGGGCTATGAGTGTGTGGCTGCACTAGTTGGCTAAGAGTGCACTGGTGGGCTATGAGTGTGTGGCTGCACTAGTTGGCTATGAGTGCACTGGTGGGCTATGAGTGCACTGGTGGGCTATGAGTGCACTGGTGGGCTATGAGTGCACTGGTGGGCTATGAGTGTGTGGCTGCACTAGTTGGCTAAGAGTGCACTGGTGGGCTATGAGTGTGTGGCTGCACTAGTTGGCTATGAGTGCACTGGTGGGCTATGAGTGCACTGGTGGGCTATGAGTGTGTGGCTGCACTAGTTGGCTATGAGTGCACTGGTGGGCTATGAGTGTGTGGCTGCACTAGTTGGCTATGAGTGCACTGGTGGGCTATGAGTGCACTGGTGGGCTATGAGTGTGTGGCTGCACTAGTTGGCTATGAGTGCACTGGTGGGCTATGAGTGCACTGGTGGGCTATAAGTGTGTGGCTGCACTAGTTGGCTATGAGTGCACTGGTGGGCTATGAGTGTGTGGCTGCACTAGTTGGCTATGAATTCACTGGTGGGCTATAAGTGCACTGGTGGGCTATGAGTGTGTGGCTGCACTAGTTGGCTATGAGTGCACTAGTTGGCTATGAGTGCACTGGTGGGCTATGAGTGTGTGGCTGCACTAGTTGGCTAAGAGTGCACTGGTGGGCTATGAGTGCACTGGTGGGCTATGAGTGAGTGGCTGCACTAGTTGGCTATGAGTGCACTGGTGGGCTATGAGTGCACGGCTGCACTAGTTGGCTATGAGTGCACTGGTGGGCTATGAGTGTGTGGCTGCACTAGTTGGCTATGAGTGCACTGGTGGCCTAAGAGTGCACTTATGGGCTACGTGTATGTGGCTACAGCCCTGACAGTTCTGTAGGGCCGAGTAACTTCCTTAACATTGCTTAACTTTGTAGCTAGAACTGACAGTGTGAATGCTTTAAGTTTAAAAAATCCTCTAATAGAAAAATTAAAACCATTTTGCTAAGCCAATGTGTCAGCCTTATTTGTTTCCTCATTGTTGTTGAGTCACGCCTTGACACGCCATCACCATCAACAATCATAGGGATTTTTATTTTACTTACAAAACATTAGAAAGCATCTTTGAAACTGTTAGAATAATTATTTATAAGTTTAAATTTTAATACATATCTAACCATAAGGAATTAGTAATGTAACTGTGTACATACAGGTCTACTGGACAACAAAGAACATAGATGGAGATGAAAACAAAGTTTACTTGGAAAAAAGTCTTTATTTGTACATAATCCTCATAGAGGCACATCTAACATCTTGCTATTTATTTCAAACACAATCAGTATATGTTTTCTTACCAACAATACCAAAAAAAAGTAATAGCATTTGACAGGATTTTATTAAGTGACTGTTAGATGATTTTCTTTATTTGCTAAATATAATGTGAATATCACATTGTGCTATAGAAAGCTAATACGTCACCAAAACGAGTAGATGACTAAGTTAATTGATACACTTTGGCATATCACACACATTGAATTATATACAATCACTTATACACATTTGACTTACATACAATAAAACTATGCAAATCAATATTAAGGTCTAACACACAATCCAAGAGGTTTAAAATAATTTTTATCGAAGAAAATAATTTAATTAAATAATTTCTATAGTTTTTACATTTTTCCTAAATCGGCCTCAGATTTTCATCAATTAGCTACAACTTTGTTATGTTCAAGTTTCAGAGTACTGTAGAGAAGAAATACATGTCTCAAACTGAATGTCCACCAATAATAAATCCAATTTTATTTGGTCAAAATGTAAGAATCAAAGCTAGTTACTAAAAGAAATGGTTTATCATGTATTTAACAAGGTATGATGTATAACCTTAAAATATTTTCTTTCTTTTCGATTTCTTCTTAAGTTTTAAATTAGTTCTTTGGTTTAAAAACAATTGTCATAAATTATCAAAAATAGAACACTGAATTTGTGTGTATTGGTATTAGTGAACATTTAAAAAAAAACAGTAATAGAAACATCAAGTCTACTCCACTTTTTTCACATCCTATATTAAACCCATATTAAAATAACACATTTTTTTAGCTACTGCAATAACACGTCATTGTGCTGTTATACCTGAGATGCACTACAACATGCACATAAGAGTTACTTAGCTAAAAAAACCTCACTATGTAAGATGCAAGACATCCAGGTCAAGATCCCCAATCTAAGACAGCCAGATGAAGACACCCCCACCCCACTCCCAAACCCCTATGTAAGTAAGACACCCAGATGAACCCCCCCCCCTCCCATCTAAGTAAGACACCCAGATGAAAATCCAAAAGACAGCCAGATGAAGACACCCCCCATCTAAGTAAGACCCCACCTCCCCCTATCTAAGTAAGATACCCAGGTGAAGATCACCCCAATTAAGTAAGATACCCAGATGAAGACCCCCCCCCCCCCCCCCCATATAAGTAAAAAACCCAGGTGAAGATTCCCCCTCCCACCTATCAAGTAAGACACAAACATAAAGACCCCCCCTCCACCTAAGTAAGATACCCAGGTGAAGACCCCTTCCCCCTTCTCTATCTAAGTAAGACACCCAGGTGAAGAACCACCCCCCCCCCCCAATCTAAGTAAGACACCCAGGTGAAGACCCCCCCCCCCCCCCAATCTAAGTAAGACACCCAGATGAAGATCACTCCAGGAAATCCACAACCTCCTCTAGTTCCCTCTGCTTTGCCTGCTTGTGGGCCCATCTAGTCTCCATCACCTCAGATGCCACTTTCCATTTCTCGTGGAAAATTTGTTTATCACAAGCTGGGCATTTTTTCCCTCCTGTTTTAATGAAAAGTTACATTAATTAGAACTGAAACTTGTCAAAGCATTGCCAGGAAAAAAGTACAAACTTTAATCAGATTTTTAAAACAAAAATTTAACTTGTCATTTTATATTTGTGTCTTTACCTGTGTTATAAGGGGAAATAAGATACACATTCTTTCAGACTTAAAAAAGTATTTAAGTTCTCTCCCCTTAACATTTCGTTCAAGCCTACTCTAATGGTGTTATTATACCCAGCTAGATGTTCCCAATTAAGATGGATCTAAGAGAAATGAATTGACTTCCAAACAATTTGATAAAATCAGAAAATAATTGATTACCTGTGAAAGGTGGGGTTTTCATGTGTTTGTTTAGACAGGCAAAATGAAACAGGTGACCACAATACACTTTCACAGGTTTTAACTTTCCTTTTGAAGCATTTTCATCCTGTTAGAGAAACATATCGACAGTTAGTGATGAGATACAAGACAAATAGTGATGAGATACAAGACAAATAGTGATGAGATACAAGACAAATAGTGATGAGATACAAGATGGAGGTGAGATACAAGACAAATAGTGATGAGATACAAGACGGAGGTGAGATACAAGACAAATAGTGATGAGATACAAGACAAACAGAGGTGAGATACAAAACAGAGGTGAGATACAAAACAAACAGAGGTGAGATACAAGACAAACAGAGGTGAGATACAAGACAAACAGAGGTGAGATACAAGACAAACAGAGGTGAGATACAAGACAAACAGAGGTGAGATACAAGACAAACAGTGGTGAGATACAAGACAAACAGAGGTGAGATACAAGACAAACAGTGATGAGATGCAAGAGAAATTGCTATGTGCACAAGAAAATTTAAAGTGATTACCTTGGGATCCACTGGTAAAACTTTATCACCACACAAGGGGCATTTTTCTAGGGGATATTTTTTGACGCAGTTAATTAGAAATTCACAGACTGGCTGCACAGAGGGCTTTAGAACAAATGGGGGATCCCTGAGGATGAAAGGCTTTAGAATAGATGTTGTTTCTGTTAGAGAGACAAAAGGGCTAACTTAGCTGGAAATATTAAGAAAAGAAAATTTGGTAAAAAACATATAGCAGCTAAATAAAATGCTTTATTTATTGATGAGTGCAAGCATATACAAATTTATGTCCACAGTTTTATTTTTAAAATAAAATATACAATTTAGTACAGAATATTAAATACTTGATTATCTGTATATAAGTTCCAAATGTATTGACAGATACTCGAAATCATTAACCAAATAAACTGCTTACATAAACAAACCTCCCTAATTTTGTAAGCTTCAGTTCTCATGCCATAAAATAGATCCCTACCTCTATCCTGTATCTGATATAACTAATTCATACTAATAATTTGTTTACGAAAATTAATATAAGCTTATTGGCAGCTTCCAACATAGGTATTTCATTAGACAGGATTATTGACCACTCACTTTGGATTTTTTTTCAATGGAGGAACCACACACTGTCTTGCTATCTCTGTAGCTTGAGCTTGGAAACTAACACACAAGAAATGGGGAAAGTTGCACTCCTCTATCTGTACCCTAGAGATAAAATTTATTTTCATTGACAAATTAGCAGTGAATTAGTACTTTCAACACTTACTGTTTAATGCAATACAATATTTGTGTTTTAGGGATCAGCATTTAAAATAATGTCCACACAGTTGTCACAGTGTTCTGAAGTAAACATTGGCTCTTCCCTGATTTCACTCAGCTTTCACATAGCTGTAAGCTCAGATTAAACTGTACATCTGGTGGATGCTGTGCATGAACTACTTGCATGTGTCATAACATCAAGACCATCCAAAATGTCAACCACAAAATTCTAATACCCAAGATTTGACAGTTCATGAAATAACAAATTTTAGTAATTAACATCACCCTTGTCAAAGAAATGCCACATACCCCAGGAAAAACATACATTTATTTTGTAAAAAAAAAAAAAAATTAAAATTTAATGTTTACACATGCTAATTTATAAAAAAAAAAACCCACTCAAAACAAGTTGTCAAAGCAAAAGGTCTTCTCATACACAAAAAACAATCTTTAAAATCAGCTTAATTATTTTTTTTACAAAAGGCTAATAATGTATTATCAAAAGATGTTCAAATGTTGTTACCCTGTCTGAACAATGGGATAGTCATCAGGAACTGTGAATACCAGGTGCATGAAATACTGTTCCTGGTGTAACTTCAAAATGATTTGAGATGTTTTTTGTTTCAGCTTAATTTCATCCTGCTCACTTGTCAGTAATTTTTTTACCGCTGAAATTTCACCAGAACAAACACACAAAGGGTTCTCCTCAACAAATGTTTTCACAAATTTAATTATATGTACAATCTGCAGAGTAAGAGTATTTTTAGATTTAGGGGTCATGAAAATACAACATTGTGACTGTGTTCTATCTGATAAAGTTTTATTACTTCTTAGAAATATTTGTACAAGATACGCACATCTCTTAAAAGAAATCTGATAATGCAAAAGCCAACTTAAATAATTACCCCAACTGACAGTTACCTGTGGCTTTCCGATCAACTTTTTAGCTTCTGTGTCACATATTTTGGTCAATCCATAGAGAAATTTGTCGGCTAATGTCTTTGACTTGAGCTCAATCACAACTGGTATTTCAGGATAAGTTGGTGGAAACATGCATGTTACTGCTATTTGTTTGTGCTCTGTTTTTCTGGAAATATTGAAGAATTAAAATATAAAATTAAATTTTGGCAGCTAAATAAAATGTCTTCATGATTTTTTTAGATGAGTTCGTGCATATCCACTTTTACTTTTGTATATTACTTTAAATACTTGACTATCTGTATGTAAGTTTCAAATGTATTTAACATATACTGGTAATCACTAACCATATAAATTGCTTACATAAACAAACCTGCCTAGTTTTGTAAGATTCAGTTCTCATGTCTTAAAAAAAGATTCCAGTCCTTTTAAACCCATTTCTATCCCGTATCTGATATAACACATTCATACTAATAATTTACCAACTTTAATTCAGGCACACCAATATGAGATATTGGCTAATCACTAGCTAATTGCTGCAGCAAATTTTGCATTATATGATTATATCTAGTTAGTCATTCTCAAATAAGAATAAGAGACTGTATACATTTGTGACATCTAAAATAGTACATAGTCCACTTTTTCAAACCCCCACCGCTGTTCCCTCTGTCAGTTAAAGAAAGTGTACCAAGACAGGCTGTCATGTTAACTAGTAAACACAAACATTACTTAATTTCTGCTCTCACTAAAGCTGGAACTGCTGCTATCAACTGGACATCTTCTATGTGAGGTACATCTTTTTTCACTAGCTCCAGTTCAGCTTTGACAGCTTCATCTGATGAGACTTTACTCATGATCTAGATTCTAGTTCTAATCAGTTCATGTTGGCATGTTGGTACACTGTCTCATGTCTGTGAACATTCATAAAAGAAAACAAAATTATTTGTTGTGATTTGTTAATTTTTCAGAAGTATCACAAGTCAGGGTTGTGTGCAGATGGTGACACCATCCATGTGGGTTATAGTTACAGGTTTCAACAATTTAACTTTAACTATTATATTAATATTAGGCCTAGGGGGGGGGGGGGGGCAATTAGGGCCTAGGTAGATTCTCTAGTAAAGTTTACTAAAAGTAAAAAAAGTGACTTAAAGTCGTATAAAATCTTTAAATTATAGAATATAGATCCACTATTACTTGAATATTAAATAATATAAGCCTGCACCGCATGTAGATATCATTCACATTATCATTAAATGATTAAATTAACCCTGCCTAATTATTAAATTAATATTAGACTCTAGAAGCTAGGATCTATCTAATATTTTAGGACTAATAATCTTTTTCTTCCGGAGGTAGGTTTATAGTACCAAAAGGTTCATCTAATTCTCGACATAGATCTATATAATAAAAGTAAGACAAAAACTGTTATACTTTATTTTTTTTTGCGAAAAAAATGAATAAAGCTAGTCATTTTATTTGAAAGCTTAAAAGATAGAATAATAATGTTATACATAGCCAAAAATAGCATTAATATTTTATATAGGCCTACTAAACAAGAATAATAATAACAAACAAGTTCGACAAAAACACAATTTGATTTGGTTTTTAAAAAACGTAAAAAAAATAAAAATAAAAATCGATATTATTAATATTAATAAAAGAAATTGTTTTTAAAAACTGAAATTTAGTAAAATAAAATTGTATTCTTGTCACTTTTATTTTACTTTACACATATTTATGTTATTCTATGATTTCTTGAAGATTTCTACAAACTTAACTGCGTGCAATAATATAAAAAAAATAGGTTGGGGCATATTTGAATTTGATATAGATCTATTTATCCAAATTGATGCTGAATCTTTTTGCTCTGATAGCAACGTCCAAATATAATCCGATCTGAAAAATATTTTAGTTTATTTATTTTTTTTACACAAGGGAGTGTAACCATACTTAAATAATTTTGCTGACATTATTAATTGAGTAGTTTCCCTTAGTACGGAAGTCTTAAATATTCAATACAGAACATTTTTAGCACATACGGTTCGATTAGATTCATGCATCTGAGCGTTTAAGAGAGAAATACAACTGTTTAAATCTGATGAAATTTATTGGTATACATTTCCTCCCGTCACTCTTCTCTTGGTTTGCTCAGTTATCTTATTTATTTGGTTGTTCCCTTGTTTTCTTAGGAGGTGCAAGTACAATACCAATAGTATCTTGTTTCTTTTTTTCAATAAGTCAGATATTGAAAAAAGTAATCCTTAAAAAATGAAGATTTTGTTTCAAAAAAATTTGTTAAATTTAATTTCCGATTATGATTTGTATTAAAATCCTACTATATGTTTAACATTTTACTCTACATGAAATGACAAAAGCTATAGAAGACAAGTGCATGATGTAAGTCCAGATATTAGTCTTGGTACTGGGGATGAATTCAGAGTTACCAATGTATGAAACCTTTTTTATATTTCGTTTACAATAGAAAAAGATCATGTGAGGGTTTTCACCCACAATAAAATTTTAATATAACACAATAAATACCGGGCAAAACAATACTAAACAATTTTTTGATAACTCGTTTTTATGTTTTACGTTAAACAGTCTATGCAAACCTCATTTCTGTATGTATAACTACTAATAAAGGGCAAATTATTACAACTGAAGCTGCCTTTAGCAGTGTAAGAATTCATTTAATTCAGAGATCAACACAAGTTTCAATGGTTCGAATTTTAATGTATTTTCAATACTTCCAAAATTTGCTCATTAGATGCACAGAATAAATACAATAAAGTACATTTTAAAATACTGCACTAAATAATAACAAACATTAAAAAAACAACAATCAGGCATCACCTGACACTTAAGCATTTTCTTACATTGGAACTCAACTTTTGATTTTACTAGTACTAGGTTCAGTACTTTTAAAAAAAATAATATCTTAAATAAAGTAAAATGTTTTAATTCATATAATTTATAAGCATGTAATATTTTGTCATTTACATCCGGTTCAAACAGAAATAGCCTTAATATATTGAATAATTAAAGAAAAAACAATAGTGAAATTAAATTTAATTTCCCATTGAATGGTAGGAGCCTATAGTTTTTCAATCATTCATAAAATACCAAATACCTATGAGAGCACACAATTTTCAATATCTCACAAAAACACCCAAATATTTTTACACCATTTATTCCTCCAGATTTAAAATCGTAAAATCACATAGACTAGGCAATACATTTGAGTCAGTCATCATCATCTCCTGGTTTGTAATCCGGATCATCATCGTCATCATCATCTTCTAAGTCTAGTTCTCCCATATCGTCAAATAAAGATTCATCCACTTCCAGTGTGTCTCCCTCTGTGTGTACATTAAATTTTAAATCATTAAAGTATTTAATAAAAATTTGAAAAGTATACAATTTAAAAAATCCTATGACAAAATTATTTGGCACAAGGCAAAAAGTAAAGCACTGCAATTTTTATAATACACGTTAATAAGAGTAAAGCATTTTAACTAGAGCTACTGACCTGCTTGCAAAAATTTAACATCAGAGTCATAAAGAGACTGATCAGCCATAAACAGTTCTTTACCTAGAAAATAATTTAGTAGAAAATGTTTTTTTAAATACCTTTGAAGATTCATTAATCATTGTAAAAGTAAAAAGACATTTATACAGGTATTACAAAAAATAAACTTTTAAATTTAAGTCAAAACAGACATTATTTGAACTTTAAATGTTAAGTTACCTGTTGGTTTTTTAGATGAACCATCTGAAAGGCCTTTTAACCTTCTCATCTCAGCCCTTTCTGCATCAAACTTTAATTTCCAAGCCATAAATGACTCAACATTGACTCTTGTACCCTCAAAGCGTTTCTAAAGGTAGTCAAAGGAAGTAAATGATAAACCCCTGAGCAGAAACCTAGTCTTTCATAAGAGATAAAAATATTTTTTTAAAGAATTAAAAACTAAATAAAACTAAATAAAACAGACTTACTCTTTCAGCCTCTTCATCTGACTTCTTTTTTCTTTCAGCTGCTTCTTCTTCATCTTTGGCTGCTTGTTCCATCATGTTTGTCATTCTCTCTTGTACTGCTGATATTATGGTGAATATCATTGCCATACCAAGATTTTCCTCAGCCTGAAATAATTGAAGATATTTTTTATAAAATTCAAAAATTTAAAATTACTGTACACAGAGAAAAATAATGTCCAAATTTATGTGCGGGTATATAAAACTTCATCTCAAACAAGATAGTGTTATAATCATCTATCACTCTTTATTGGCCTTATTTAATATTATTTTTAATTGAAATAAAAGTTTTCACTAATAGCAGTTTAATTTATGCAGAGCAAAAACAAAACTTTCACCTGAGCTTTCATAAAATCCATGAGAGATTCTTGTTGTGCATCATCCATGTTCTCAGTAGATTCAAACTCCATTAATGGTGCTGAATCTGGGTAGTTTTTTGTGTATGTAAACTGTATCACTGCAGACACTATTTTGTTAAAATTAATTTAAAAAAAACAGTGAGTACAAATGTGCATGCAAATCATATTTTATTTTAACAGCACTTTTATTTTGAAAATTTCAAAGCAATTAGGAATAGCAATTGAAATTTTTGCACAAACACAATTAAGTTATGGACATAATAAAAATACATACAGCACTATATTCAATTAGGTATGATTTTGTTAACTGTTACATCATATTCATACACTGATAGCAAACCCAAAGATAAATAAAATTTCAGTTTTTACAAATCAATTTTAAAATTATATTTATATTACATCTTTTAAAAAATCATGTCAGACTTTAGTGGTGCACTTTTTAATTAAGCATATTAAAAAGATCTTACTTGCATGATCAGGAAAATTTTCAGCATCTTGAGGCATCACAGTCAGTTGGAAAACATGGTATGGCTCTTCTTCAACAACTGGTGAATAATTCAAATACTGTTTCAGAAATGGCAAATCCACTAAAATCAGTTGGTTAATAAGGATCAATTTAGTTAAATTACGATTAGCAAATGTAATTCTAATTTTCATCTTATGAGAAAGAAATTATGGGTCTTTATGGATTAATCTTAAGGATAAATTGCAACGATTAGCAAAAACACAAAGTCTCCTGATTTATCATCTTTGAACATCATCGAAGCCACAGCCGTAGCAAACTTGTGTTGTATTGTTGCAAAGAAATTTTGTATAATTACTGCTGCCAGTGATTTTGTTTTTCAAATAATAAACTCAAATTAAGTTTGAAATTACTGCACACAGTGACTGAGGACTAAATCAGGATATTTGTTTAAAGAAAGAACAACATACAACGCTTGTGATATGGTCCTTACAGCTTGTTTAGTTTACAACTAAAAAAAACAACCAAAACGGATGAAACAAAAAAATTTCTTGGAAAATTATATCTCACTATTTACCAGTGATTCCCCAGGTAAATCTCACATTTTGCAGTTTACCGCCGCGCCATTTTGAGTTTCACAATTTATTAACACCCAGAATATTATTAACATTTATTATTTAACATGCAACTAAAATCAATCAATCTGAAATTCGTAAATTAAATGTTCTGTATTATTAAAAGATCACGCCAAATAAAATATGGTTTACAGTACTTTCTGTATATTCCAGAACGGTGTGGCACACTGTACAAATGTTCTTTATGTTTTTAATATCATTTATTACTAAACCATTTCGTCATTTCGTGAGACTACCTTTATGGCTTATTATTATATTACTAGATCTACTATTAAATCTAGATCTACTCATCAAGTGTTATTAGATCCAGATCAGTGGTTCTTAACCTGGGTTAACCAAACACCAGGGGTTTGGTGAGTCTCTAAGAGGGGTTTTTAGTTTTTCACAATAGAATTTATTTTGTCAGTGTGGACAATAAAACTATTTTACATTAAGAAGGATTCAGTGAATACTCTGAATACACATATGAAACTGATGGGGTTCGGTAACTCCAAAAAGGTTAAGAACCACTAATACTAACTAATATTAATAAGCAGAATAAGCTAAATTTCCTACTTTCGATTTCATCTGGATAAATCGACTGCAGTGCTTCAATTTCGTTTCTCTGCTCTTCCTTATAATCGGTCATCCTTAAAGTTTTTAGTCCCCACTTTAGGGTAATTAACTTTATAATTAATTTAAGTCAAGTGAATGGCTTCAACTCATTAGATTCATAATCTTGTAAATCAATCAAGGGCTTTGATATAGCATTTCATAAACGTCAACAGTCCCATGTGTAAAACCCCACCATCTTGTTTCCGGAAAAACAAAAAGAGCTCTAACAGTCTAACGTTATGTATGATTGGTCGCATTTTAATGAAAAACCAATCGGATTCTTTTTCTTATAAAGTTACAAAGAATTGTTTACTTCCGCTAGTAACAAAAATAAATTGCATCTACTTTGCGGCTTGGATTATTGTTTTATTGAACAAACAATATCAAATATTGAATAAAGACAGTAATGTCTCGGCAAGCCAATCGAGCTGGAGATCCTAGAAAAGTTGTATGTTGTTATTTTGTTCTGTATATGCTGCAAAGGGCTTTCTAAAGGCTGTTCCTAGATCTAGGAAAAAAACTGTTGATGCCCCTCCCACCCACTTTTCAGTCAGATTCAGAGATTCCCTTATCTTAGCCCTTTTCTATTTGTGTGCTTCCACTTCCCCGAATAATGCCATAAAAAAACATTGCTGGGCATCACAAACTCATTTTTATTAAATGCCTTTTGACATTTTATTTTTTGTTATTAAAAACATGTGTGCTTTAAAAAAAAAATTTTTAAATAAAATTTTCAAACATCGACGCTAAAGCGATTGCTTGCTTTCATTTTCTACCCCGCGGGCAAAAAATCCCACCACAGTTGGCGGGGGTCACTCTGTGTTCAGCAGGCCTACATATATAGCATACGTAATAAAATGTACAAGTGCTAATTGAGATCGTCTGTGTCTTCACTTTTCTCTTTCTCCTTCCCCCCCCCCCTTTCAAGCCAATAGAAAAACAGACCTACTTCTGATCATTTTTTAAAGTTCACATAGGCTTATATAAATATATAGAATGAGATCTACTATTACGCATGCTAGATAGAGGTAAAAATAATTTACTTAACAGTTGGATCTAGCTAGATCTAGGACTTGGGTGTTGAAATTAAAATACTTAAACTATGTCAACATTAAATTTCTAAGACGAAAAAATATCAGACATTCCTGATATCTGTTTTATTAAGCAAGAAGAAATAGTGACATGTAAAATTTGTAAAAGCATTAGGCCTAGATCTAGATTACTTAATTATTGTTAAATTGTAGATCTAGGCCCAGTGGAAATTTGTACCTAACCACCCCCTTGGCCTAACAACATCCTGCTATGCCACTGATAACCTGTAAAAATGTTTAAATTACTTTGGCATGTATCAAAATTAAAAACAATTACCATGACACCAGGGCTTAATTTGACAATAAATTATGAAATTTTCTCTTACAGCTTGTTCAGGTTAGGACATTTTGAAAGTAATTGTAATTTATGTTCTCAATTTGTTTCAGAATGGGGAACTATTCACATTAACATATGGTGCGTTAGTAGCTCAACTGATAAAAGATTATGAGAATGATGATCAAGTTAACAAACAGCTGGAAAAAATGTTGGTATCTTGTTATATTCATATACTTCATTGGGATTTAAGTACATAAAATACTGTTGTATTGTTTTCCCTTAGAAAGAAATAACCATTTATACTACATAATAATGAGAAATTAGAATCATCCTTTTTTTCAGGCCTAAGTTGTAATATAATTATTTAATACAATACATTTAGTAACATTTTATTTTTTGAATAGTGTATATTTGATTTCTTTAGTCTTTATTATTACAATATTAACTTTAGTCCAATTTCATGTAAACTATAATTGTGTAGCCGTAGCCACCCAGGCAAAAATACACTTGGTTTTTATTCAAGATTTTGAAAACTTTGTTTAAACAACAAACTAGCTTTTAAAAAGCCTGACCTAATTATAGATGTGTATTGAAACGTAAATATTTTCTCATATCTTATGAAAATTTTTGATAATTAAACTAAAAGAACCTGGATTAACATTTCAACAGAGTGGTTTTTATCTACAGAAGTAAAGAGCTAATTATCTATCATCTTTTTATTTGTTTTAAAATCCTTTACTCAATGTACAGGGGCTATAATATGGGTGTCCGTTTGATTGAAGACTTCCTTGCAAGAGCAAACCAAGGTCGATGCAATGATTTTAGGGAAACAGCAGATGTTATTGCAAAGGTATTTTTATGTTTTTGAATATTACATTCATTTTTTTTTAACCAAGAGCATATTTGTTTTTTTAAAAGCTTAAATTATGTTTTAAATTTTCGTATGCTAATAAAACTGATATTGTTAGGTGGCCTTTAAGATGTACTTAGGATTGACTCCAGCAGTCAGCAACTGGAGTGCGGCAGGGGACGAGTTCTCGCTTCTTCTTGAGTCCAATCCATTGACTGAGTTTGTAGAACTGCCACCCGGTCACTCTAACCTCAACTACTCAAATCTCATGTGTGGAGTTCTGAGAGGCGCTTTAGAAATGGTATTTACAATAATATTAGACGACCAATAGTTCATGTAAAATGGTTAATTATTAGTATTTGTAAGCAAATTTTCTTCTGTACATTTTGTTTATTATGAAAACAATATGGACTAGTTTATTTCAATGCTTTTTAAATACCTACTAAGATGGAGAAATCCAGCGATGTGTTGAGAAAGCTTATAAATCAAAATGCAACTGCGTGAAAAATGTTAAAATACATAGCTACATTCATCAGTTTTCTTCTACATATAATTGCTTTATTATATATTAGTGTAAACCTCACATCTCAGATATTTAATACATGGTTACCAGTTGATACCTCACACCTCAGATATTTGATAATGTATGGTTACCAGTTGATACCCCACACCTCAGATATTTGATAATGTATGGTTACCAGTTGATACCCCACATCTCAGATATTTGATAATGTATGGTTACCAGTTGATACCCCACACCTCAGATATTTGATAATGTATGGTTACCAGTTGATACCCCACACCTCAGATATTTGATAATGTATGGTTACCAGTTGATACCCCACACCTCAGATATTTGATAATGTATGGTTACCACTTCCATTTTCCAGGTTCAGATGGATGTTAGTGTTCAGTTTGTACAGGATACACTCAAGGGAGATAATATCACAGAAATCAGACTCAAGTTTAACAAACGGTTAGAAGATGCAGTTCCTGTTGGAGAGGACTAGTGAAATGAAGACTGGAAGGCATTTTCCTGGAATGGTAGAGAATAGAATGAATGGTTGGAATGAAGAGAGGTTGTGCATCATTGGACCAATTTATGTGATTTTTTTGTGTAGCTGTTAAAAATGACAATTTAGCTTCTCATTCAGAAAACTCAAAATTTAAACATTTCTAAGATTTGAACGTCTAATGCACTGTAACTTCAAGGAAGTATCATTAAGCAGAAATTAGAACATACAAAATATTTATTTTACTGTGAAAGGGTTGTATATTTTAGGATATAAATTTATTTTTTTTTTGTAAATACTTTTTTTAATGTATGTTAGTCTTGAAATATTTAAGCTGATTTTTAGCTTCAATGTTGAGAAACAGTCATGTGTGTAAGTTACTATTTCTTCAAAATATTCATTATGTTTTTAAGCTTAGTTTGAAAAGCACAATGCAGTCAGTGATACATGTAGAAACTGTAATGGGTTTTTTTTTGGTTAAATTGAAAAGTATACTTTTTAAAGCTGTAGTAAAGAATTACACATTGTTATGATTTTTTTCTAATAAAATCTTTGGTATTATATACAGATAAACTCTGTAATAAATTTTATTTATACCATTAAAGGATTTTTTAAAAGTTATTTCTCATTATAAGTAACTATAATTTTAAAAAATTTTAAACCCTTTAGACAGGGGTAAATAGAAACATCTATGTTAATCTTTTTCTTAATACACATACAGACCCACTAACTTGCAACAATTTTCTATATGAGTTGAGTTGATATGTTTATGGACTGCTATCAAGCTTTCTTCATGTGAGTTGAGCACAAAAGATGATCCTTGTGACTTTCCACATAACAATTATCCCCATACTCATTTAGCTTGTGTTACATGCTATACAAGCTAATAGTGTAAAGCATCTGATTTAATGTCAAGTATTAAGGGCTTGTGATGCTAGTAAAATCATAATATTTTATTCCATAAAAAATGTATTGCAACCTCAGGAAGTTCTATTAGCTCATTTGCTGCTGATCTTTAAACTTAATCAGTTTTAAAATCTATAATTGTAATATTCCCTTTCAAACCCGATGGTCCTAGTGAAGTAGAGTTCATGTTCATATGAAGGGATACTGTGGTCATCACTATGCCCAGCCACCTTTACTTTCCCTAATGTGAGTCAGGTACCCATCTGGTGTAATGCTGTAAGGAACCCTCTCCTCTTGGCAATGATCTACAGCAATGTATTAGACAACCATGTATGTATGGCTCACAGAACATTAGGTCTACTCTGGGCTATTGTTGAGTTTCCTCTCATTGGGCACATGATGTCCAAATAGGTCAAGGCAGTGCTTGAACCAGCCCATGACAGTAATGCCATTATGAGTGAGCTGATGGCAGGTACATAAAGAGGGGTGGATTTGCATTGAATAAGCTAGGGGTAAGATTGTAATTTTAAAATAGGCCCTGGTTAATTGTTGCTAAAATTCTTTTTCCAATGCTAAAAAAATGTGTTTGTGCTTGAACAAAACAAGAGCTAACTTTTCTAACCGCCATCAAAATGACAAACGAGGAGGGGAGGAAGAAGACTGACAAAAGTCAATTTATGTGGATGCTGTGTGCACTAGGGAAGGGACAGTTCTATGTGGTCGTCTTAAACCAGGGGTCTCCAAACTTTTCCGCCCGAGGGCCGCATTGACTATCAAAGTTCAGTTCGGGGGCCAGTTTCTTCCAGACATGTCTTTGATTTTTCTGGGAAAAGTTCCTCAGCTATCACCAACAAATGTTTTTTGAGTGGATAAAAAGATCTCCGCGGGCCGGATGAGAGGACCTCGCGGGCCGCATCCGGCCCGCTGGCCGTAGTTTGGAGACCCCTGTCTTAAACGAATATGAACCATAGTCATTACCTGACTGACATTGCAAAGCCTGTAAACAAATCACGGTCAGGTCATGTTTACACTTCTGCTGAAGTGAGTGATGAAAGAATACAGAAATAGACGTCATAAGCTTGATACACGATCGCATTTATACTGGAGGTGTAGGAAACTTTCGTAGTGGAGGGGGGAGGGAGTGGAAAGAGTGATGCCACACTTTAAAGAAAAATATGTAAATTATAATGACGATTGATCAGTGTAGCCAAACAACATTGACCTGGATTTGCAAACATCATTAGCAGGCTATCCGATGGTCTATTGGTTAGCAATGTTATGAGGGATATGAATTATGATGAATGAAACCAGTTAAGTTTTGCTTATTTGCATACTGTTCATTTTTTTGTTACATTACCTTCTTATGAAAAAGAAATGGATGTTTTTGAAAATGGAGTTTTAGTCAGAGGAGGGAAGGGCTGACTTTTTGGTGTGTGTGTAGGGGGGGGGGGGGATCGGCATGAAGAATTTACGTCATTTATGGAAGACTCCAACATTACTTCAAAAATTGTACATTTCGAAACGCTACCTTTAAATTATTTTTAATAACCTACTTATAGGCCTAAAATACAACAAGAGCTCTTTAATTTGTTTTCCAAGTAGTTTTATTTAGGGGTTATCCATAAAAGACGTTACGCTTTTTTTTGACGATTTTTACCTTCCCCCAACGCCTCCGTCACACATCGTCACAAAAAGCCAGACCCCCCCTAAAATGACGTCACACCTCTGTCTACAACCGCCCCCCTCTCGAAATTGCAGTTGCATTTTTTTTAAACATCGATATTTTTTTCAAAAACTGTCAACATAGAGTATTTTAATCAACTCCTATTACAATTTATTAAAACCGTTTTCTAAAACGCGAAATAACGGCTAAAACTCGTTTTCTAACATTGTCTTTTTTTTTACAACTCAAAAGTCACACCATCTGAACTCCCCCTCATCACACACCGTCACAAAATTATGGATCCCCCTTCCCCCTTAGAGTAAGATGTCGTTTATGGACGAATACTTATTAGCATAGGTAGTAAGGGAAAAATAGTTGTGTTTTTTTTTTACCGGAGCCTAACCCCTTAATTTTTTTGTAAGTAAAAAATATAAGCTACGTAGCTTTCTTAGACCCACACCACATCCCACGCCACCTTTCAGTCACACATATGATGGGCATTTTTCCCTATAAAGACTTAAATTTCTTAACTCACTTCCTCCAAGATGGGTGACATTGTTTCTGGAAAATAAATTTTTTTACCGCCCCCCCGAACGAAAGGAAATTTATATAATTTATATAGAAAATATATACTTTTAACAGTGTCCGCCCCCCCCCCCCGAAGAAAGTTTACCGCCCCCCGAAGATTTCAAGTGCCCCCCCGGAGAAAAATGTCTGGAAGAAACACTGCATAGACCCCATCTAGAATCATAACAGTATAATAATAACAGTAGGCCTATTGACTCAGTATTGAGGTCACTAGTCACCAATCAAACGACGTCACGTTATTTAAAACTATTTATACCCCACACCATGCCATCCCCTGTCGCACAAAATGCCAACTGAACTGAAATGGGTCAACATTGAGCTTATTAATATTTTTTACAAGTCTAATTTTAAAACAAAATCTAAAAAAAAAACGCAAAATAACGGCTAAAAATAATTTTAAAATTTACTTTTTAAAATGCAAAAGTGACACGTAACAATGATCGCACCTTCGCCCCCCCCTCTCGTCACACATCGTCATAAAAGTCCGAACCCCACCACCACCCTTGGTTTGTGACGACATCTTCTTACTGGAAACTGAATTAGTAATTGAATTATAATTTGTTTCTCCTTATAAATATTACATTTTCACTAGATCTAGAACCTTACGCCTCTCTCTAACAAAAAATAGACGATTCTATTCTTTTATAAGATTGTATTAATAAAATTCAATAAAACTGATATTTTAAAAGATTTTATGACGTTAAACAAAAGGCATATCATTGATTGATAGATTGATAGTCTTTGTTGGTCAAGTCAAGACCTAAATTCATATAGATCTAGATAGAAGATAGGCAAACTGTATTTAAAAATTGATTATTTTCCCCAGCAGCCTAAACCTGCTTGGCTTTTTTATTTTTTTATTTTTTTAATTTTTTTATAATAGTACTCTTTTGTGCAATGAAATCACACCTACATTACTCATCAACAAATATGGCGTCCACAAACGGAGTAACTTCGAGTCCGTCAGGTAGTCTATCGCCAGCTGGTTCTAACAGGCGTAACCAGGTAAAGTAGATTATCAGATTTGTTTTATATTTGTGAACCCCTGTAAACTTTAATCATACCATAATTTAAAAGATTATGCTGAAACGACATCAGTATCGTTGTTTGTTGTTGTTGTTCTCTCCCTTGAAAAAAAAGTTCTAGTTGTAGGCCCTCCCCTGCTCCATATAATATAATTATATTTTTTGTTTTATCATGTGTAGATCTAGATTTCTATTTGAAAATAATACATTTATTAAAAATAACCTTTTAAATCAACATGTGGATCTAGACTATAAAAAGAATGTTAATTATATGTCTCTTTGTAGGCCTAACTAAAAATAAATTAAATAAGTTCCCCAAAAATTACCAATACAAGACAAACTCTTGACCTGGTCTATTTTTAGGAATTAAAAAAGGGGAGGCCAGCTCCAGCCAATCAAAATAGGCTATTCCTCAAAATATTTTGGTACATTCAGACATGATGTCACACATGATGTCATTCATTCATATTGTAAATGGTTTTATGAGTAACAATTTAATCTAATGAGATCAAGCCTTGCCTAATTAGAATCCACAATATATATAATAATATATTCTAGATTAAAAAAAAAATGTTAGTTTAAAAAAAAACACCTATAGACTTTTGCATCTAGGATTATTTAAATTTTTATTGAACATGTGTACCAAATTATCATAATAGTAAAGCTAATGTATTCGTTTGGCCACATTGAATAATCATAGGACATAGGTCTACTATATCACCAAACACACAATCTGACAAATGAACCACGAGCAAAGGTAGAAAATTAATATTAACATATTATACTTATTCTCTGTAATGTGGCATATGTTGATGGACATGGTCAACTATCAGATTCCAGCTGTTATATGTCCAGTGTGGAGGGTGTAAGGTGGGGGATTTATGCTTTTTTGTCCAAACATGAGAACGTTTTAGCTAGTTATTTTTTTTTAAAATCAGTTTATTGCTTAAACCTAGAATTGCTAATTTAACCATGATACCTTAACCCTTACATTCTCATCCATAAGATTTGCAAATATCACCAAGCTGGCAGTAAGTTAGTTTCCAACGCAGGTCTTACAGTATCATACAAAAGTTAGCTGATAATATTCCTTCATTTTAAAAGACAAAAGTATTCTGTCTCCAGGTTATGGTTGGTGAATTGCCAACTGACTTTTTGCGCACAGGCCCTTCACTGACTCAAGAACAAGAAGATGAACGCATCGCCAGGATTTTACAGGCGCAGCAACAAGCTGGTGGCAATGTTGTTTCTACTGGCAACATTGTTGGCAGGTTGAGCATATCTGTGGTTCAGGTAGGTGCTTATTCACGCAGTATTTTCTTCATGCTTTTTAATTGTCAAACAACAGTGTCACTTGTAGTATGAATTAATGAGCTCTTTTTTTGTAAATTTACAGCAGTGTTAAACCTAAATAATTTATAAAATGTGTGTAAACTGATTTGGTTTATTTGAAACTGATTAGCTCTGTTAAAAAGTTGAGCACAGCTAAAAGTTGTAACACAAAGATTATGATTATTCATCAGGCAAAGCTGACCAAGAATTATGGCATTACTAAGATGGATCCATACTGCAGGATCAGATTGGGGCACACAGTGTTTGAAACACCAACAGCTTACAATGGAGCAAAAACTCCACGATGGAATAAGACAGTTACTGCGTACGAATTTAAATTTTTTATTTTTAAAAATAATTTTTAGTGTATGCAACATAGTCTAAAAAATTTGTATTAATATTTAGTCCTAGATATTTTAATTAGATTACTCTAATCAAATGAGGAATAATTTGCTTTAAACATGTTTTGTATATAGTATAAATAATTTTGTATATAGTTAGTAAATATTTGCAAAATTATAACAATGCTGTATATCAATAATAATTTTTATTTTTGACAGATACTTACCATTTGGAGTGGACTCCATGTATCTAGAAGTGTTTGATGAAGTAAGCTATTGTAGTACAGAGTGTAAAATTAGATCCATTTATACTGTTTTAGCATCACCCATATCTTAATTTTTGTGAAAATTTCCCAGAGATCATTCACTGTGGATGACCGGATTGCATGGGCTCACATTAAGCTCCCAGAAACTGTCATGACTGGGGAAACAGTGGATGAGTGGTTTCAGCTCAGTGGGAGGCAGGGGGATGACAAGGAGGGGACTATCAATTTGGTCCTGACGCTGTCAGTAAGTTGAAGATTTACATAACTTCCACTTGAGCTCAAACTTCCTTGTTTAAATATTGAATACTTTAGTCTGTTAATAAAATACATTTTGTGTAATATTTGTTACAGAATGACTTTTTAATTTGTAATATAGATGTTTTAAAAAAATTGAAATGATTAAAAATCTTCTTTCCTCAAGGCTCCTGTTGAAAGTAATGTCATCAGCTATACCTACACCACACCTGTGCCTATGATGATGCCTATGTATTACCCAGTTCAACAACCAGGTAAACTTTTTACTCACTATGAAGACAAAGTGAGTTGTTAGTGTAAGACATACAAGATTATATCCTAGCAGTGCCATACCTGTTAAAAGTTTTACCTGAACATTCAAGTCACAACACACCAAATATTTAGTGGAAAAATACTATTACACCCACTGTTACTAAAAATCAATTTATTCTCTATCTTGAAATATGTTTTGAAAAGAGTCACTTTTTTCTTAACCACAGTTTGTTCATGTTTACATTTATTACTTTTTTGTTTTTTCAATGAACCTGGACTTTTTTTTCTTAGAACCATAATTATTGGTGTGAAGAAAAGTATTGATCAATAATTATTACTAACAAAATTAAAGCTGTTTTTGACCATCTTACATGTTGACTTTTTACTGAAATAAAAAAATATTCTTTTGAATTCTAGTGGGTCAGATGCCACCTTATCCACCTCAGCCTCCACAGGGTCCCTTGTACACAGAAGAAGATTTAAAACAGGTTCGTTAATCCATTGTACCAATGGTATTTTTTTACTTGAAATGTTATTTGCAAGTTACCTATTTGGAAGTTACTAATTGTTACTTTGTGATGTTTTGAAGGTGAAGGACATGTTTCCCAACATGGAAGATGAGGTGATCAAGTCAGTGATGGAGGCCAACAGGGGAAATAAGGATGCCACTATTAACTCATTGTTGTCTATGAGCTCAGAATAAATGATCACTGTTAAACGAGATGAATGAGTGAAGACTTTGGAGTGATTACCCTTTTTTGTTACCGAAGCTTGTATAAAATATAGATTTGTCAACAATTTATTTGAGAAATTGAGATTTCTTTTCTTAAATTAAATGGAATTTTTGCTAGCTTGTATAAAGATGTAAAATTATTGTATTTCTTATTTAGATTTATTATATACATTAAGAAGGAGACATTTCCGTTTTAGATTATAGAAGTCAAATTGAGCTTTAAAATTCTTTTTGAAGTACCATCCAAACAAATTTTATCAATATTCTAACTACTAGTTGCTTATAGTTGTTTGCCTGTCAAATCCAAAGTACTGTGTTGTTTCATCATTAGACAAGATTTTGCTTTCACCTGCACTTTATTATTGTTTTTTGTTCTCTATTAGGTTTTTATTTCTTATACAGAATTTTCACATCTGCATAATAAAAAGTGGTTGCTGGAAATAATTTTATTTTCTTGGTGATATGTGAGAGATAGCAAATAAAATTACTACTATTTAGGTTCGCTTAATAATAGAACAAAGGTTGAATGTCAGTAACTGCGTCAGTTTTATTTTGGGCTAGATTTATAATCGTAGCATAACCTTAACCTTTACAACAAACTGGAAAGTTAAAAGTCAATTAAGCCCTAGTTAAAAATTGAGTTTTGTTTGTGTTTACCGAAGTTAAAAAAGCACAGAATGATTGAGCAAAGACTGCATAATAACTTTAAAATTCATATCAATCAACGTTAAATTTGTTTTCATATAAGTAATAATGTAAAATTTCCTATCATTTAAGTAATGGATTGTAACCCTTGTCAGTTACTGTAGTAGACAATAATTTATTGTACTAAATATATATTTGTCTGCTGAATATTTTTGTCACACTAAATGAAGAAACTATTAAACAGTTATGCAGTGTGATCAATTAGAAAACTGCAGACATTTTTGGCTTTCAATTTTACTACTGTAAATAAAAATATATGTATACTTTCACAGTGTCTATTTTTAAATGGTTTTATTTCTTTTGAGTTTTCTATATTTATTTTGAGTTGTGTTTAAGGTACTGATAGTTGTACAGAAGTTTTATTCATACCTATAAAACTGTAAACAAAAATTTAAAAATGTTTCTATGATAGTATATGATGTTTCTTATTTCAGATTTATTTTCAAACTTTAAAAAAATAGGCATTTATGTTAATAAAGTTATCTATTGTGTGTTGTGTTTTGATTTGTATTATTTTCGAAGGAATTTACTGTGTTGCTGTTCAGTAATATTTTGTAAAGGTATATAAATGTAATAATTAGAATAAGCACTTTTTCAATCTGTTTCTATTTTTGTAAAAGATTGTAAACACAAGCATTGTCTAACAATCATAATCAATTTAATTTTCCAAATTTTTCTTCTAAAAGATAAATTTAATATCCTGCAACACATTTTATTCTTTCAGTAATTAAATCTATTTAGCTATTATTTTGTAAATAACTTTTTCTGTGTGCTTTGGTTATCTTATTTGTAGTTTTATGGGTTGTCTAAGATAAACATAATTTGTCATTTTCACAGCTTTTGTACTTTTTAAAAGAAATATCATGTGTCTTAATAGTTTATCCTTAATTGCAATATTATAAAGCTTCTATTTTCAGTTGGTTTTCTTTTTGGTAACCAGGGTGAATAATTAAAACATGAACATGCTTTTCATTCCATTTTATGTTCTCAGGTGGCTTTGGACTATGATTCTGTTTTGTGCTTCAAATTGAAGTACTCTCCCAATCATTCATAATTGTTGACTAACAAGGTACACAGACATCTCTTAAGAAATTCAGTAAAATATAATTTACACTTCAGTCTACTAGAAGATTTTTTAAGGATTTTATTAGAATAAATATGTAAGTTAATCTAATATAATCCTAAAATGTGATGCTTCTGCTGCTAGTTATGTTTATCTGATTATCAAAATCAAACATTTCAAACTAGACATTTAAAGTTTTGCTACATGCAATTTTAAATGAATTATTTTTGTATTCTTCAAGCTGCTTAGAATGGTTAGGCAGATATTAAAATTTTGATTTAAATAGTAAAGATTGCAGCAAATGCTACTTAATTATTAATATAAAGATTTTAAAATAAATTACATAGGATTTTGTCTGATTTAAACAAACTAATATGTATTACTTTACATTTAAGTGTCATATGAATGTATATTGGCAAAATATAAGGCCATAATCCTAGTACAAGTCATATCTTTGTACACTAACATAATATCAATAGCTTTTTGCCTCCCTTCAAAACTATCCAATCAATGTAACCTACAATACGTTAACTTTTTAAAGCTGGAAGTTGAGTGTATTATAAAATGTATAAATGGCGTGACACATTATTAACAATGTATCTTTTTATGAAGAAAATATTTCAGATTGTAATATGTGTATAAATTCTTTTTAAAATGATACAGAGTTTTGTTTTATTTGATGTATAGTGTGCATCCACTTTTATGAAACTGTTCAGTTGCTGTGTCATGATTGTTTCTAAATGTCTTTCCATACCCACCAGCATGATAAGTTTGTCTTGATTGAAATCTAGTGAGCTTATTTTCCTAAACTTATTTGGAACTATCAAAATCTACCTTCTTCTTGCATCTGATACACACGAAGTATAGAATATTTTGTTTTAATTGGAGCTTAGTGGTGACTTCATTGATACTAGTGGGCACAAAACGTGTGTTTAGCCTATAATAAACTGCATTTTCTGGGTGTTAAACCGTAAGCAATTGACTGTGAATGAAAATCTTTTAGAAATTCCAAAAACATGTTCAAGGGACATACATTTGATCTCTTTATTACAATGTACAAATTTACAATATTTCTTATAAAACACGTTTGATAAGACCTATTTAATGTCATCAATACAATATGTGATTATGTTAGGGCATAGACATGATGGTATAAGCATAATAAATATTCAAATTACACAGCTGGTAAACAAATGGTAGAAATTTCAGACTCTGTATCACAAGTGCTAGTGCTGTTGAAGATATTAGATGAAATCAATTGAGCTGGCAACAAATTTGGGAAGAACAAAAGATAAATTTTATTATGATAAAGTGTTAATTTAAGCTTATTTACATCATGTAAGATGGATTTAAATTTTTCAGATGTAAACACACATTGAAATGATTATTGTTCCTTAAATAGTAAAATCTTTCTCTTATTATCACATTCTGAACTATCAAATTAACATTAACAACTGGAAGATCAACACAGTGGTAAAAATTGTTCCTCCTTAACAGATGCTCGGATTATAAAAACATAGTTGCAGCGTTGGGAATTGGACCAAAAATATGAACAGCTGAGATGAATCATCACTTTCAGCAAGAACAATTACTAAGGTCTTTAACAAGAATGGAAGAAAAAATTCTGACAAAAACTAAATAAGATTTTTTTTTATAACTTGAATGTTTAAAAAAAAATTTCATTTGAATTAAACACATCCAAATTATAACTACATTTTTATTTGCTCATATGTATACTTTTTTTTTAGCTGAAGTCATGTTAACTGACATTTTTGATAATGCATTTGTAATAGGGTTGATTTTTCACATAGTCATGCAAATAAATACAATAACATAATTTCTATAAATCTATTTATATTTTAATGGATTCATGTATAATGTATATATAAAATATTGAAGAACAATACATAGTACTACTTTAATGGTGAATTGTATTATCTAGGAAGCAGACAGTGAATTTAGAAAAAAAGATGATGAAACTAAAAACAGTGTTGATGCAATAAATAATATCTTTAGCAGCTGTACAGGCAACTGAAGCTGAAAACAAGTCAGTTAACAAATCACAAGTTTAATACTTCCTCCACAACTCAAATGCCATCTCATTATTTCTGCTTGATTGGCTAGTTAAACACAAACAGAACAGTATTCAACACTGTCACATGTTAAAAAAAAAACATTTAATATTTCACAAGTGTTCACCTCAGGACAACAATTAAGACAGTATGAAAATCCATTGTACATGTCACAGTCAACTTGTCTGAACCAGTTTTTATCCTTTTATGATTAACAGGTATTTTTTAAATTTCTCCACACCAAAGACATGATTAAGCAAAAACTATGTTAATTAAATATCAGGATAGCAGCCAATTATAGACTATTGAAACAAACGATATCACAATTTACTATCTACTTGTGTAACAAATGTCACAATTAATTCTTTATTTCTGATACAAATGATTTAACATTGATGTAATTATTTATTATTAGAACATGCTTTCACTTTCATCAACAACTGAAAAATTGTCACATTTAATAATCTATTTCAGAAACAAATGATATCACAACTAATTATCTATTACTGAAATATGGTATCACAATTATCTATAACTGAAACAATTTTCACAATCAATTATTGAAACAGAATTATCTACTCTTAAAACAAGTCTTCTACCACTGAAATAACTAACAATTATTACTCTTTCTGAAAGAAATGTTACAATTGATTACCTATTACTGAAACATGAAGCAACAGTCACAATTAATTATCAATTTTCTGAAACTAATGTCATACTGATTATCTACTACTGAAACAAAATATGTGACAATTAAGGCTCAAGCCTGCTAAGCCCAATGAAAGCTCAAAGGTTAGGATATTTTGTAAACAATATGTATTAAACCGGTTGAGTTAACCTCAGTATTTTAAATTTGTTTTTAAAACAGCTTAGCTCTGATGACAGAAGTCATTATAAAAAGACATTTAAATATATAAATTGTAAATCTTGAAACAGCTTACACTACATTGACAGCTGTCTGTGCCTGTAAGTGCTAGTCTTAACACCATTTTTAACACTGGAAAATGATACAATTTTTGTGTTTAAAAAATAACACTCATGATTTCCTAATTTTGTCCTACTTAAATTCAAGTTGAGAAATGCTTATTTAAAACAATTTCATATCACATTTTGGCTCTTTGAAAAAAACTGATTTAAAAAAGCTGGCAAAAACATGAAACTAATACCCAGCTCTCAATATATGTTACTATATAGTTTCCTTGTGCATAAAAATGAATAACAACTCAATCTGATGAAGTTATGAGCTCGTATTTACATATGGATTTTGTGATCAGTGTACACAGCTGTAAATAATTTTATATCTCATAATTTATTTCAAGGAACAAAGTAAATATTGCACCCTACATGGGTTTTATCTTGATGAAAAAAACATAGGAATAAAATAAATATATTATGTTTACATTCACTTTAGATAATTCAAAAAACTGAAAATTTTAAATTTTATCTTAAAAAAATACATGAGAACAAAATAAACTGAAAGAAACAATTTAGTTAACACAAATTTACTTTGTTATTAATTTTTTTTTTTAAATTCTAGAGTCCAAGAATGATGGTTTGAGGCTAGTCTGTGTTAAATACCCCTACATTATGACGGCGCTAAATGACCAGTTAACATAAGCTAAAGCTGCCAGATTCAAGTTGGGACTTCAAGCCAACACTAACATATAGGGTCTACAGTTTTTTTTTATACCTACAACTATCAGACTTTTAAGCAACCTTTTTAAATACACTGAAAGTTATTTTTTAATCAGCTGATTAAAAACACTGAAAGTCCACTTTTTAGGCAACATGCCCTGTTATCAAAGAGGTAGTAATTTCCTTTTCTTAGCAGATATTGGGAAACAAGAATATTCGTTGTACCAGTAGTAGCAGACATGTGAAGACAGTGGAGATACTAGAACATTGGTGAAGGTGTGACTGTCAAATTTAAAAATTTTTAATTTATTTATTATTATTATTGGTAAGAAAATATGGAAAAACCTGAAGCACACTTAACTCTTGATGACATCCTGCCTACACAGTGGTCCCAGCAGAAAGCCTAAATTTTATTAGTGGAAGACTTTCACTGAATTTCTTTACCAATGTCAACTAGTCAACTATTTTATTATGCTGTTTATGTATTCAGAACCACTCTTCAAAGTGAAAGTTGTGAGGTGGTGATTAAACCTCTACAATTTCTGTTTGATTATAAACAAACTGAAGAAAAAATGCTTTGTAATTGTTGCTTTACTGCATGTATGTATTTTCAAAGCTTCTATGAACCATCCCAAGGTTTTCTAAGATTATTCTCTGATGTGGTATTTGCGATAGCCAATTTTTACTCTAACAAAAACCAGCATTTCCCAATAAATAAATAATTGTATTCAAGTTTCCCTAGTTTTTTCCTAAAGGGAATTTTTTTTTCAAAATTAACTTAAAAAAAAGATATAATGTGGAGATATTCCAAAATTCAATATACAGATGAAATATTAATAAAGGCTTAAGTGTTGGGAGAGTTTGACATTTTTTCTTTGTCAATTGTGCTTACAAAATACAAAAAAATCAAAACTAGTAGACAAATATTTCTTTAAGGCTTGAGTATGGGTTTTAATTTGACACAAATCTATTTAGCATGCATGCAACACAGCATGAGCAACTCTTGCATGTTGAAGTGATTAGCATGAAACATTCAAAGGTTTATTTACAAATAAGGCAAATAATTTAATTAAATATATGAGAAAGGCAGAAGTTATCCATTTTCCCTGTCTTTTGTTCTGTGTTCCAAGACAGCTCTCCATAATCTGCACTTCAGACCCCCTCTGCAAGAGAGCAAAACAACTTTTATTTATATTTACAAGCGTATTTCACGGAATAATTTAATAATGTAAATAGTTGCTAATGATCACCACCTAATGCCTTACAAAGTACAACACAATGAAATAGGCTTACTTCATCTTGAGATGTTGTATATCCTGCCATGTGACCAACTCTAGCAGATCATTCAATGTGTACTCTTCTTCACAAATCTACAAAATATTTCCTGTTATTTCCACTGTTTATCTACTCATTTTCACTAATCTACAGTATTATTTTGAGTGCTTATTTAGCAAATGATTTTCACAAATCTACAGTATTATTATGAGTGTTTCTAAGCAAATGTTTTTCACATACAATGCAGTATTATTTTGAGTGCTTATTTAGCAAATATTTTACCAATCTACAGTATTATTTTGAATGCTTATTTAGCAAATGAAATATTCAGCTACATGTACAGAAATTAGTATGAATTATCTTCACAACCATTCAAACAAAACTTACAGTTTGAATGACCTGTGCATCTAATCTGAGATTTTGTAGCCAGTTGACCAAATCTTGGTCATAACTGGAGAAATCTGGCTGGTCAATATCACTAGTGTTTTGGGTTGTATCTGCTGGAGAAATAAATTAAATCATGTCAAACCTATCTTTTGCTTTTCTTTGGTTGAAAATTTTAACTATTTGATTACTTCCTTTACATAGTGAAGCATATCAAACCAATCATTTGTCAAAGAAGTTGTATAATAAAATTATTTTCTTTACACTGTTATGATATTCATCCCTCTAAGAATGTTATTTTATTCTTACCCAGGGCTGGCGAGGACTCTCTTGAATCATTTGGACTACCCTCTCCAGTTAAAATTACCCTAGGGAATACACACAATTCACACTAAATTTTTCATTTATTATTTCTGGATGGAGTTTGTTTATAAAACAGGTAACAATATGAATTAACACATTAGTTTATATTACATATACAAGATATAAATACACATCCAAATACACAATTTCAAAATGCCATTGATGAATATTTTATACCTGAGCTGCAAAATAGAAAGTTTCTTTTCTTGTAGACTCTGTTGTATAAGTGCCTGGTACTGTTTCTGGGCTTCCACAAGCTCATGCAGGAGTCTAACAAATTTTAAAACAACTTATTTCATGGAATCTTCTCAAGCAAATCAGTGATATATAACATTTCAGATTTAATGACTACACATTTGAATAAAATATTTTTTTTGGGAGAGAAAATAATACCATATCTAATACATTTGGTAACAATGTAATACATGCAAATAGAAAGATTTTATTAGAAAAATGCCATCAATGCAAGAGATAGAAAGAATCAGACAAATCACCTTAAATTTTCTTCCTGTATCTGAGAGCTTTGAATCTCCAACTCCTGACTGGCTTGCTTGCGATATGCTATGGCCTTTAGGGAATTAGCAGAGGAAACACCTGAGGTGACAACATCTTCATCTCCTTTGGTAACACCAGCTAGGTTTGCTCCCAGCTCTAGGGTAGGCAATGGTTAGATATTAGTTAATGCTTACTTAAGGTAGAGTTTGATCTCACTTATGTCAAGGCAGCAGTACATTTTTAAGATACTATCTTACTTATACATAAAATAATGAATTTGGATTATTTTACTTTTTACAATAATTAGACAAGTGAATGTAACTACATTTCTCTGTACTCAGAAACAATGAATATCAAATGGGGCTAAAAAAAACCAAGCAAGATATCAATGTCTACTTGCCAGGGGAGAGTATTGTGATGGCCACCTGCACAGCCCCCCTCAGCAGGTTGTCTAAGGCAAACATCCAGTGGGGTTTGATGCTGTGCTCTCTCAGGTTCATGCTCACCTGGTAAAACAGTTTTGTGTATGTTATAAATGTCATGTCATACCAAACCTGAATTTAACTTCTGCACAAGGTTAGGGAAATGGTGTGTTGAGGCAGAGGTAGTCAGACAAAACTTACTGCATCTTGAAAGACATATAAAGCTAGCTGGATTTCCATGAGGGCTGCTGCATCAAACTGTACATACTCTCTCAGGTTATCTGCCCAGGAAAATATGACAGCGTTAGTTTTTTAAAGACAAGTGGAAAGTTAAACACTGGTCAGTTAAAATATTACTGTCAATACTGAAAAGTCAATACTTTTATGGACATTCTTACCTATTGCATTTTTTATCGATGCAGTTGACTGGTCTAAAATGTAGCCTTTGATTCCCATCAAAATACAAACTAAATGATCCTGTTGATTAAAAGAATTTGGTCATTATAGACCAACAGTGGCTTGAAAGTGGTTAGTTAATAAGGTAATATTAAATACTTTACATACAGATGTAAGTTTAGGTCGAGATATTGTAGCATCTCTGTGTAGCATCTCCAACCAGTTAGAACAAATCTGTTTTAAATAAAGCATTTGTTTTAGAACAACTCTGCTGATTTAAATAAAACATTTGATAAACAATTATTTTATAGTGTAGCAAAGCTGAACAACTAGAAAAATGTACTGATTTAAAAAAAACAATACTTAATATCATAGAATTTTAAAGTTTTAAAAATATAAAAATGAGGTGTAAATGAAAAATATCTGTTTTTATTTTAAATTGTTGCAGAGGATTTATATAATTTAACCTCCTTACTTTTTCCCTATCTTGTTCCAAAATATGCACCAGTGTCTGCCTTCTCTCAGAGTCTTTCCTCAGGAGGTAAAATCCTCCTTCTCTAGAAAAAGAGGTTTCATGTGACTCTATATCAGGTGAGAGGAGATAGGTTTGTACAGGGCTGGTATCTGCTGACATGTTGGATTCAGAGCTGCAAGACAATCACATACTGCTTTAGTACATATCATTACTGTAATTTCCTTACATTAGAGACAGCAAAGAACAAAAATATCTCACTCATTGAAAAACTCTACACAATAAGAAAAAACTTGGGAGATAACACTTGTATTTAAAGAGCTGCAAAACTAGTTACAGAAATTATTATTCTTAAAAGTTATTCAGATTAAAGTGAATAACTGTAGTTTGGTAAAAATTTTAATGGGCTTTTCTTTGTGAATATACAGGTTGTTAGAACATATGCATCTAATATAATAACAGTAACTCAAAGCCTGTTTATTAATTTACCAAACACAATTTCGAGTTTGTTTTTTTTTTTAATGAATTTTTATTTATATAACTAAACTGCAGTTTTTGGTGAAAAAGGTGATCTAAAAATAACTTTCTAGGCTTGAAATGTGTTGGTCATTAAAGAACAAACCTTTTGGTCTTGATACATGTTAGTAAATACAAATTGAGATATAAATGCCAAGTATTAAGCCTACACATTTTATTCTTTATATTCTTTAGCTGCTTTTAAGGTTAGTTTTTTAATTTAAAGTTCACACTATTAGATATTATACATGGAAAATATTTTATGTCAATTCTTAACAATCAACGGATAATGTAGTGATTTAAAAAAAATGATACAACTATGCTAAAAGTTGGAAACTTTGGAGAACTCAAAAATATAAACATTTGCCAATACAGATCAAATTTGCCCTCGTTAAGAGAACTACACAAACAATTCTTTGTGTAGACACAGCGTAATCTGGTATTAACTAATAAGATTTGTCTAATCCAATAGACTTTTTTTATATAAACATATGTATATATGATAGCAAAAGCTGATTATGTAAAGAAACAGTGAGAGCCTTTACAGAGTACAAGCATTTCTCTTGTTACATGTAGCCTTGACTACACTGTACTGATTTACATACAAACAAAAGATACTTGCAAGATGACAAGATATTCTATGCAGTAGGAAGGACAAAAAGATATGAATGTAACATTTAAAATTACATGTAATGCAACCCAGTTTAATAGGAAGCATGAGATGAAATTGTTAACTAATTGAGAAGATATTCTGTAGCATGCTATCACTAAAACTAGATTAATTCATAAATAAAAAGAAGATATAACTAGAAACTATGACAGAACACAATGTCAAATGTCTGTTTAGGATCATATAATGGATGACGAACTTTTAGGGATATAATTTGCTTCTACAGGATAAAATTTTAGTGTTTTATTTTTTATTTCTTCTATTGTGAAAACTTAACATACAAAATTCATGCAGCCTTTTGAATAACTTTTTAAATGGCAGATCCCATCACATTTAGTCAATATAAACATGCAAAGATATGTTTTTTTTTTCTAAAATTAAGCAAAAATAATTCATTTCTAACTAGTTTACCAAAGATTTAAAAAAAATATTAGATTTTAATAAACCAGACTTCCCAGAGAAGAGAGTGTGATGTTATGAAATTACAACTGTGCTTAAATGTAAAATAAAGATAAAAGCAAAAATCAATGATGAATAAAATTATTTGCAGCAGATATAAAAGCCAAAGTCAATGGAGAGAAAATACAAAAGAAAACAATATAAACTTAATCCATTCAAAAGAAAAGAAAAAAAGCTTTAATATTTGGTTTATTTTGAAAATTGTACCTTGCACTTTGACTTTGTGGATGGGGTGAAGTAAGATAAAATCTGAAATTTGTTTTTAAAAACAAAAATAAACAAAGATAATGTTTAGAACCTACAGTGGGATAGTGACTGCCTGTAAGCTGACTTTTAATAATCCCAACATATCAATGTCAGCAATGCTGTCAACACACACACATGATTAGGTTCTGAAGATTCCTACACAGTAGATACAACTACCACAACTAATTCATGATAGTTTGTTTTTAAACCTTTATGTTTGAACAAGCCTAATACTGTTTTTGTGTTTAAATATATAAAAATAGTTTCTAGATTAAGTAAATGGGTTATAATATATATTTAGTGTCAATTTATAAAAAAGTAATATTTTGATAGATAAATAATTGCCTATTATCCTAAATGAAAGCCACAGGAGATTAACCAGTACTGACATTCTACTTTTGAGGAAAATGAAATATTTCTTGTTCAATGGTGGATAGAGATCGTTTTTGCTTTCATATCATTATGTCATTTTACAGGGCAATAATTAAGTTTTTTTTTTTTTTTAAAGTAAACATCTGTGTTTTCCTCATGTGGTTTTCAAATATATTTCTATTAAAAAAAGTGTTTATGAGTAACATATGTTGCCAAAAACTTCAGTAAAACCTTTAAAATTGAAACTTAAAAATCTCCAAAATCAATGAATAAGTGTGCTTGTGTGACTTGTTTCATATAGCAATATAATTTTGTAAAGAATAATAAAGTGTAATTGTGTCTGCTAACTTAACTAACTTGGCATTCCTTGATCATTGCTAAATTGGGACATGCAGTGAAACATGCATGACAAAAAAACAGGTTCACTTCAAGCCTAGAGCATCCTTAACTATCATTTGCTCCATGAGATAGAACATTTTATCTCAAGCCTAGAGCATTCTTGGCATTATATTGTTTCATGAGAAAGAACATTTCAAGCTTTGAGCTTTCTTAGCATGCTAATATTTCTTGGGAAAGAAAAGTTTACTTCATTCACAGTAATGGAAACATGACAATGTGAGTAGTTAGAAGTTATCGAAGAAAAAAACAATGAATAACTTCCATGTAAAAAAACTTCAAAATTTAACAGCAATATTTTAAGGTATAATATAATAACATTATACCATAAAATGTTAATGAAAAGTAAAATAATGACTGTATCTACACAATATTTTAAAAACTATACAAGAAGCTGTCAAACATAATGAGTTCTTCTAACCACTGGTGCACTGTTCAAGGTAAATAGAGAACATTACTTGAAACTTTTAGTTACCTAATGTTATAAACACACACGTGAAAAGGTCGTTAAAATATATCTCTCTTAATGGAATGCAGTTAACACATCTGCAGCTTGTGATTGGATTAGCACAAATCTAAACTGAAGGCTCAACATAGTTTACAGTAGAATCAAAGCAGAGTGAACTGCTACAATACAGACCTAATCATTGCTACATGACAGACCTAATCACTGATATGATATAGATCTAGTGACCGCTACAATACAGACCTAGTGACCGCTATAATAAAGACCTTATCACTGATTCAATACAGACCTAATGACATATGATACAGACCTAATGACCGCTACATGACAGACCTAATCACCAATACAATACAGACCTAATGACCGCTACATGACAGACCTAATCATTGCTACATGACAGACCTAATCACTGATATGATACAGACCTAATGACTGCTACAAGACAGATGTAATCATTGATATGATACAGACCTAATGACTGCTACAAGACAGATGTAATCATTGATATGATATAGACCTAGTGACCGCTACAATAAAGACCTTATCACTGATTCAATACAGACCTAATGACATATGATACAGCCTAATGACCGCTACATGACAGACCTAATCACCAATACAATACAGACCTAATGACCACTACATGACAGACCTAATCATTACTACATGACAGACCTAATGACCGCTACATGACAGACCTAATCATTACTACATGACAGACCTAATGACCGCTACATGACAGACCTAATAATTACTACATGACAGACCTAATGACTGCTACAAGACAGACCCAATGACTGCTACAATACAGACTTTATCACCGCTACATGACAGACCTAATCACTGATATGATACAGACCTAGTGACTGCTACAATATTCAGATCCTAATGTGGGTTACAGCTGTCACACTTTTATTCTCACCGAGTGCCACAAGGCAGTAAATCAACACAACCCTGTCTAACACATCTAAAATATGTCAGCACACCTTCCGTCTAGAAGCACCACTGAACAGACACTTAATGACCTTGTAATGATCAGCACAGATGGTGCAATTAATTAACTAATGGTTTGTAAACATTCTGAAATTAGAAGTATGCATTCTCTAACAGCCCACATTTCAAGATTTCTCTTTTAAGAAATCTATAAGCATTTGAAAAATAACATTTCTGGAAGAGAGAGTAGCTAATTCCTTTTAATGAAACAAATGATAATGAAACTCAAGGCATTTTTTAAAAAAAAAGAGTACAATTAATTTCATATCTTGAGAGGTGAATATAATAATACAAATACAATACATAGCCCTACCTGACCACAAAAACTTAGTTACTTCATGAAATATAAGAACTAGTTCATTCTACTCTATATGACATTGTGAACAATTCATATCTGCTAATGAATTAAAAAGATGCAATAGATAACATTGTCACCTTTCAATGAGCTAAAGTAAACCAATAGAAACAAATCAGCTGTAAACAATGAAGAAGTGATATGTGCTATTCCCCTTTACTCATGTCAGGAGCACAAATACCTGGAGCAGGGGAATTTACCTGTGTTGGGAAGACAGGTAAGGATATATATTAGCATTCAATTTCCTTTTGTACAGGTAACCTCTAAACACTGGAGATACCTGTAAATCCCACAGGTGTATGTCCCAAGGGCAAACGGTATTCATAAATTGGACAAGGCCACATTATTTAAATTTGACCGGGCATTTAACTTGAATTAATTGTAAACTATTATTTGTAGAAGAAAAAAAACCATTAAACAAACTATACTTTAGCTATTACTTATAACAGTAATTAGAACTTGAACATTCTTTTGAAAAGGGTACAGCTGTTCTGGAGATGAGAAGCTTTTAATGTGTCTGACTCATACCAAATCATTTTCAAGCAAGGTCAGATACTTGTGACTAGATTAATAACAATAAAAAATTCCATTGGTAGAAGATCGAAGACTTGTTTGCCAGATATCCTATTGGCACAGCAGATATGTTATTGGGGATACAGGACATTACCCGCATCCCTGTCAATTACCCCCCCCACCCCCCAAGGAATTACCCCCCTCCCTCAAGTTTGAATCCTAACTCTAACTCAAACTCTATACCTTTATGTAACCTTAATCCTAACTTCAATAAAAAGACCAAAACCTAAGCATTCACCTCAGCCTAAAACTTAACACAAAATCAAAACCCTCTCTAGACATTGGTTGAAGCCTAACCTTGACCATAACACTGTAATCCTAACCCTAACCCTGACCATAACTAACCCTAAATATAACCCTACCCCTAACCCTAGCTGTACCTTAAGCTATGTCCAGGGGGGTGGGTGGGTAATGTTCTACTGGACGGGGGTAATTGACAGGGGGGTAATTACTCCAGGAGTGGGGAATGTCCAGGGGGGTAATTGACAGGGGGGGGGGGGGGGGTAATGCCCTGCTCCTTTTACTGGAAAGGGAAAAGACTGAAATAACATATGTTGTGGTATTTACTAAACCATTCAAACCATTGACAAAAGCCGACTAAGAAACGTTGTATATTAACCATTAAGATTTTAAAAATCCTACAGTTGTCTATATTTTGCATGTTACATCTAGATATTTTAGTGTCTCAAACTAATATATCTTAACCCAGATGTTCATTATGACATGCTCAAACCATCATATCTCAACTTTAAAAGTATAATCCCAATAAGCTCTTCAACATTAATCAAACTAAGTAGAGAAAGCTTATGTTCAGCAATCACTGACCAGGGTACAAACAATGAGAATCAGTAAAGCAACAGACAAAAGTCAACAGACCATTTTACAAAACACAAGTAGCAAAAGTATAGCAGTTACTAACAGTTAATAAATTGAGTACAACACAAATTAGAAGCTCTCCCAGACCAGGAGAGCCAGCAGTATAATGAGCTGCATGAGGCCGGCACATACAACAGGTACCACAGTACTGTGGATAGCTTCAGCAATACGCTTTATGTTTCACCATGAAAAGCATTGAACAACAGAGTTATAAACATTTGTACAAGTCAACACAAAAGACCCAGAGGTGTGTTACTTTCTCAGGTTTAAGACACAGGGTAACCGGCTATAACATAGTGGAGAGAAGAATGGAAAAGTATTAGTACTACAAACATCAGGTGGAAATGTAAAACAATTTGTGCTACAGGAAAGAAAATAACTCACTCATCTATTCAAAATAGATTTATAACATTTTCAGCTCAACTCTGTGTACTTTGCAGCTAACAAAATTTAAGTTTATGTTTTAATATATTTTATGTTTGAAGTTTTTTCAACATAAAAACATGGTATTTTTAAGTATATAGTTTGGGAAACTGTGACACTATAGCTAAACTATAGAGGGTGATAGGTTGTTTGTGTAATCCTTGGTAGAAACAATGGTTAAAATAAAGTGACACTCTAATGTCTTACTGGCAGAAACCATGCTTTTATAAGCCACCTACATTCAACTTAATGGTGAAGGATTTGGATGAGAATATTTCAGCTCACCTTTTGATAATTTAATCATGGTTACATTAGTTAACAGCTTAACTTTATAGCAATGTGAAATAAAGGTGTACTGTGATAGATACAAAATTTTATTTTGATAATAAAATAGAACAAGCAGCAAGAAAACTTATGATTAGAACCATGCTAATATAATCAAACAGCTATACCTGTACTAGTAGTTTGATTTTGTGTTTTACAAAGTGAACATGACAATACGTGTGTAATTCTAAGGAATTGTTTTCTCATATTTTTTACTGGTTGTAATGTAGAAACTAATAAGGTGCAGTCAAATCTGAAGTTGTGATCAGCTGATATGGATGCTGTCTGGCACATTGATATATTCTAATAGACATCTCACCTTCTGCGAATTGCCCTCGCCTGACTATCAGAAAGACTTCGTCGCCTGAAGTCTTGACTAGGAAATGTAAAGCAGGCAAATGCAGCAGAAGGAAAAAAGGATAAAACCGAACAAATAAACAAAAAGAAAAGATCATAAAAAAGATGAAAGGGATAAAGAGAACAAATAAAAAAGATAACAGAAAGAAGAAATAAGCAAGAATAAGTGTAGGACATTACACATTTAAATCTTTTATTTCATAAAACAACTGAGGAGCAAAACCAGTTATTGAAGTGTACATTTTTGTTATTATTTCATGATGAGAGATAAAAAAAGTGTAAAATGATACACTAAAAATTATTGACTATTATTAACTATTTAGATTCTTTTAAAACTTATTATTAAAGGATTTTTTTTTTTTAAAACATGGTTTTTCAGTTAATAAGTGCAATTAGAAAAACTCCACTGAGGCTTTCTAGAGCTTTAACATGCTTCCATATTTCAGGAGTAGAGGCAATTAGGCAGATTCTGTATTAATGTATATACACTCAAAGCAATGTTACATGAATTTACAGTAGTTTCAAACAGACCAAATTGTGAGTGTAACAACAAATCAGTAATTACAACACAATAGTGAGTAATTACAACACAATTAGTGAATAGCTACAACACATTCAGAAGATAGTAAAACACAGAAGAATTAATCAACAGAAAAATTGATAGACAAGGAGCAGATTTCTGACCAAACATAACGCATTCCTTTATTTAAAAATATTTTTCCATTAAGTATACCACAAAAATGCTTTAAGAGAATATGGACAAGGTCTAACTGAATAGCTCATTTGACAGGTGCCAATGTTTAAGACAAGTACTAAATGACCCAGCTAATTTGACAGGTGCCAATGTTTAAGACAAGTACTAAATGACCCATCTCATGAGACAGCTGCCAATGTTTAAGACAAGTACTAAATGACCCATCTCATGAGACAGCTGCCAATGTTTAAGACAAGTACTAAATGACCCAGCTCATTTGACAGGTGCCAATGTTTAAGACAAGTACTAAATGACCCAGCTCAATAGACAGCTGCCAATGTTTAAGACAAGTACTAAATGACCCATCTCATTACACGGCTGCCAATGTTTAAGACAAGTACTAAATGACCCAGCTCATTAGAAAGCTGTAGAGTACCAAAACTAAACCACAAGCTGCAATATTTTCAGGTATCATGTCATCATGCTGACAGATGAGCAATTATATCTAATTACACTGGGTTGTATACATAAAAAACCTAAAATACAACTCTTGAACATCTATTTTTCAAGGAGACATTTCTACAATTGATTCAATCCAAGACACTTTAAAACTATTAGACACTGTAACTAACCTATCTAATACTTTACTACACTGGTTCCTTCTGTGCTATAGTTAAATGGTTATCATCAGGCTGGACTTAAAAAAAAAAGCCAGAGAGAAAAGAAAAGCAGAGGATAAAAAACAGCTCATACCTGGGGTGATCGTCCAATGTATTGAGGTCTGTGGTGCTGGACGCAGGGGTCAGACTGAAATAGTGGGCAGTGACAGACTTGTAACAAACAAGACAACATAAAATATACAAGCCCAACTGTGGGCAGCATGGAAAGAATGTTACAACAAAAACTATCTAAACATCAGATCATGGTAGTTGTTCAGTATGCTACACATATACCAAATTAAGCAAAAACTTGACATGCTGATTACCAAGAAACTATTATTATCATTAATCTGTCAATTGGTCTAGTAGTGTTATATTAATGAACTTTCAAATGATTTGTATAAAGCTCCATGATCATTGAGTTTTAAACGACTGCAAACTGTTAACAAGTTATTATAATATAACTTTAAATAACACTTTGTAAATTAAAATGAGTAGGTTTTAAACAAATATGGGTCCGTGCTAGCATGCAATTATTGAATCTTGGCTACCATACAGCACATGCACTTACATGCTCAATAGGAATCCATTTGATTTCATTAGGCTAGGAATGTATTGTTTTTAAAATGCAACGCAGTTCTTTTTCTCTCTTTATCAATACAGATTTTGAACTAACACATTTTAAGATAAGTATAAAGAAAAGTAGATATCAAGGCAATCAAACCCATAAACATGTCAGTTATCCCAACAATAAATAAAACCCAAAATAAAAATCAGCCAATGGAATATCAAGTCACATAAATGTCAAAAATAAAAACAATGAAGTCAAGGGCATTAATTGAAGCGCTGTAGCGAAGCCAAATTTCAGCAGGGTGAGTTTAGAGCAGGTCTAGCAACATTTGTTATTGGCAATAGTTTAACTGTAGAACATCAGACGTATTGTTACGATCAGTTCTCAACCTAGCAATACTTTGTAATTTTGAATGTCATTGTCTTAAGTTGTTAAACTCCCTGTTTCACATTTTAAGTATGTTGTACAACTAAAATTTGCCTGACTGTAATTGTATTTTCATCATTTTATTAATTCTATCAATATTCATTACAAAGAAACCCTTTCAAACTGAAGCAACACCTCTTTGGTTAACCCCAATTCCTAAGACAATGGGTATAAATCCATCAACAAAAAAATTTAGTGGTTAAAAATTTACACAATTTTTACCAATAAAATAAAACCCCAGTATTAAAATGAACCTATAGCATTAAAACAGTTTTATACACAGATATAGTTGATTAAAAATATAGGTAAAATCTTCACTGGATAGAACTTTTAATTTTAATTGGGAAAAACCAGATCTTTCGAGGTTAATGTTTAAGACTGACATATCAATAGTTCTTAAAGATAGAATAATGTTTTCTTTGGTTAGTTTCAAAAGCATAAAATAACTAGTGCCCTAACTTCTGCAACACTCTGTAACATATAAACTGGAACCAAATGGGTACCCCCACAACAACAGGTAGCTACCAAGAAGACAAATGAAAAACAACCATCATGCCAAAGGATCTCGCTATTCTAAAGTTGCAATCTTTGGATCACCGTTATAAAATGTATATCAGTGAGGGAGACACACAAACCAAACAATTATTGACAGTGCCTTAACTTCTTCAGGCATGTGTTTGTTTCTTAAATCTATTGAAATTAGGAACTGAAGAGAAGTCTAACAACAACACCCTAAGGTTTACAAAGTTTTCAGCAGCTACAGAAAAAGAAACCATCATTTCAATGATTGCCACAGCTAGCAGGAGCAAAAATTTTAAACAATCCATTGGAGAAGAAAATTTACTAAATAGAAAACAAGAGCTTGTTGAATTTTTTCTAGCTACAAAACAATGTTTGATAAACACACAAAAAATTTAGTAGACGTCTCTGATCACACTATCTTATTTAAGGCACATTATGGATCTGCTTTGACCATGAAAACAATTATTTTATTTCATTTATTAGCAGCATCAGATCACTTTTAGAAATCCCAAAATAGAAATATGTTTGCAATATTAAGATAAAAACAAATTCTTAAAATTTAAAACAATTGTACAGCGTAAAAATTGTGCTTTTATTTACCTACTGTTAAAATTAATGAAGAAAGCCTTGTGTCTAATGATGCATTAAATGCTATTTTAATATTATGCAATATTTTGGTTATTAAAAAATCTTGGAAAAAAAACCCACACTAAAACATTTTGTACTATCTACTTTTTAAAAACTGCAATGAACTATATTTCTACAGTTGAGAGAAGTAAACTCAGCACAGTTAGTCCAACAGAATGAAATGCTCTAATTGGGCCTAGTTTTATGCATGTGTTTGGGTGGTAGTTAAAATCATGCTCACATTGTCATGGGTATATTGAAATGCCTGCTGGAAAAAAAAAGATCAGGGAGAAACTATATAAACCAAACAAAAGAGAAAAATAATGTTGACAATAATAAATGACAATAGCAAACAATATACAAGGAAAGTAATTATTTTCATTCAAAACTATATTTGATTAGTATTATAATTTAGTAATTTTAACTTCTTTTAAAAGCTTATAAAATTTATTGTGCATTTATTTGTTATTTAAGTAAACATATGCCTTATGTAAAAGTAAGAATTTTAAAGTCATTAACTTTTAAATATATACTTTAACAATTTATTATAATAAAAACAATTAACAAATCAAAACTGATAATTATAAACACAACTTTGATAAAAAAAAAAAAGCTCAAAAGTAGCCTAAACTAAAAGATAATTTACTGCAGTGGATCTGATAAGATCGGCTCAAATTATAACAAAACAAATGGCAACCATCCTAAATGAGAACTGAACGAAATTTACCAATGATATAAACAGCTTCTTATTCAAACAGTTTTTCTTGGGATATTCTCTTGGACACTTTAGTTTTCAAGCAATTGTAAACAATGTTTTGATGACAATTGAATATGAAATTCTACCTGGGAAAGTTAACAATACTTTCTGATTCTGTTTTATAAGCAACATTTTCTTTGATGTGTTCCAAGAAATAATTGCATACATATCAAAGTAAGCAAAGTAAAAGTGTTGCTGATTAGAGACCAATCAACAGATATAAACTTGCAAGTAACTGAGCTAAATAGTGACCAAAAATAGCTCAAGAGAGAATGAAAGTAAAAAAGGGTATTGATAAACTGGGTTAAAAAAAAATATATGGACAACTAAAATGAAAATTGTTGTCTAAAAATGTTCTATAATAAAATTGTTTCTTAGAAAGCTACTAGATCTAGAAGAAAACTATAAGAAAGGGAAACAAAAACAATAACATGATGTAATGTGGAATAAATCAGTATATAGGAATAGCATCAAGCTAGGGAATAAAATAATATTCAACACTAAAAATAGCTGGCTGGCCTTTGCAGTTTATGAATGAATCTGAGTATTCAAGGCATCAATAAATATGAATCCAATATTACAAGGCAAGAAGGGGAAGTTATTTAATAAATGAAAATTAGTTTGTAGTTAGTAATATTTGTCTTCAATTCTTTAAAAACATTCACAAGAAGAGCCCAGTTTGTATCATATCAAACCTGAGTTTTCTGTTTATTTTATTATCCTTATCTTTTACAATTCAAACTAGGTAGTTTTGGTGACTTAAAAACAATTTAATTTGAGCTTTCCTAAATAATTAGAAGTGTGAGGAAATCTACCTTGTGTAGCATGTACTATGACACCAAGTCATCAAAGGTAAAAAGACATTTGATACACTAACAGTGGAGATTGGGGGAAGTTACTCACCGTCCCTCATCAATTGTGTCTAGATCATCACTTAGATTTTCCTGGCTACCAAACCCTTCTGTACGTAGTCTGGTTTTTAACAGAAGCGTCAGAAGAAAGGGAAAGAAAACAATTGCAGAAAAAAAGTCAGCCAAAATAATAACAAAATAACGATTGGAAGAAATATTATTAAACAACTAAAACATTCACCTTAAAAACAAAAAAAGGAATTAAACTGCTACAGAAAAATGTAATAGGATGGAATGAATATTTTTAAAATAAAGAAAGCTTTAACAGAAAGAAACCATATATCTTGTATATTATGCAACAACATTTTAGCAACCTTATTTCAGCAATCATGAACATAAAGCTTTCAAATGTCATGTAATACTGAAGACAACTTTAAAGTATTATTTTTTTAATGTCACAGAAACCACAAACTCCCATAAAATCTTGAAGTGAAGGGGAAATGGTTACAATTATCATGCATAAGTTTATTACTTAGGTGGGGCAGCAAACATAGTAATTAATGTTTATACAAGGCTAGCATAATTCCTGTCATTAAATTATTTTTAGTGGTTTTAACTTTAATAGCTTAATTTATGATTTTATGATGAAAAAAATAAAAATTATAATATGCATTTTGAATTGTAATATGAAAAAATCAGCAACTTTTAACTTCTCATAAAAAGATAATAAGTATTAGTTTTAAAATTTTTGAAGAAAAAAAGACTTAATTTCAACTTTTTAAAAATATTTAATTTATTCAAGTTTCTAATGACATAATTTGTGTAATTTTCCTTATAATTGAAGCAGTTGCAAGATAAAAAAAAGCCAGATTATAGTGGTAATGCCAAAAAATTTTAATGATGAGATGTTTTACTGCAATAAAATTTTTTTTTTAACATTCACATTTTTCTGACATATAATGGGAATCTTTTCATCACGTACACATAGAAAAAAAAAGGTTTTCTTTGAGTGAAAATATTTCCCACCCATTTACACCTAATGCAAACCAACTCCAGCACATTGAGAGAAAAGGGTTAGTAAAGGAAAAGTCTTACTTTGTGATTCTTGGTATCCTCAGTTTTAGTTCATCCATGTTTTTACCTTTACCCAATGGTTCTATTAAAGAGAAAATAGTCATCATAAACATAAGCCTAATGTACAGTGCTGAATACACTGAATAAGCTTGTCAAAGAAACATGTTCTCCACTTTATCTGCACCATTAACTTTCCAGGTCTGAAGGGTAACTTTAACTTTGTACAGAACTAAATGGGCAACAAGAACTTAAAAGTTAGTTATCTTGTATCACTTGCCTGAGACACTTCTCAAGAAGTCTCGATGCTCCTGGTCTTCCTTATACTTTCTTGTTCTTTTTCTCCTTGATCCAAGATTCCTGAATTACAAATTTCAATATAAATATATCCATTCTAATTTAATTTAAACAGATCTTGAAATAGTGTAATTTTTATTTTTAAAAGATTTTGCATTTATTTTTTAGACCAGTTTTAGTGTGATTTGACACTAATATTTTTAATATCACTGGAACTCATCCTTCAAGAACTTCCAGACTGGAAATCACTGGTTTAATTATAAGTTCAAGGTAGTAAGCAAGACCCAACTCACTCATACAAGAAAGAATGTTCCAGGAGTTCCCCAGCAGTAGCTCTGTCTTGTGGTTCTGGCTCAAAGCAGCTGTCAAAAGCAACATATATATGTTAACATTGTACACTAAATAATATTTAAAGCAACTGGCACCAACATACACATGTTAACATTGTATAATAAGCAATACTAAACACATATGCCAACAGCAACATACGTGTGTTAGCATTGTACACAAAGTACTACAAAATATTAAGAGGGGAAGAAGAGGTTTTTTTTTACCGAAGAAGAAATTCTTTAGCTCTTGCAGACATAGATTCTGGTATTTGAGGATGCATCTTGTAGAACCCCACTTTGAACATGGCAGCTTCTGGTGAGCCCAGCTGTACCAGTACCCCAAAGAAAATTTACAGTTTATAAAAAACATAGGCAATAACTGTAACAAAATTCTCAAACTTAATGAAAATATTTCTAAGAAGTGTTTTTAATAATGCAATGAGATCTTCAAGAATGCTAAGTGATTGTATGAATTCCTTAACCAACAGCTCTTATTTCTAAAAGTTTCAAAGTAAGTTCCTTACCTCAATAAAAGGTGGTTTACCAGTAGCCATTTCAATAATGGTACAGCCAAGAGACCAGATGTCAGCCTGAAGCAAGAATTTTTATCATTTATGTTAAGTCCCTTTTGTTAAGGCTGTGTGCGGCACCCGATTTAAGTGTGTTGGGTGTCAGATGTCGAAAATCAGTTTTGACCTAATTATTAAAGTATATCCATTTCTGAATACAAAACCACATAACATATTGTTGGAAAATGCTTATTTTTATTTTAAATTAATTTTTTTGTGAGGCATGTATATGCATGTTTTGTCTAATTTTTCAAAAATACAGCGAAAATTGCCAAAGTTTACTACTATAAAACATACAGATAACTAAAAATAGCTACCGCGTGTTTAGTATCGCCGGAAAGCTCCTTTTCTTGTCTATAACGACAAGGTAAATTTGTCAACCAATGAAAATATTCCATTTAATTTCGAATGTTCAAATGAAACACACTTTTTAAAGATTTTGACCTACATATACCAAATTTTCCTACTCGGCCTTACCCCGGAAGCAAGGTAAAATTCTATTGGCTGGCGGACTCGGAATTATCAGTGTTAAAATTTTTGATTCGCTAGCTAGTTTATCGCTTCCGGCGTGCCTAGTGATGAACTGATTCTTGTTGTTGATTTTCAATCAGCTGTTTACAAACTTTTTAGACAAATCTCATCGTATCAAATGTTTTTGTCGGTTTAATAATGTTTGAACTGTTTAGAAGTTCCGTGATTTCATACCAGCCACCTTTCTCTGTTGATTTACTGCTACTAGATTTAGTCTACACAAGCCTACCGCACACGACAAGAGTAAGCAGTGTGTTACGTGTGTGTGTAGTAAGTTATTACACAGCAAGAAATACACTATCACCCTGTGATCGAACCCAAAACAGACTTATCAGATAGAACGATTTTGGTAATAACTTAAGTAATCCCCGGGTGAAGTTGGCCTGCACATGTTACAAGTGTTCTAATGCGTAACAAGGATAAAAGAGTACACAACAAACTATTTGAAACTAGGCTCATGTGTGTGATGTTCTACAGCTGATTATGAAAACTACAGCGTTAAATTTTGTTTACAAGGAATAGATGCACGGACATCAAGCAGTGAGTATTTCAATAGCCATTAAACTATTTGAATTTAAAGATTAATTAGTAGGCCTACATATTTTTTTTCTTTGAACATCTTATTTAGGTTAGTAGACCTGTTTGTCATTAGACTCATTAGTGGTTCAGATACTAGTTCAACAGATTTTAATCTCCTCAAACTAATGAATCAAATTCTATTCAGTGATTCTCCTATTCTTATATTCATACAATATATCACTATAGTTTTATGATTACTTTTCTTTTTACATTTGTATATTTTATTAATAAATTCATTTCCCCTATGATTTAGGCCTACAGTGTGTGTTGAAAACCCTGCAAGTTGCCCTGGTTCAAGGTAATCTCCCTACACATAATTTTGTTTCACATAACAATATCTGGAGAAAATGATTGAAGAGCTAGTGACCAAGTGACCTCAGTGAAAGAATATGGCAACTTTTAAATACTGCAAAAAGGAGAATCATGTATCCGAGTGATGGCAAACCGCTTTTCAAAATCTTGTTCTGGACCCAAAACAGTTGTAAAATTTATTTATAGCTTATACCTTACAATGATTTTGCAACTTAGTTTAGGATTTAATACATATTCAATGCAAAATGTGTTTGTGGTAAAGTGTTGTTGTTTTTTTGTCCACTAGAATAACTTATGTTCTACTTTCCTTGATAGAATTGACCTTTGCCAAGAGAAAGCCAAGCAGTATGAAACCAGACAATAACTTGGAAAAAGAGCATTTATTTTGGTCAGTGCACAATTATTAACAGGAAGAGATAAAGAGAGCTGAAGAGATGGATAAATCAATTATTATAGTCATAGTGGTAGCAATGATTTAAAAAAAAAACCATTGAAACATTTTGCCGGACAACTAATCTGAAAAAAGAAAAAGCTAGATGGCAGGAAAAAAGTAGCAGTTGCCAAAATGAAATGTGAATATGCTTAACAAAATAGAACTGTTAGGTGTGGTTCAGCCCAATTTTTGAAACAACTTATTTTAAGAAAATAAAAATGTTTTTTACCTTTACGTATTTGACGCATTATCTTTGTACGACAATTTTTTTACTTTATTATTTAAAATGTACTTGCAAGTTTAATACTTCATTGCATGTTTATATGTTAAATAAACCTGCATAAATTAAAACCAAATTTTGTTAGTATTTCTTAGGTTATGAATGAAATTTTTCATTTTTGTTTAGTTTTTTGCGTTTTTCTCAAAACGTTAAAATTCACTCTTCAAATCCCTACTCCTCTGTTAGTTCTGCATGTATTGTAATGAAACTTAGCCTGATTATTCTTCTAACATATATAAACAACTTCTATAAAGCATTTTTTAAAGATTTTCCTTACTTTAGATTTTATAGACTGAAATATGTTGAATTTGAGCAAATTTCAGCTTTTTTTAACAGTCTAGGATTTAAAAATTAGAAATAATTTTTTTAAACCCTTTTCTTAAAAAGTACTTTATAGAAAGTTTCAGGCTAACATCACTCTACAAAATGCTTGCATTTCTGTGTGTTTACCTTTAGTGGTTGCTGAGCCTTAGCATTTTGAAAATGATAAACAAAAATCCAATATGGCGGACGTAACCATGGCAACCAAAAATATTTTTCTTTTTGGACACCATTTTTAAAAATCCCATTGAGCATACAATATATGGGTGAAGTTTCAGTGGATTTGCTTGACTAATAACAAAAAAGTGTTTGCCCTGTAGCTCCTAGCCTTAAGACATTTTTGCAAAAATTTTATAGCCTACCATTTAATTATATGTTATGTGCTTGCTAAAATACCCACACAAAAAACTATATATTTCATACTTACAGGAGGTCCATATCCCCTTATTCCTTTATCAATCACTTCTGGGGCCATATACTGAATTGTACCTTAGAAAAACAAACAAAAGCGTAAATAAAATTTGATATTACTTAACTACTTAAAATGAAAGAAATGTAAAGAAAATATGTTAATACTGCACTAGAAAAGAGAACTTACCAGCAAATGTATCTGCACAAGGGTTGATGCCAGATAGGCGTTTACTAGTTCCAAAGTCTGAGATTTTCAGGACACCACTGTAGGTGTTGACAAGGACATTATCTCCCTTTATATCTCTATGCACAATCTTGTTATCATGCTAAGATAAAAAATAAAATTTCATTATAAATTGGTCTTTTGGTTACATATATTTCACATACATTAACTAGCTATAAAAGTGTGTAATCCTTACTAAATATTTAAGCCCTTCCAGAATCTGCTTGGTGTAAAAGGCTATGGTGCCCTCACTGTCCTTCAAAGGACCCCATTTAGACCTAAGCAATTGAGACAAACTACCTGGATAAAAAAGACGGGAGAAAACATTTTTTTTAAATAATCCCAAGCAAAAATACACTAGATCTTTTGCAATATTAATCAAATAAGTAAATTAGGTAATTATGTTACCTCCAGGAACTTGTTCCATGAATATCTTAAAGTAACCCTCTTCACTGACCGAGCCAAGATATCTGACTATATTTTTATGATTGAGCCTCATGTGGAGCTTGATTTCTTCATGTAATGGCTGCACTTCTCTTTAAGTTGGAAGTAAAATAATTGAAGGGCTCAGTGGAAAAAGTACTTAAGTTACATTTTTTCAAAAATGAGTTAAGACCGGTATATTATTTGTTTACCTCCCCTAAACCATCCTTGTAAATTTGGGCCATGGAAACAGCACCGAAGTAGCTTAATTCGAATACTTTGCATCAGCTGTTTTAGTATTTCAGCTTCAATTTAAAAACTTTGCACTCATTTTTCTCAAAACTCTCAAAATACACTTAAGTACTTTTTCCACTGAGCCCTTCAATTGTTTTATTTTAGAAAGAGAAAACAGAAAACTAAGATCATATAAATTTAGGGTAAAATTATCAATAACTCATAAATGTTGGTTGCTCAAAAAAATAAAAAATGACAAATTTTTACTGTTTCTCCATCTGATTTGATTAAAGTTAGAGATAAAACAATTGGATATTAACCGATAGCACACATTATGACTGACTCACTGGTGATATTTCTCAGGCACTTCCTTGACAGCAACTTTCACCTGTGTCTTTTTATCTCTGGCTGCATACACAGCTCCAAATGTTCCTTTACCAAGCAAAATACGATTTCCCTTTTCATCCAGATCATACACATACTGTGAACGACACAGATTTGAACAATACAGGTTTTTTTTAAAATGAAAAACAATATAGAAATAGCATTTTACTTAAATGTTAAAGCCAATATTATTATATTTCAAAAACATGATAAAAATACCTACATCAACTACATCTTCTATATCATCTTCATCAATTAAGCAATCAGGACTTGTAGCCAGCTCACTCATCATAGAATAAAACCTATTTATACACAAAAACTCTTCGTCAAATTTAATAGTAAAATTATTTGTACAAGGTAAAATTGCATGAAGAATAATTTAGAGCTTCTACAGCGTATTCTCTGGATTTACATTTTAATATAAAAATTAAAGTGTCTGTTTGTCTGTCTTTTAGGCATTACGACAAGATTCATCAAAAACCTTTGGGAGGTTGTACAATACATCCTGCAATAGTGTGCAGTTGGTGCCCTCAAGTTACCTAGCAGCTATCATAGCGCCTGGGGTCTGTTAATTGGGCGTTCTGCACAGGGTCAGGAGTAATACTTGAATCAACTTAGGCACACCAAAGATAAACCAAGACAGATGACTAAACTGAACCAAGGGTTGTACCTGGCACCCATGCCGTGTATAATGGGTAGCTTGCAAGAGTATGTCACAATGCCCTTGACATTTGGAGAGAAAACTAAGTCACATGTCTAAAAATAACTACTGGTAACGAATGTTACCATAGTGAAAGTACTTAGCTTTCTTCTGAGATTGCAGTCAATGCATGACACGTATGCTAGTTTCTACATAAATGCTATTGAAATTGTCAATATAACAAGATAGTTAATATTCTACAAATGGGGAAAGTCAAATGATATTAAAATCCTGAGATCTAAAACATCAGTTCACAAGGAAGGAACAACAAACACAAGTTTCACCTCTGTGCCTGGACATCAGAAGAGAAGAAAATATGGTAGTCATCATCAGAGATGTCCTGCACATACAGAAAGATGGCCCTGGAGTCTCTCTTGTACAAGCTGTTGACAAAAGGATTTTTTCTCTCACAACATGATGCAGGTTAATTTTAAAAAAACCATAACACTGATAATGAAAACATCACTCATCTCCAGAATGTTCTCTTTTTTCAATAAAAACTTAAGGGTTGTTGAATTATTGTAAAAAAAAATGTTGTTAGTACTATCAAATAGTAAAAAAATGTGTTAGTATAGCTCCATTATTTTGTGATATTTAATTGTGACATACCTAACTCTCTTAATAGTATCTGCAGGAAATGTCCAGTCATTGGGGCGATGATCTTTGGGATCTTGCCACACATGCCATAAGCGCACATTCTTGAATTAGTGAAATAAAAAGAAAAACTAGATAAAACAAATCCATATTCATTTAACATTCCATATTGATTATAGGAATCACTATAACCAGATAAATACACATTACAATTAAAATTTTAAATAATAACCGAAAAACTGCTTCCAGTTTGGTCAATTATGTCTCCTTTTTTACATCAAACTAAATAAAGCTACTTCTTAAAAAACTGATTAGACTGTAATTTTTTGTAGATATTTTATTTAACTAAGCTAAAATAATCTTCAAATAAACAAACCTTTTCTTGGATTTCAGCATTAACTTGAATATAGCTAGGAATGAATTCCCTAGTAGGTTCAAGCAAAAGAACCTGTGAGATGACAACATGAGAAAAATATTAAACATTTGTAGTTTTTTCTTTTAAAAGTTGTTATTTTATATATACATTCACTTTATGTAATAGTATGGTAAAGGTGAAATGGAAAGACATCATACTTTGATGTATACCATGCCAATAAAAACAAATTTAAGAAATACTCACAGGAAATTGGCTGCTAGTTAGTTCAGCTACTGGTTTTGAAACTTCAATGAAAAAATCCATCCAAAAGTTGAAAAGCTGTAATACAAAATATTTTAACAAAAAGTGCACATTAAAAAGCTCACATGTATGCTATTCAATATATAACGTTTGGGCCCAACCACAGCAAATATTTTTATTACCTGGCTCTCCTTTTTTGATGTATTGGTGTTTTTACTTTTACGGAATCTACTGATAAGAGTAATGTTGCCTACTGTTGATTTCAAGTACCTGTTTAATTTAAAGATTGTCAAATAACAATAAAATAACTTGTTGTTCAACAAATCAGACTGGGAATTAAAGGAAAGAATTTAGAACAGATAGGTTAAATGTCAAAATACTTTACTTGAAAATAGTGGCAAACATTATAAATCAATAAAATTTATTCATTCAAATGGAAAAACAAATAAAACATTAAATAATATTTTTATATTTCATTTAAGGCATAATTACTTTTATACTTTTATTCTCTATCTACATGAGCAAAGGTGTTAAAGGTATTATAAATTTACAACTTCAGAATAATATAAATATATAAAATGATACCCATCAGTATTCACACATAAAACAGTAATTAAAATCAAATCTTTCATGGTAAATAAATGCAACTCATCTGTTAAGTAAAAAAATTTTAAACTGAAATGTTACACCATCAGAAATAAAAACTTTATATTTAAAAATACAATACTTATAAAGCACTTTACCATTCTGGGGGCTCAAGTCTATACATGCAATCTGCTGCCTGAACTGCTTTATTAAAATCTTCAGCTAAAACACTGATTTCAAAAAATGTAGCCACATCCCAGTAGTTGGTTAATGATGACAGACTTCCTTTCTTGCCAATAAGATTGTTTAGAGCAATACCTGAAGGTTTAAAGATTAAGATTTCAAAAGTTATTCTCACTAATCTGTAACTAAATAAACCACGTGTAATAAAAAAGGGAAAATTGTCTATAAATCTTTTCAAGATTCAGATACTGCTGTTAATTATTGATCTGTACATACACCAAGTTGTAAGATTTCACTCACCAATCCTTTGAAGTTCTGAACAAGTTGCAAAGTCTTTGCCTGATATAACGAGAAGTGTTGCTAAATTAATTCCTGCATATTCATTAGGCTGTACTTCAAATCCTTTTCGATACCTATTGAATATTTGAACATTGTTTAGTTTTACTAGACCTTAACTATTTCTATAAGTTTCTCAATGAAACTACTAGCATTCAACATCTATACAGAACAGTTTGCCTTTTAAAATTATTATTTAATGCATTCTATGATGTTTTTAAACTACACTTTTTAAAGACAAATATGTTACAAATGAAATGCAAACAAACCAAGTTATAGCATTGTGCAAAGCATCTTGATCTGTGTAGTCAGAATCCACAAATTTATCTTTGTAAATCCTACCACATAGGCAAATCATGTCAGGAACAGGTGTGTCTGATTTTTCTGTAGCCTAAAGAGAAGATTACTTTTATAAAGTTATGCACACTGGTTAAAAAAAAACAGATTTCTGTATTAGAAAGAATAATTTAATAATACAAATAAACAGTGACTTTGTTTCAATGGAAAATTATACTGTTAAGACTATTTCTTAACTACACAACTTTCTGTATTTTAAAATGTTTCATTTATTAAGCTTACCTTTAAAATTACAGACAGAGCCTTTTCTCGATTTCCATTCCTAAAAAATTTATAAATAAATATTTAAGCATCATTAATTAAAAAAAAAAAACAACATATTTTTAGGTATTTCTCCTCATTTAAATCTGGAAAGGGGAGGATTGACGTGTGAGGATTAAAAAGTTTAACATTGAAAATAATAAAATAAACATTATTTTATTAACTAGTAAATAGTTAAATAAAAAAATATCATACCTATTTAAAGAGAAAGCATAAAGATACTGAATTCCTGCATTATGGTCAATTTTAATAAATGGAAATGTGCTAACATCCTCTACTAGCTTAACCATAGCCTTGTAATCCTGAAAGTATATAGAGCATTTTTTTTAAATATAAAAGAACTGATTTGGTTCTAAAAATAAATAAAGTACAATAAAGTGACTTTCTGCCTGTATCACTCTTAGGGACAGATCTTCAGATAGGGCAGTGTTACTAGTTTAAAAAACAGCTACAAACACAAAAAATCATACTATTAAGATTGTAATTTATTTAATACATTCTTGTCAGGTATATTTAAACAATTATGTTAATAATTTAAGTGAAAACATGTTAGAACCTGAAATTAAAATTTAAATCACCTGAACTTCTCTAAATGAAATGAGCATATTAAAAACTGTGTCCACTGTAAGCAGCTGAGGATCATCAAGTCTTCTCCTCATTCCAATCAAAGCCTAAAAAAATTAATAAAAAATAAGCATAGAATCCAAAAAAAACAAACAAAATAACAATGTGATAACTATTTTGTTTTCCATGTACTCTTTAATATAGGGAAACATTACCTGTCTGAGATCCTCCCCTTTGTAAGTTTCTCTTGCTTTTCGTAAATCACTTAAAAATCTTTCTTTAGCGTGGACCCTGTAAAGAATCATTATTTAAAAATGCACTATAATATCTGACTATTTAGCTTTCACAATTATAAGTACATCTGAAAATGTAAAGAGTTATATAGCATATATATTTAACAGTACACTCACATGTTATCTTCGTCCATGTCATCAATCATAGCTTTCAACTTCTTCCCCAGAGCTACGGCCTCAGGATGAATAACACACAACTCAGACATTCTCGTGGCACCTGGGTCACTGACAACACACAAGCCACTGCCATCTATCTGATATGGCAGAAAGAGGATGCCAGCCTGGCAAGACATCTAGAGAAAAAAATTAGTAAAATAATAATAGATTAAAAAAAATATATACATAGCCTACAATTATAAAAATAACTAATGCAATTTATTTTTATAAAAAATTAACACTGCATACCCTTAAAGATAAAGACATTTCTGGATCAGAGTCATAAACAGTGACAATATTATGTTTCATTCCCATAGACTGTCGAATTCCAATGTGATAAAACAAAGGAGCCTGCTGCAAAGGCAAAGACATATCAACCACAGCCAGTTCTGCATTATAAAATGTATCAAGCACAGCTGTTTCTCCAAAGTCCAACTTTTGAAAAGGCACTATTTCAAGATCACCTTTAACTCTGTAATGGAAATATTGAATTGGTTCTGTTAACTTGAATTAAAAATAACATAAGCAGAAGGAGAATTCATTTCTATACAAATTGAAATTTACTAAATCTACCAAATGGAATCTTTCACCACTAATATACAATATATATATACGAGCCGACCTGTGGCGTACCATATGCCGCTATTAAGTTGTTTTATTTTCTACTTTTCAGTAATTCATAATTGTGAATTCGACAGTACCAATGCCGCCAATGAAAATATTTGCTTTAAAACACTATCAGTAGCTCCTACCCTACACCCCCTCCTCTTCCCAGTGAAAGCAGCCTCCTCTTAGTTACCTCCCCTAAGTTAAAAATTGTTTTAAACTAAATTATCTGCCCCCAATAGCCGTCACTAAACCCGGCTCTATGATTGTAAACATTTAGCGTGAACCACAGCTCACCAGACCATGTGGGGGTGGGGGTGGTAGGGATATGCCTAGAGAGGAAGAGAGGGTGCTGCTAGGCGCGCTTACAGCTTGGTGTTTTCTAGGGTATCCAAGATGAGACATATATTGACATATATATATATATGCATATAAATAAATATATCAATATACACTTACTGATTCAAGTAAAAATAAGCATAATGGGTAGAAAGCTTAAAGCAATTATGAGTTGTTAAGGCAAAAACTACCTATTATTTTCCGTTGAGCCGATTATATTATCAAAAGAAGAAGGTAAGGTAAAAAACCTGAAACTATGAGACTTTACTTACTCTTTGACTACAGTTTGCAGCTCTTTGAATGCTTTTTCTCTTGCAGACAATAGCTCACTGCTAACAGCTGGACCTTTCTCCTCACCATTTTCACTGACAACACAAACTATCTTCATTTTTCCTAAAATATTAAAATGCACTATATTAAAATAAAAATCTACATAAGATTTTTTGTTAAAAGTAGAAATGATGCGGATGTGCCACTTGAAGTTAATGTGATGGTAAAATTCATTAAAATAAAGATACAAAGTGTATAATTTAATAATAATAAAATTACACTGTCTTTACCTATGATAGTTCACAATTGTTTTTAAATACTTAACTTTTATACTACCTTAAGTAGGAAGTTTACTGACCATTAGCTAGTTTAAATTCCTAATAAGTAGTATTGCTCACTACCCCTGAGGCCTGGCTGGTTGCTAACAATAATATGGTGTACAGACCGGATGCATGACTTCCGACGATTTTTCGTCTTAGTTACAGAGACCGTCTTAGAATTACTTTTAAAAAATGGCGGGTTTTCATGTTATAAAAACTTGCTATAGGTGGAAGGGCTAAATATACGAGAAAAGCATTTTAAAATTTGTTTTGGAGAATGAAGGCTGAATTTAGAAGTCGGTGTCATTAAAATTAGGCCTAATAGAACTTTTAAAATATCAGCCTGGAGAGCACAAAAATGAATTGGAGGTTGTAGGACTATTAAGGTTATCAGTCTATGAAAAAATAAATCAAATATTTCAAGCACTTTTTTTTATAAGACACAATATCTGAATGACAACCAAATTTTTTTTTAAACCAGTAATTTAGTTTAAAATGAACTAAAAACTTCAAAATTAGTGCCTAATTCAGTAGTCATGTTTAAATTGAAAATTGAGTAAAATTTAGATTTAGTAAGAAAATCTACAATAAGTTGCTTAATGACCCTGCCCTGGCCTAATTGTAATTTATAGGCCTATTGACTTCATTTTAGACTTAATTTTTTAAAGTCGGGAAGTGAGTACTGAGTACACTAAAAAATTTACTAGGCCGCATTTGCGCGATTCGCTCCGCGTGACGCGTAAGGCCGCCTTTGCGCAGTTCGCTCCGCGTGACGCGTAAGGCCGCCTTTGCGCAGTTCGCTCCGCGTTACGCTTAAACTTTACCCTAGGTGGCACGCGATCTAAAAAAAAACAGATATCAGGACTGCCCGATTTTTTTTCGTGGTTACAATTTAATGTTGAAATAGATCTAGATCGAGTTTAAGTTTATTTAGATCTCTATATTATTTCAACACATAAGAGTCTAGTACTTGTAAAAAAAAACAGTACAGGAAAGTTTGTGAGGTCAGATGGGTCAGATGATAGTCCTAGATCTAGCAGCAACCTAGCTAAATCACACTGTCCTTTATAGTGATAGTAGATCTAAGTCTATATTATTTATCCTACGTGAACTTAAAAAAAAAAAAATTAAATTTGCTTGAGGGGGGAGGGGGGGGGTGGGAGGAAGAGAGAAGTGAAGACAGACGATCTCGAGTGAACGCCTATGACGTATGCTTTAGGCCTGCTGAACTCAGTGACCTCGCCGACCGTGGGCCGTGGTGGGATTTTCCACTCACTGGATAGTAAACGTAAGGCAAGCAAGCAATCACGACAGTGACGATGTTTGGAAATTTTATTAAAAAAAAAAAAGAATCATAGTCTACGTCATATTTTCAATATGAAAAAAAAATGTAAAAAAAAAAAAAAAAGGTAACCCCGGGTTCGAACTCTGAACTCTGTGTCCATAAATTTTCAGACTACAGCTGGCACACTGTTGACTTAACCACAGCGGATGTGATAGAGAAGCCAAAAATAAGCATTTTCAATTGCAAGATGGCGAATCAAACCTGCGAGACGCGTAGTATATTCTTTAGGGGCCACGCTTTGCGAGACGCGTAGTCACTTCGAATTTACTAACTATAACTTTGCTGAGGATACTAGATCTAGAATCTATTAATATTAAATAATACATATATATATATCTAGTTATGGTAATAATATTCTACTATAATATTATAGCGACCTCGCTTAAGGCAAGAGCTTAAAGATTTTCAGCAGACTACAGATTAACAGTCACACAGTGCCTGAGTGCCAGCAACCAGGCAACATCAACTTGTCAACAGATGCGTACTTTACAAAAGCAAACTATCTACTAAAATGAAGGGATTAGATTCACAAATACACGCAATGTTTTGCAGCTGTGGTGCAAATTCAGAAATATGTTACCTTAAACTTTTTGCATGCAACATTCAGCAGCAATATTGGACACTATGAATGGCACTAGAACTGTAGAACTGCTTCGTAGATTCAGACGCCATTTTTGTGAACAGCAGAGGCCAGGATCCGGTGAGAATTATGTCCCTTGTAAAGGTCATAAGAAAAAAAATATTGCCTAGGCCTATCGAGTTTATGTTTGGCTTTCCTATCTTGAGTTAGAATCTTTAAGACTGGATCTATGAAGATACCATCACAATCAAAACAAACATTAGCACAAACAATTATTTATAATTTTAAGAAGTCTGATCAGTCATCCAAACCATTCTACTGTAGTTTTAAATCAATCATTGAATTTAAAAGAAAAACTCTCATTTACATGAGTTCAATTTTCTACACCTACCACCGTTTACCTTGAGTAGCAGGTGCATTAAACACGGCACTTCCTTTTTCTGTGCACATTGAACAATAAGGTCGGCTGATTTATTAAAGCAAGTAATGTTTATGTCCTTGCGCAAAAAAAAAAATATCGACTGCTGTGTTGTTGTTTTTCATGAATAGAATGACTAGGCAGTAACTTTTGAAGAAGCGTGATTTTATAAGGCATGTTTACTGTGTCCCTTCCAGACTTTTATCTCCGGGGGGCACTTGAAATTTTCGGGGGGGGGGGGGGGGGGGAGGGGGTAGACTTTCTTTGGGGGGGGGGGGGGGCGAAAACTGTTAAAAGTATATATTTTCTATATAAATTATATAAATTTCATTTCGTTCGGGGGGGGGGGGGGCGGTAGAATTTTTTTCTATTCCCCCCCCCCCCCCCCCCCCCCCCCCCGAAGAGATGCATGGAAGAAACTCTGCCTGTATATGAATCTGTTTTGGAATTTTATAACACGAAAATGTGACCTTTGGGGGCAATGACAGTGAGCTCCCCCGGAGAGATGCAGTGTTTCTTCCAGACTTTATTTTCCGGGGGGGGGGGGGTGGCACTTGAAATTTCGGGGGGGGGGGGGGCGGTAGACTTTCGGGGGGGGGGGGGGGCGGACACTGTTAAAAGTATATATTTTCTATATAAATTATATACATTTCACTTCGTTCGGGGGGGGGGGGGTAGAATTTTTTCGGGGGGGGGGGGGGGGGGGGTCCCGAAGAGATGCCTGGAAGAAACTCTGGAGAGATGCCTGAAAGAACCACGGGAAATTTTAAAAGGGGGCCTTAATCATCCTCTGATCGAGATTATTGTGCATTTTTTTCGTCATTAAGTTCTGAATATTAAGGTAACATGAAATGAAGGGAATGGAAATGGTTAAATGGAGAGATACCAACAGATTCTTTTTTTAAAAATCAAACCACTACTAGAACTATTGCAACAACGTTCCTGTGGGTCGGGGGGGGGGGGGGGGAAGAAGAAACGTCCTCCTAAGTGTACGCGCCATGAGGGCAGTGTTTCTCCCAGACTTTTTTCTCCGGGGGGGCACTTGAAATCTTCGGGGGGGCGGTAAACTTTCTTCGGGGGGGCGGACACTGTTAAAAGTATATATTTTCTATATAAATTATATACATTTCATTTCGTTCGGGGGGGGGGGGGCGGTAAAAATTTTTCGGGGGGGGCTTCGCCCCCCCGAAGAGATGCCTGGAAGAAACTCTGCATGAGGGGGGGGGGGGGGTTCAAAATTGTATCTTGTACATTGTAAGCCTATAGCTATTCTATAATTGTAAGCATAGGTAGTGTAGTCCTAAATGCCTTCACAGCGATACATTTTAAAAGGGGATCATCAATGGAGAATAGGTGATCACAAGAAAAAAAGTTTTATACCTTAAATCTGTGTTGAGAAAATAGTTTTGGATTGGTATAGTATTGTGATGAGTGCGTTGTGTAGCGGTTGTGCCAGTCTTATATTGGTGTGTTGTGCTTTAGGTTGAGTTATGTTATGTTACGACTGTTGTGTTTTGTTAAGTTTTTATTATGTTGTACTTTTTTGTTGAGATTTGTGGTGTTGTATTGAGCATTATTTTTTGTAGGATGGAATCAAAGTCTAAAGGCCACCAAAGTTGACCAAACTCTGATGGGTACCTGACTTACGTTAAGAAACGTGAAGGCAGCTGGGCATATAGTGCTGACCAGACTATCCCTCCGTATGCCGAGGGCACAGAAATAAGTGAATTGTAATTCACCTGCCACGTGGGCCGCCAGGTCCGACCGAAAGGAACTTTATTGCGTTGAGCTTTTTAAACTTTTGTGAAGCCTTATTTAACGTGAATACGACGGTATTGTCGGGTGGGGGGGGGGGGGGGGGTTTAAGGTCAAAGATAGCAGCACCAGGATCGATTGCTCAGGAGACAGACATTCAGCTGAGTGGAAGAGTTGGAGGCTGCGGGTAATTGGTGTAATGTTGCATTAAAATGTAATACCATTCAAACTATAGGCCTCATTGCTAAGTACAGTCCTACAGCAGTTAAACCACTTTCGATAAAAAAACTCGATGGTGATGTGTTACAGCGCTCTTGTTAAGCTTTCACTTAGGGGTCGTCCATAAATGACGTCACACTCGTTGGGGGGAGGGGTCCATAATTTTGTAACGGTGTGATGAGGGGGGGGGGGGGTGGGGGTTCAGATGGCGTGACGTCACATTTTTGCATTATAAAATAGGAATTTAATTAAAATATTCTATGTTGACCGAGTTCAGAGAAGATTTTGGAAAAATATCGTATTTTTGTATTTATCTTATCGTATTTTAAGAACAATTCAACTGCAATTTGAGGGGGGGGGGGGGGTTGTAGTCTGAGGTGTGACGTCATTTTAGGGGTGGGGGTCTGGCTTTTTGTGACGATGTGTGAATAAGGGGAGGGGGAAGGTAAAAATCGTTCAAAAAAAGCGTGACGTCATTTATGTATGCCCCCCCCCCCTTATGCCTTATATTCACCATATTGAATACGCACTTTGACAAAGTAGTTTTATTATGAACAAAACATGCAAATAAGCATTTATGCCTATTATATTCTATAATTTTATAATCTTTAATACAATGATACACAAATAGTAAAATATGTCACCTAGAAGGAAAAAAAAATCAATGTTTTAAAAATAGAACTGGAAAAACCGATTATCCAAAAACACGGAAATGAATAAAGTTTCTAAAAATAGAAGTATGTTTACCAAGGATCTTTTCGTTTTGTTGATAAAATTAAAATATTATTAGGCCTATGCTTAGATCTAGGGCCTACCTGACAGTGACCTGCAGCGCTTGTAAATTTTAATTGTGAAATAATTAGGCCTACTAACATTAAATTAATTTTCAATTAAATTCAAGAGTTTTTCTAAATTTTTTATCTAATTTTCTTTCTTATTAACTTGAGAGCCTCTGACGATTTTACTATTTTTACGTACCCAAATGCCAAATAGTGAAATACATTTAGAATCTAGTAATTTAATATTTACTTACCTGAAAAGATAGATATTAGATTTAATTACAAAATAAAATATAGAAAACTGAAAACTGGAGGTAAATATAATAAATATGCATAATTTTTCATTGGAGGTTTAACGACCCGTTTTTTGTATTGCTTACTTTAGTATTAGTATTAGTGGTTTACAGGGTTAATCTTGGGGGAGGGGGGGGGGGGTATCCAGGCACCTTTATTTTTTTATTTAAAAAAAAGTTGAGCTTAAAGTAGGCCTACTTTTATAACAGCTTTACTAGTCATTTTCTTATTTAAGACTAATATTTTATATAATTTATTTAGTTACATTTTGTGACAAATTTGTCTTTCAGATACTGACACTGTGATACTGATAGACTACCTCCTTAGACCTTAGGCAAGTGATACTCCTTTTACTAGAATCTACTAGAAAAAATGGGAGTATATGAAGGTCTTCAGATAGCTTTGGACCTTGGTTATTCACTTAACTTTAAGAAAAAACAAGAACTCAGAAATAAAATAGTTGAAAATGGAGGAACAATAAGTTATATTGTAACTAATAAGGTAAGTTTTTAAAAATGGTCCTTATAGCCTACAATTTTACTTGCTGTACTTTATTATAACAAAAAATAATATATTGCTACTTTTAACTTTATGTTTGAGAGGCTACAGGTTTTATAAAAATATATTTATATAAAAATTGTACTGTATTGTTATGTATTATTTTGCTAGTGCCAATTTGTTGTGACAAGTGACCCAGACAAATGTGATGTATCAACCAAGTGTAGAATGGCTCTGAAGTACAAGCTTCCAGTTCTTAGACTAGAATACATTTGGGACTGTATACAAGCTGAGAAACTACTTCCTAAGAACAATTACATTGTTGGCGGAAAGAGCAAGTTTCTTGATTTCAAGTCAGGAAAAATTACAGGTGAATTATTTGAAAATTCAAATATTTCAGTTAAAATTTGTCATTTCCTTATTTTAGTTTAGATAATCATGTTTATGTAAAAAAATATAAGTCAGCACTTATTAAAATGTGTTTTTGTGTATGCATATTTATGATTTAGGTAATTTAAAAAAACAACTTTTTTTTCAGCCAGTAAACAAACAGAAAAACCTAAAAAATTTGCCAGTAAAGCTGCCTTTAATCCAAAATGTGTAAAAACTTTTCAAAACTGGGATGAAAACTTGCCATTTTTTGATGAAATAACTTATGAAGTAGCCAAGTATGCCATTTTCTGTGTAAGTAATTGTAGTATTGGTGAATCATTTATGTTTTACTCATGAAAAAACAAATGTTAAAATACTCCAGCTGTTGTTTTGTATTTCATTTTTGTATGCAGGGCTTCAACAAAGTGTCAAAAAGTGATGTATCTTACATAATTGAACTGCACACCCCTTCAGCAAGGTCAGTCCAATCTGATTCATTGAATGAAATGGATACGAGCACCTGCACTCTACAGCTTTTATATCGAGTTGTTTTCCAGAGTGGCAATACAAAAGACTTAGAGGTAATCCATCACAATTACTTAGTTTAAGAAGTTTAATTTGAGTTTGTGTGAATTAGTCTTTGTTGTTTGGATAATAAATAATAAAATTGTTTTACCACCTTTTCATTCTGTTTTGTATATTTAGGAAGGAAAGCCTGGCCATAAAGAGTTTCGCTTCTTACCTACGGCTGAACAAGCTTTGTCTGTGTTTGCTATGCTTTATAGTGACTTGGAAAACAGGTCAGACTTGTATAAATGCAAAGTTCCCATTCGTGGATTAGGATCAAGCAAATTGCAAAAGGTATTCTCAATTTTTATCCAATTTTTGTGCATTATTGTAAAATTCTGACCAAACTGTTATACTCTATAAATTTTATTTCGCATTTGTTGATTTCCAGCAGTATTAATTATTTATATTCTACTTGACTTGTTTTACCCACTTCACCATTAAAAAAACATTCATTGACTAAACTATAACTTCATCTGTGGTAGCTGATAGCAGAGACTGCCAATGTTCATGATAAATGTAGCAATGAAGTGAAAGATCTTGTTGAGCACATTTGGAGGGAAGCCATGACAGAAGTAACAGCAGTTCTAGGAGATATCAGTAGCATTAGGCTAGAACAAGTAAGTTCACTTCTGCTGGTTTGATTTCACTTGATTCATTCATCTAGTTGTTTTAAACTTTATGTTTGTAAGCAGTAGATAGTTAATATAAAACTGTGGATCTTTTGTTTTACACAGTGTACTTAAAAATATATATAATAAACAAATAATAAGTTTACCTGTTTTATAATAGGCCTATATTTAGCCATCTTTTAAAGAAACAAGTGATGCTTTCATGTAAGCTTGATAATCATCTACCATTTGTGATCTGTTTATCTTTTGTGCTCTAACATCTTAAATTGTTTGCACATAGCTTGTCTTTTGTTAGATGTTGTTTTAGTAGTTAAAAAGGTTTACAAAAATTTATCTTTGTAGTAGTTACTTTCAAAAAATTAATAAAAATAAACTTTTAAAAAATTTGCTGAAACACTTTTACATCTCAAGAAATCTAATTACAAATAACTAAATTTTTAAAGATTTAACAAGCTTTGCTATTTTGATATGAATAAAAGTTTCAGCTAGATCTAATTATGTTGTATTTCTGTTTGATTTGACTAATAAATATGGACCTCAGTTAAAGGATCTAATTGGTTAGATTTGTTAAAGGACTTCATCATGTTAACTAACAAAATAAATAAATGTTGTTTTAAAATGGAGAAAAAAATAGAAAAGAAAATTAAAATTTCACAATATTTAATTTAATTTAAATAGTTTATACATTGGAGTAATTAAATAAGTAAATATTAATTAGATGCATTTATTTTATTCTATCACATTCTTAAATACATTATCTATTGTTTTTTATATTTCATTGTATATAAAACTGATCATTTTCATTTACTAACAAACTATCAATGCATATAAGGGCAGTGAAGTTCTCCAAATAATTGTGAAAAAGCTAGATTTAGGCTTAAGAATAAAATTAGACAAATGTAGTGCCTGACCATCAGAAAAGAAAGTTGCTGTAACTCATTTAAAAATGAAATAATTCCTATTTTGTGTAAATTAACCTAAACTTCCCTCCTACAACTATCTGCAGGTGGAGAAAGCTGAAGCCATTCTGGTCAGGGTGAGGGATGCCATCAAATCATCCTCATCTGAAGAAAAAATCAAGGTACTGGTTGATGAATTCTACTCCGCTCTGTCCCACAAGAAAGACAATGCTGACATGACTAGTGTGGGTAGAAAACAGTGGCTGGTCAGAAAACAGGACATGTGCCAAGTGAGTTGCTACTACATTTTTTAAATATCCCTTATAGAGCCATGTTATATATATTTTAAATATAAATGAAGAATTATAACTATATATATATATATATATAAATATATATATATATATATATATATATATATATATATATATATATATATATATATATATATATATATATATATATATATATATATATGTAACTTAGACAACATTTGTACACAGCTTGTCAAAGACATGATTTCTGTCAGTGAGATGACTAACTTTGAGAATAGGTCTCACATAGAAGCCAAATATGCAGCACTGCGATGCCAGATCACAAACCTGAGTGGAAGTCAAAGAGAGGAAGTGGCAGACTTAGTTCACTCTACAATGGATGCTGGAAGGTAAAAGGGCATTCCTGCTTTTAGATCAGTAGTTATATAATAGTTAAAATCATTATCAAGATCAATAGACCTATAGCCTATGTTGGGCCTATGTCTACCCCACTGTATTTCATCTTTCTAGTTACTATACTCTTCACAGTATGTCATTGTTCTGGTTCTAAAACTTAAATATTATTATTGTTGCAAAATTTTCCACTGCAGTAGCAACATAACTTTGACAAAAATACTTTCACTTGAATTTAAAGAATTTCAAAAATTTTCTAGCGAGTCATCTGAAGTGAAGTTGTTGAATATCTATGAAGTATGGAGACAGGTCGAAGATATTGATTACAGACATGACATCTACCCTAAGCGTCTGCTGTTTCATTCTTCAAAAGTTGAAAATTTTGTTGGAATTTTATCACGGTAGGAAAATAGTTTAAATGTTAAAGATACTGGTATTAACAGTAGAAGGAGACCAAACTAAAGGACATTATATAATTTTCACTATAACTTGATCATCAATATACTTTGTCTGTAGGGGTCTACTTTTACCAAAAGTTGTTGTGGATGATTATGGAGGTAAACGATCCGATGTTGGAATGCTGGGAAGTGGCATATACTTTGCTAGTGAAGCTAGGTACACATTTAAATTTTGTTTCACCTTAGCTGGATCAGTCTAAATACTAGGAGAAACTTCATTAAAAATTTAGCTTAACTATTTTATTTTAATGCTTCATTATTTGGTACTAGATTAAATGTTTATTTAACACATTCAATATCAAAGTGTTAATTTTTAAAAATCAGTTATCTTTGGTTAAGAGAAATAGTCAGAAATCAAATATGTTTTCACCAGCACCAGTGTCCGCTACTCTTCACCAAGTCAGACCAAAGGGTCAAGGCTGCTGTTGATTAACGAGGTGGCATTAGGAAACTGTAAAGATTTTAATGTGTACAACACAGAACTGGTGGCGCCACCTGATGGGTATGATAGTACTCATGGTGTCAGTCAAAAATGGGACAAATCATCCACGTTTAAGGTGGGTGAAAATGATCCAACATTTATTTTTTGCAGATTTCTTACTATTTCGTACCTCATAAATTATGTTTATTTTAATAACTAAAGACATATATTTATAACTGTGCTTAGTTTTGTATAACTTCTTCCTAATAAAAATGTGCTTTAATTAGTTTCAAGATGTCATTGGAGGTAGAATATTGAGAAAATCCAACATTTATAAAGCCTTTTTACTGAAATTTACTTTTGATTTGTTGTGTTGAATAGAATGATGAATATGTTGTGTACTCTACAAACCAACAAAGAATTCGCTACATTGTGGAATTCACCATCAAAGACGATTTAATCAAGCCAAACATAGAACCCATTGTAGCTATTGACACAAATATTTTGACAGACGCAGTAGAAAGCACAAGTAATATTTTAGTTTCATCTTTTAATAATAATATGAGAAATTATATGTAATCACATTTTATCTCTTATAATATTTATTGTAGTATTCTAGTGTGGGTATAGATGATAAACAACTCAGATATATTGAACACCATTAGCTTTATTCTTTATTTGACTCTTTATGGATGGTGTCCAGATGAAAAATGATCATTTAACTCTGTTCATAAAAATCACCTAACAACAACAACAGGGGGGGGGGGGGGGGTGCTACTTTGCACATGACTTTATGTAAGTTAGTTTCCTTGTATATTTTCACATAGCAGCCACTAACAAAGCATAAACATTTTTTAGATAATGTCTAAAATGTTTAAAATACTTTCAAATCACTTAAAATCAATAACAAAAATTGTAGCCATACATGATGTGGTTGATGTTGGTGACCCCATGTCGAAGGTCAAGCCTGGGCTGATTGGAACTGGTAATGTGGAAGTTGAGATGAGAGCAGTCCACATCAGAGCACAACTTGTAGACCTGGCTGCCCAGGTAAAGATAGTTACCTCATTTTTTCAGAGTAAATTCACATTTTTCTCCTGTTCATTAAAAAAATGAAGTCTGAGGATGTTGACTTGGCCTAAAGTTGTATTAAACAATTTTTTTGTTCTGGTTTAGAAGTTCCATTTATGTTAATGTTTTGTTTATAAGATTTAAAATACATCTTGCTGTTAACTTACATGTAAGCAACAGATGCTCAGTTTTAAATGTTTTACCATTTACTAGCTTGAGCAGTGAGATATCTCTATGTAGTTTTAAATGATTCATAAAATTAAAAATACGTTTTGTATTTAGTTCACCTGGGCAGCAACATAGAATCCTCTTTGGTTTTGAATATTTCATAAAATCTAAAATATGGATTCATGTAAATATGCCTGTGCAGTGACAGATCCCTCTATGCAGAAAATCTGATACAGTGCACCATTTCACAGGTGGTGGTGCTGCAAGAGTACCACAACAACAGCAGCCAGCCCATAGAAGCCAAGTACGTCTTCCCTCTTGATGATGCCGCTGCTGTGTGTGGTTTTGAGGCTTTCATCAATGGCAAACACATTGTGGGGGAGGTCAAAGAAAAGGAAGTTGCCCATAAAGAGTACAAGCAGGCTATCAGTGAGGGTCATGGAGCTTATTTAATGGATCAGGATGAGGAAACACCAGTAGGTTCTGTCTAAATATAGAACGAAATAATGTAAAATACAATAATGTAAAAATAATGTAACAACTGCATGTAGTTAAATACAAATTTAGTAAAACAAGTTTAAAAATTTTAAGTCTATAAATATTTAGTAATTAATATTTTATTATAGGTCTACTGAAATAAAAATATTTTGTTTGAAAAATGTTGTCTGTCAGTTAAACTTGTAAAAGAATGTTTTGGTCCCACTTCTAAACAAGTTTGTTTTGTTTTAGGATGTGTTTACAGTGAGTGTTGGCAACCTGCCAGCCGGGGCCTGTGTGTTAATTAAAATCACCTACGTGGCAGAGCTGCAAGTTGAAGACGGTCTCATCAGTTTTAGACTTCCTGCAGCTGTGGCCCCATGGAAGGAGACATCTGCTCTTAAAAATTCAACACAGGTATGGCCTTCCTGGTTCAGATTAAATATTTACTTTTCCAAAAATAATTTTTTCTTCTGTTATTAACATATATATGTACTTAAAAATGTAGATAAAAAATTGGTCAAATTCCTTTTTTTTACCAGGAGATTTTAAAAAGTCACAAAATGTCAGCCTCTAAAACCACAGTTCAAGTCTCTGTAGAAATGCCATTTGAAATAAGAAGCCTAAAGTGTCCTACACACAAGATCAGAGTTAAGGTAAGTGAACTTTACAAGTTTTTGAATTAGTAACCATGGTACATTACTGAGGAGTTATCTATTACCCAGTCAGCACACATATATTGGCCCAATATTGGCTAAACATTGGTTACCAATATTGGCTACATCTTGGTGCAACATTGGCTTAACCTTGGCGAAACATTGGTAGTGAAACTCGGCATGATGTTGGCGCAATGTTGGCACAATATTGGCTATATCCCGGCTACATATTGGCCCAACATTGGCTAGATCTTGGCCAAATATTGGCTATATCCCGGCTACATATTGGCCCAACATTGGCTATATCCCGGCTACATATTGGCCCAATATTGGCTACATCTTGGCTCAATATTGGCTATATCTTGGCCCAATATTGTCTATATCATGGTTACATCTTGGCCCAATATTGGCTACATCTTGGCTCAATAATGGCTATATCTTGGCCCAATATTGGCTATACCTTGGCTCATCCTGTATTATATCCTGGCTACATCTTGGCCCAATAATGGCTATATCTCGGCTATACCTTGGCTCAGCCTGTATTATATCCTGGCTACATCTTGGCTCAAATTTTTATTTTTAGCATACAAAAAAATCCATTCTCATATCAGTCATAATATTTACAAAGGTAATTTCAAAATGTGAAAGAAATTTTAATCAAAATGTAGTAAAGCAGCAATACATACACAAGAACTGCTCATCTATTAAAATCTGTATTATACCATCCATTCAATTGTAAGAAAATTATAACTATACTATAAAGTATTGATTGAAAAAGAATAAGTAAATTATAGTGTAGTAACTTTCATTTTGACTTTTATACAAACAAATTAAAACAAATATACAAAACATTTTCATATAATGTAACAGATGTTAAGCAGGCCTACAGTTTAAATTAAACTAATGTAAAAAACTTAATTTACTGTACAAGAATACAGAAGCTGTCTTGTACTATGATACGTAAACATAACATTAAAAATAAAAAGTATAAAATATTTGTCTAACAACATTTAATTGCATAGCTCGTTTAAGTATTCTAATTAAGGTTTACATTTTAATGCTGGACCAGTCTGCCTTGTCCATAAATAACAGAACGAAAATATGTTCAGGATCTCTAGATTATAATTGTGGTTAAATAGTGTTGAAATGAATGCCATTGTGTATACAAAATGTACAATCTTTCAAAAGACAGATGGTTCGAGGGTTTATACGCATTGTGTAGAACAGGAATATCACTGCGATATTTAATAAATGTTTTTTTGTCTCGAGTATGAGGTATTTAATTATAGCAAACTGAATATATATTAATTTACTTCATTAATTAGAAATAAATATCACCAGCAGAAGTATTGTCAATACAAATGTTGCAAGCTTTTTTCAGATTGTACAGTGAAACTAAATAATGAAAGAAATTTGCAACTAATTCTTTAAAGAAAAAAATGTCAATTGTATATTTCATTTAGGGCATTAAATCTACACTAAACATACATACAATGCCAACTTAAATTATTATATTATTACAAAAGGAAACAATTTATTAATTTAAAATCAGCATTGTTCTTAGACTATTTTGGTAAGAGCATCTTTTCTTTTCATTAAGCACTTAAATGCAATATGTATTAAACTGTTAACCTGATCCATCTGATCAAATTTTTTTTTTTAAATCTGATCTAAAATTATTACGAAAATCACTGTTGTCCTCATTCTTGTGGACCCTTGTGGAGCTGAGAGACACAACCACACCTCTCTATTTTTATACTTGGTTTTAGGAGATTCCCCAAAGTTGTGTCCATAACACTCTGCCTGCTTGTGTTTTGTTGGTTTCTGATATTTTCCATGTTTGTTTTGGATAACAAACTTTCTCTTTCCTTTGGGATTCAAATCCAATAAAAGCCTGGTTGTTGATTTGTGCAAGGTATGTCATAATCCATCCACATTCTAAAAAAGAAAAGTTACACACTAAAAGTCATTTATGAAATAATTACAACCATACACTGCTCATTTTGCACTAAATTTATTATGTTTATTTTATTTTGCACTGCACTGAACATACAACAAGAAGCCCCTAACATCATGTTTGCTACCTTGTAACGATATATTATATAGGTATAAAGACTGGTGGTCTGGGGTGTTCATGCTACCCAGGTAACACTTATACTGCATATATATATATATATATATATATATATATATATATATATATATATATATATATATATATATATATTTATAAACAAAAGTGAAAAAAAAAGACCTGGTAATAAAAAAAATAATAGTATGTATATAAATATTATAAACCCCTTACCCTATGTCTCTGAGCTAAGAAGGTGCCAGACAATTTTTGAGCAATTTCATCAACTTTATCAATTCAGTAATTGAACGATTAGACCCTTCAGAGTGACCCAGAAGTAATGCTTGTGGTCTGAAATTATTTTACTAATATCAGTAAAGGCATTAACTACACATGCTGATCATTAAATGCAAGCAAAAAATACTAAATGAATATTATTATTCACTTTGAAACAATGTAAACTTACAGTTATTAAGTGTTAAGAACATTTAGTCATCTTCTGGTGTAGCCAGTATTTGGTGAAGTATCAAGATTGATATATCTCCAGTGGGCTGATTGATATACACAACACCTGGAGGCCTGAAAATAAATGGCATTCTTAGTTATTAAATATAATAATAAAATGAGTGAGTGATACAATAAATGATAGCCAGATTAGATACTAATTTTTAAGTATCTCTGTTTATTTGATCTCTGTATATAAAGGATTGTGTAGTCAACACTATATCTAGCCACCTTTTTTATTTCATAGTCTTAAATTGGGTATATATCAGACTTAGGTGAACTGATGAATGTACTACTAACTTGGCTTTATGTTTAGCAATAGTGTCCTCAACCATTTGCCTACTCTGTCCTCTATATGATAATATGAGTAGTGTTGATCATTAAGTATGGCTTACTAATAGTACCATCTTATCGCTGTTGGTCATGAAATTAAGTGTTGCTCTGAGGTCTCCACACTACTATTTACACAACTTACATATTATTCATCAAAACATGCATTAGACTGGAATCCCCAGGGAAAAAGGAGGGTGGGCCGGCCAAGGAAAACATGGAAGAGAACGGTTGAGGAGGAGGCAAAAACAGCTGGGCTCTCATGGGCACAGATTAGAGGAGCAGCCCAAAACCAAGTCCGCTGGAGATGTGTGGTTGCAGCCCTTTGCTCCCCAGGGGCCACAAAGGAGTGATGATGATGACATCTTATTCTCCCATAGGGAGCTGTAACAGTAATAGAAATTTGAATGACAATCTTGAATCAATTTAGAATTCTAGTTGACTAATTTTTTTTCAAAATTAATACCTATCAAAATACACTGTTTAACATGTAGAAATTTGTTCTATAATTGTGTCTACTGTTCCTCTCTCTCTCTCTCTCTCTCTCTGAATTAATTAATAAAGACAGTTTCAAATCCTTACACAAATAGGCCTAGAACAATAAAATTAAGTTTTTAAAAAAGTTAAAGTGAATGATTATTTATTAATTTATAAACATTTAAGCCCCCCCCCCCTTTCCCTGTGCGTGATAATTATACCTAAAGTTGAAAACCAATAAATACATCGATCTATCAATAATCAATATAACCCCAAACGTACTTGCATACTTTTCAATACAAAAAAAAGTGCTGTCAAAATTAACCGCCCTCTGATTACGATTTTTAGTTATTTAGTATTATTAGAATCTAGATCTATCTAGATCTATCATTAAGGAGATTATTGTAAAATGTAATTATAGCCTAATGCCAAAATAAACAGAATATAGACTCTAGTATTATTAATATATAGATCTAGACTAGATCTAGGCTCATTTTATTACCTCAAATAAACTACCTTTTATAACTTTTATTTGATGACTTAGGCCCATAAAGTTAAAGTTTCCAACAAAAAAATACGAGTTTTCCAGATTCTGCATAAATACAGTTATACTACTTCTCACTGTTGAACTAAAATGGCTACAGTGGGCCTACCTGTTTTACTGTGACTGGATACAAAGTCTTTTGTTAAGAAAAATGGCGCAGGACCGGGATGCTGGCTTGCGAACAATAGGAAGGAATGTGAACAAAGGGACAATGGGCGACAGGGGGCCGGTGGCAGTAGCGCACACAATTTTAAAAAGATTAACAAAATGTTTAACACATGCAACGTAGTCTGTTATTGATGCTATGTTTACATTAGAGCATGATATTAAAAGATAAATTAATTTTAGTTAACATATATTAAGTTTAACAAGCATATTTAACTAAAATTTCTGCAGTGAATCCATAAATCAGTGTAATCTTGGCAGCCAAGGTAAAAACGGTTAAATATCAAGGTATCAAGGGATGCAAGCATGTACAAATCTTGGCTGTACCCTGGCGTAAGCTTGTCCAATGTTTGGCCATGATTACAACATTGGGCCAAGGTTGGGCCGACCCTGGTATTACATACTGTGTTAGCTGGGTACATGCATAGGTCTATATAGTGTTCCAACTGTACATCCTCTATTCCCAGCAAACTGCATCTAAAGCATTTGTTGAGATGGTGCGGCTTCAAAACTTTGGCTCTGGGTTCCAGCTGTTGATTGGTCTGGCAGAGATCCATGTTCCCCGCATGTGGGTTGAGAGGCTGCCAGAAGACCCACGGCACCAGGTTAATATTGCTTTGATGTGCATTGGGTACATTTGTTTATCTGATCACTAGTAGCTGATCATGTTTTGTTCATTGCTTAACTGGTACCTAGGTAATCATATTTCATTCGTGAGTTCAATTTGAAAAAAAAAAATTTGACAAAAAGCATAATTTTTAACCAAAAACCTGTGCGTAAAGAGCAAATGTTCATTAATTTAATGTTTTGATTTGACCAGGCCTGCATGTTGACATTCTTTCCTGAGTTTGAGTCCTCTGAAATATCTGAAGGGGAGATCATTCTAATGCTGGACACATCAAACTCAATGACTGGCCCTGCCCTGACTGAAGCCAAAAAGGTGGCGCTGCTTATGCTGAAATTCATCCCTGCAGGATGGAAGTTTAATGTTGTTGAGTTTGGATCAGGTGAAAAATATTCACGTTTTTTTGTATGCATTATAATTTTACGATGTTAATTAATTATAATAATGTTTGTTTTAAAATTCTTTTTGGTAAACTTACAGATCATGCAGAGCTTTTCCCTGCACCAAAATTAAAAAATGATGACACTGTGAAAGTTGCCACAGAATTTATACAGGTGATTAATTAAAAACTCTGCTCCCAAAAAACTGTGATACAAAACTGTTTCTTCAACTTTTTGAAATAACTGATAAATAAACACTTTGTGCCCTAGTTGTAATGTGTGTTCTAACTAGATTATATTTTGAGGTACTAAAATAGTTTGGTTGGAACCAATATGGTAGATCTATATCATTATATTAATTTTTTATATTTCACACTTTCTTGTGGCCAGGTATTTAGTGGTGTTTTAATGGTACAATTTAGATTCCCTACCATCTTAATTAAATGTAGTATTTTCAATGTCAATACAAACCCTAGCCTAAACCTTTATGGTTAAATATTATTGCTAGCATTGCTATAGATTTGACTACTACTAAATATTTGTTAACCTTCTCAGATGTCCAGAGCTGATAAAGGCAACACTGAAGTAATCCGCCCTCTGCGGTCCTTGTTTTTGTTGCCCTACTCTGAGAGCCAGAGAAATGTTTTCCTGATATCTGATGGCCACATCAACAATGATAGCGTAGTTTTGAGGGCAGCTCGCCTCAACTCCACTCATACAAGAATCTTCACATTCGGTGTCAGGTAATTTTTTCATATCTTTAAATTGGATTTTCATTTAAGGTAATAGGAATCTTTCTATCTATCATGTTAATGACTATATTTCTTTTTAAAACAAAATTATATCTGTATCTGTTTATCTATATATAAAAACGGTTTGTTTGTATATTCTATTAGATATCTTAATATCTGAGTGAAATTAGTTGTTTCACCCATATTATTTCTGAAAAAGTAAAATCATTTTTGAAAATAAATTATACGATTTTTTAAAAAGCAAATTTTTTCTTTTCAGTTCTTGTTTTTATTTTCCTTTCACTGTTCAGAAAAATTTTGCTTTGCACCCCATTTTGCTGCATTTCCTGTAAATAAATAAAGGGCTTTTAAATGATATAAGATGACATATAAACTCTTGAAATTTTCAGTCATATCTTATTAATTAATTTGTAATGTCATGTAACTTAGTGTTTTTAGTGTCCCTTAAAAGTTATACTTTTGTCATGTATTTTTTTGTTTCAGTGCCACATGCAACAGTTATACTTATGACACATATTTTGTTGTTTTCAGTGCCACTTGAAACAGTTAAACTTTTTTATGTCATGTATTTTTTTGTTTTCAGTGCCACTTGAAACAGTTAAACTTTTTTATGTCATGTATTTTTTTGTTTTCAGTGCCACTTGCAACAGTTATACTCTCAAAGCTTTAGCTAGAGTCTCTGGTGGAGCATTTGAATATTTTGACAGCAAGACCAAGTCCAAGTGGGAGTCTAAGGTACAACTGGATACTTTTGACATGATACACATGTATCCACATACTCATAATAGATGTATAGCCACATACATATATCTGTATGATCCACATGCAGCCACATACACATATCTGCAATATGCATGTAGGTACATAAACATATCTGCATGATAGATGTATAGCCACATAGACATATTTGCCTGTACACATTCAGCCCTAAAATATAGATATGTGTAGCCTCATACAGTGTAACAGCATACATGTATAGTCATGTACACATAAAGACACACATAAAGATGTGTATGCAAGTAGACATTCACACATGTAGCCTAAACACATGTAGCTATGTATACATGTAGCCTAATTGATCATGACACTTTTAACATCTGATAATGTAACCATGTTAAAGACTTTTTAAACTCCCCAGGTGAAGAGCCAGGTGAGTAAAGCTGGCCAACCCGGCCTGACATCCGTCTCTGTCCAGTGGCAGCAGTATGACGACAACCTGCCACCCCCAGTACAAGCGCCTCAACAAATCACTGCCATGTTCAGTGGCTCACGCCAAGTCATTTATGGATTTGTACCCAATTGCACCATGGTAAGCTTTTTAAAACTTAGGCATGGAACTAGGCATAGATAGAATTTGAGAGAGTGATACAATGAGGTTGTATTCCAGATGTGTTTATTGGATGTTTTAGCATCTTAAAATAAGAAACTTAGACCTGACATTTAGTAACTTCACTTTCCTACATTTGAGAAGATTGCTCAAGTTGTGGACTAACAGCTAATGGTTCAATATAGAGCCACTGGAGGTGTTTTCTCACGGTTTTCTCTTGTTCTAAACTCAAAAGGGCAGTAACTGATATATGGTTAACAGCACACTAACTCTTTCTTATTCCAATTAGGCCACACTAAAAGCAAACGTTGGAGGGGAGGAAGCTTCAACTGTTGTCTCGACATCAGAACTCTCCATAACAGAAGGAAAGGTATGATTACTTCAGTTGGCTTAAATTGAGCTTGTATAGATTAATATTTGTAATATTACATTGTTTTCCATAATAACAAATAGGAAAGCCAAAGATTATTAAAATATTATCTTTAGTTCTGATATAGTAGTAAAATATTTTTGGAAAGACTGTAAGCAGAAATTAGTCTTATCTCAAATGTTATGAGGTTTTATGTTGAATTACAGATTGTTCATCGGTTAACAGCAAGGGCAGTAATCAGAGACTGGGAGGACGGAGTTTTGTCAGATGATAGAACTGGACATGAGGTGAGGCCCGTTTTTTAAATTTAAAAGCTAATTTGTTTATTTCGTTAAAATATTTCCACTTTTTTACAAGTATGTCCTAAATACAAATAGGTATAATTATATTGATAATTATTTTATTCTGACAATATTTTAATCTACTTATCAGGTTGCCAAGCTGGACTTAAAAAAATATGTAATTGACTTGAGCAAAGAATATTCAATTGTCACTCAGTTCACAAGTTTTATTGCTGTGGAGAAGAGAGAGGAGGTATGAGTTTTTTGTTTGTTTTGATGAAGTCAGTAAAATCATGCACACTACCACTTGACCCAGCCTTATAACATTAGAAAATATTATGCTCTATTTAGATGTGTTTTAATAATTACAAATACTGTGTTGAGAAAATATAAATATGAAGAATGATAATGTACTTGAATCCATTTGTGTGATTCAGAATGAGAAAGAAACTCTGCCGAAGGGGCCATCTATAGAAGATCTGTTGAAGAAAGAAAATGTTGACAACTTACCCTACATTGGTTGGACAAATGTGCAAGTGAGTGGATGTTAATTTTTCATAGAGACCCATCCTTGTTACTATAGACATCCATAACAGTTTTTAAAAACTATTACTTGACTTGTATTGTGAACAAACTTTCAGTTTCATATCCACCATTGAGTTAGCATATCGAGATAGGGCAATAGTTACAAACATGACTGCCTTATTTTTTAAAAAAAAATGTTTTAACCTTACACAATTGTAGTTTGTGAAATAATTTTTTGTATGTCTAATATTGCTTGTTTCTACCAGGAAGGTGACAGTTTACCCATAGAGTCTTTGATTGAGGAACTCTCCAGGGAAATAGAAAAGCAGAGCATCTCTGTGAAGATGGCTGCCTGTTTAGAATCTTTGGAAGAGAAAAGTTTTTTGTTGAAAGAGCAGGCGGGTCCATGTAACAAGAACATGCTGCTTGTGAGTTAACAGGGGATCTTTTGTTTGTTGGGGCATGCTTGTTCTATATCAGGGCAGATTTGTTCTATATCAGGGCAGATTTGTTCTATATCAGGGCAGATTTGTTCTATATCAGGGCAAACGTGTTCTATATCAGGGCAAACGTGTTCTATATCAGGGAAGACTTGTTGAGCCCTATCTTCTACAGCCTAATATTTTTTCAGGCAACCAAACTCCTTGTTGAGGCCTATCTTCTTCAGTCTAATGAAAACAAAGCATGTGAACTTGCTGTGGAAGCTTTTAATGGTAATGTGGTTGCTTCCCTTTCTTTACCCCACTCAAAGTATTATCTGTATTGTTTGCTATGTTGTATGTTTTATTTGCTATATGGTTTTGTTGCTGTGTTATATTGTCTAGATGGTAAGCCATATTGCCTAGTTGGTAATCTATATTGTCTAGATGAAAGCTATATTGTCTAGTTGGTGTGATATATTGTCTGTATAAGTATTATTCATTATGTTTATATTGCAAGCTATTTTGTTTGTATTGCTTTTTTAACATTGTCAAGTTTGTAAGTTGGCATTATTTTCCTATATTGTCTGTATTATTTGATACATTGCCTGTATTATTTTGCTATATTGCCTGTATTATTTTGCTATATTCCCTGTATTATTTGCTATATTGCCTGTTTTCATTGATAATCAGATTGTGTGAAGAGCTTGGACACTTTGGATGAAAACTCATACACAGAGATAGCCCCGGTCCTATCTGACCTACGTAATAAAGTGATCAACATAGAAAGCACCAAAGAGCAGATGAAACCCCAGATACCATTGCCTGTACATGGTAAGGGACATTAAACTAAAAAGTCTGCTTTCTTGATTAATGAATAACTAATTGTAATTTATGAGCGGATTTAGTGTTTCCACTGGCCTTGTAATCAGATGTTCCGTAAGATGCATGTTAATTTTTTTAAATTGTTTCTTTCTTTGGTCTCTCTTTTAGGAAATAGGGGTAGAATATTCAAAATCCATTAGTACAAAAATTGTTTCATTTCTTTCTTTTGTTGTTTAGGAAAAGGGGTGGTGAATTTAAAAACTTTAACTGGAAAAACTATAAATGTTTCCGCCAATGCTAGAACAACTGTGGCAGATTTAAAAAATACTTTGATGGAATTAGAGGGCATACCTTATAGCCAGCAGAGGCTGATTTACAATGGTCAGCAGCTTCAAGACCATGATTGCCTTCAGAAATTAAACATAGGCTATGGAGATGTGGTTCATCTGGTGCTGGCTTTGAGAGGCGGACCTTCAAGTTAGTCCTAACTTCCTGTTTATACATTTAATGAATATTTTTAAATGTCTGCTTACAACCAGTGAGAAGTTTACACTGTGGTGTATGAAGTTAGCTATTATTTACATAATTGAAGTCTTACAAAGTTTAAGTTTGTAAGGGACTATAAGTATATAACTAAAAAATTATTTGGAGCCAGATTATCTCTAATACTTTTTACATTTTGTTATTGTTACATGAAACATTTAGGAGGCGCTTATAATTCAAGGGCCCTAAGTTCAGCCTGCTCAGCCTCCTGATGCTACTCTTTCTTTTTTCTCAGTTTCTTTGTTCTTTCTTTGGCTTTTCAATAACATTTGATTTTTTTATGGGGAGGGGTTGGTAGCCCTTTAGCCAGTTCTGCCCAACTTTCACCCAGGATTGGATCTGGAAAAATGAGGAGTTCAGGAGATCACAATGTAGATAAGTGATATAATTGCTTGGGTCCACAAGGGAAATATCCCAGTAAATGCAGCAACTGACATAAGGCACTTGAAGGTAAAGACCTGGAGGAAGTAGAAAAATCTACCTTTAGGGCAGTGTTTCTTATATACAAGGAGGGTCAGCTGCACACATGAAATAAGGACAGGTGTGATGATGCAATGTTAGGCAAGTTTAAAAATAAGTCAAACAGAAAGGATAAAATGTAGAAGTTAAGAAATAGTGTTGGTCAGCTAGACATTTGTCAAGCAGATCCAGTAGAAGTACCCACCTTGAAAGAACACAGGAAAATAGAAGGAGCCTAGCCTGGAGATGCAACATCTTTTACAAGAAAGATTGGCTAATGCTGGGTAAAGTTGGAGAAACTAGGACAAGAAGAATAGGTCACCATTGGGGACAGTTGTAATAACTAGAGGACTGTGTTGCCTCGACATTACACACCTCCTGGGTGGGGGGATGTGCAGTCTTTTGTTATGATGTGTAATGTTGGGGGGGGGGGGGGGGAAGCTGGGTTCAAGGAATGTGATGTTGCATTTAATTCATATATTTGAAGTACAAAAATGATGAAAAACATGTTGATATATGCTTATTTTATGTGATTTTCAGTTGCTTTTCATAAACTAATTAACATTTTTTTAAGGGCCAACTAAAAAAAGTGCAACTATTTCAGTGAGAAACAACGAATCTTTAATAACATTCGATTGTTTTGGTAAGTATTCTACATTTTTAGCAGTTTTGTGGTGACATTGTATCGGCATTAACAGAAATACTTATTTGGAGCACTCAGGCTCTCAATTAAAGATAGAGAAAAGATAGTCTTCAGTACTAATTTCTATTACATTTTTTCAGAGGATGATGATGAGGATGATGATGACATATATGGTAAGATTGTGTTTATATTTATACCTTTTCATTTAAATTAAATGAGTTCAATTGTGTGAGCTGATATTGTTGAATGTCTGATATTTTTTAATGATATTTTTGAATGGGTTTGCTGATTGTGTTGGATGGTTCAGTTTGGACTATCATGCATCATATGTTACTTCATACATTAACTGTAACCTCACTTGTGAATTGTTATTGAATGTGTCTTAAATATGTTATGATGGCTAGAATTTAAATTGTATTAATTCAAATAAAATAATATTTCCATTTAATCTTTCCAGATGATGGAGTAGAGGAAATATTTTATGTGACAGGTCAGCTGATACTGTAGGATTGTTTTGTTACTATGGGCTTTATATACTACAAACAGTACTACTACTACATTAAAATTCAACTAGCAACTTTTTTTTTCTCGTAAATAAAGATATTATTAAAACCTCACAAATGAAAATATAACCATATGATTAAAAATGTATTATTTTTTTGTCAAATGTATTGTTATGGCTTAAATTAATATTTCCTAAATTCAAGCAAAAAAAAAAAATTCCATTAAATCTTTTCAGAGGAAGGACACAGCACTGAGTCACATTGTGGTAATTTCTTTATTTTTATTCATGTTTTTTTTTCAATTTAATTTTCTTTGTATTAGATGATAATATTAAATGGGCTGGCTGGAATTTTTGTGATTGTTCTGTTACTATGGGCCTGGTTACTACATACAGGACCACATTAAAATATCACTTGCAGACACCACTTATGTTAGGGGTCATCCATAAATGACGTCACACTCGTAGGGGGAGGGGGGATTCGTAATTTTGTGACGGTGTGTGATGAGGGAAGGAGGTGTGTTCAGATGGTGCGACGTCACACTTTTGCATTATAAAACAATGTTAGAAAACAAATTTTAGACGTTATTTCGCGTTTTAGAAAACTGTTTTAATAAATTGTAATTCGAATTGATTAAAATACTCTATGTTGACAGAGTTCAGACAAGATTTTGGAAAAAATATAGATGTTTTAAAAAAAAAATTCAACTGCAATTTTGAGGGGGGTTGTAGGCTGAGGTGTGACGTCATTTTAGGGGGGGGGTCTGGCTTTTTGTGACGACGTGTGACGGAGGGGAGGGGGAGGTAAAAATCATCAAAGAAAGCGTGACATCATTTAATAGCATTTTCAGTTGCTAATAGTTTTTGGAGAAAGTGTCAAATTATAAAGTTTTCTGTTGTTGCAAGCAATATTTTTTACATGAATACTAAGAAACGGCTATCATTGTGCTTATTTTAATATTATTTTAATTGTAAGAGCTGTGATTTTTTTTCTCATTGAGCTCTTTTATTTTTGTTTTTCATTGAGCTGCTTTGTTTTAATTTTTCATTTTGCAAAGTAAAAAAAAGATATTAAAACCCCTCAAATGAAATTGTAACAATATGATCAACAATCGTTTAAATCAGGGGTCTCTAAACTTTTCAGTCCGATGGCCGCATTAACTATCAAATTCCAGTTCGGGGGCCAGTTTCTTCCAGGCATGTCTTTGTTTTTTTCTGGGCAAAGTTCCTCAGCCATTACCAAGAAACGATTTTTCCTTGGACAAAAAGATCTCCGCGGGCCGGGTGAGAGGACATCGCGGGCCGCATTCGGCCCGCAGGCTGCATTCGGCCCGCGGGCCGTAGTTTGGAGACCCCTGGTTTAAATGTATTAGGATGGCTCAAATTACTATTTTCTTAATTTTTCAATTAATAAGACCACAACTATTAGAATGTAGTCTTTTTTTTTCAGAATATATCTGTAGTGGGCTACAATCCCATACTCTCTGTGTTTAGTAGGCAAAACCATCCCATACTGTCTTTGGTAGGCGACCATCTCATACTCTCTGTCATTAGTAGGCAATGATCGCATACTTTCTGTCTGTAGTACATGTCACAGACTGTATTATTATGTATCTTTATTATATTGTGTTTTGCATGAATGAAGAGTACCTGGCTAGCGGAAGGACTGTCTGAGCGATCGTCATGTGTTTTTCCGTGTTTTGGGTGAGATCGCTCATTGACGTAAGGGGAGAGAAAGTGGTGAATAAAAGAGAGAGCGAAAGGTGAACGGGTGTTGTGTGCTAGGACTTGGGACTGGAACGATGGCAGTGAATGTAAGATGTCTCCATGACTTGGAGTCGTGATTATTTTTGTACCTATATCAGTTGATCTTCAAATATGGATGTACCACGGATTTATCTGTACATAGTGTAAATAAAGTTGTCATTTGAAGTTGCCACTGTTGCTCGTGTTCCTGTATGAAAGCTAACCCACAACAACAGAGAATACATGTTGTTACATATGGTGTCAGAAGTGGAGGCAATAAAGTGATGTTGCTACATTGTATTACTGTTACTTATGATGTCACAAGTGGTTGAAGAATTGGTGCTACATATGTCAGAAATGGAGATATTACAGTCTGTGGTCTTCCACTGTTTACCAAGTACGTCAAGTTCTTGAAAGTCATCTATCTACACTCAAGTCAGAAGGGTTGCTGTAGTCAAGTCAGACGTTTTGTTCAAGTCAAGGCATCAACGTGATAATTTTTATTACCTTATTTCGATATTGTCTCACCAATGTCGAGTAAATATCGTCTGTGTGTTTTTTCTGTTTGGATTTAGCCGATCAAGTCTTAGTGTTTCTTTTCTACTGTTTGGATTTAGCTGTTCAAGTTTTTTCTATATGGATTAGCTGTTCAAGTTCTTCTACTGTGGATGAGCAGATCTAGTTTATTAATTGTAAACTGTTCCTAAAGATGTCTTATCTAAAACTGGACACATTTCTACTCTGTAACAGGCTACTAGAACTATTTTGAATTTTTTCAACTTTTTGGAATCAACAAAGTGAACTATTTTTGGACGTATATATGTACTATGAACTTTTCTTGGATTACCAGATGTCTGTAATCAACTGAACAAAGCCAGAATACAAGAAAGGGTATTGGTAAATTAATTAACACTTACCTATTGTTAACTAATGAATTTATATTTTATGTCATAAATAGAAAATATATCAAAATGTCAAGTCGTACATATTATAAAGAGCTAATGAAGGAGCTCGACATTCCGATGGTCAAGATGTCAAGACTAGAAGAATATATGGAAATGGCGAGGGATCTAGGCATTAAGAAGATGAAGAAGAAGATAGCCTGGGCAACCAATCGACTTGAACAAGACAGAGAAGGAGAAAAAGAAGCATTGGACAAAGAAACAGAACAACCCCGACTAGTTCATGAAGAAGTAATTAGAGAATTAGATGATGAGATAGAAATAATGCGTGATAGATTAAGAGATGCTACATACACACATGAACCAAAATTAGAAAGTCAACAGGCAGAACTTGAAGAAGTAAATATTGGCAACCTTTGGAATGAAGAACAGAGTAATATAGTCCAGGAAGAATTGAAACCCAAGGATAAAACAGAGGTTGAACTTAATAATGATTTAAAGGTGACAGATACATTAGAATGTTTTAAGATTGACTCTTTATTGACTCAAACGCAGGTACACGAGAATATTATTGAAAGTTGTATCACAAATCCATCAGAGAATGGCAGTCAACAAGAAATAAGTCCATCAGAGAATAGTAATCAAAATGATTTAATAAGCCCATCAGTCAATGGCAGTGATGATTTAATAAGTCCATCGGAGAATGGCAGGAATCATGATAAACTAATGATGAATAATGAATCAGTGAACTTAATTAGCCACAATGAAGAGAACGTACCTATTGAAGATTTACTTCGAAAATTGGAGTCAAACTATAAAGAAGATATACTAGAACTCAAGAAAAAATTTAACAAAGAAATGGAGAAATTAACACAGAAATTTATGTGTGAATTAGAATCAATAAAGAAGCACAAGGAAGTTAAGAAAGATGAAACAGTAACTAGAAACTATAATGTCACTAATACACAGAATGAAAGTGAAAGAAATTTAGCAAACTATGAATACAGTCAACATGTTAATAAGAATGTCATTAATGTCATTAATGCACAGAATGAAAGAAAAAGAAATTTAGCAAACTATGAATACAGTCACCATGTTTATAAGAAGCCAAAATCTAGATGTTTTTACTGCGGAAAAACAGGTCATTACCAAAATCAATGTTGGCATAGGTTGGCAAATCAGAGAAGAAACAATTATGTACAAAGAAAGTCATGTGGGAAATATAGTAATTTAAGAAAGAATATATCATGTTCTAATGAAAGATACCGAAGCAAGATGTATTATGAAAGGCCAAAGCAATGCCATAATATTTATATTGAGTTGGTTGATGAACCAAACGAACGTACACAAAGCAAGATAACTACTGACGTTGTTCAGAAACCAGAGAAGAATATTAAAACAAATGAAGTAACACAAGTTACACGAAATATAGGAAATCATTATGGTAGCAAAGCTAAAAGCTACACATACAATTTCAGGGAGAGATGGCAAACAGGTCATCGTCAACTGCACGAGAACGATTACTCATGCTATAGAGGATGCTAAGATTAAATTATCAATTGACAGTGTATTAATATTAGACAGTCTGTAACTGTAATATATAAATATCAAATAATGTGTTTGAGTAAACATAAATTGTGTACTATATATAAAGAATGTAAACTGTATTATGTTAAACCTATTCTATACTATTAATTAACAGTGAATAAAGTAAATCAAGTAAAAGTTAGAGACTATTTATTCCGCATAACAATAAGACGGAAGTCTCAATGATGAATTGTATTAGTCGATACCTGTGAAAGGCAAGAATGTTGTGTTGTGACCTAGATATGACTGAAATGGGTCGACTAGGGGAGACAATAAGGTATATTACTTATGTGTAGTAATAACATGCCTTGATGATAAGGTTGGTTTACTACATAGGATATAATTATTTAATTCATGTCTTTAAGTATTTTAACTATGTGTTATGTTTTGGAATTAAGTCCTGTACCAAATTAGTTTGGTATATTATTTATCCCAACTGATGTAGTTTTTTTTTACAGTTACTGGGTAATTGAAATGTTTTTTTCTCCTATGTGAATGTATATTGATGCATTAAATATTACATATAATGCTTGTACATTTAAAGTTTTTGTTCAAAACATTGACATATTTTAATTATCACTGATATAGTCACTACATACTGTTGTATTTGTATGCACTATAAATTTATGACTACAAGTGCTTAGTCTAAAAAGAATATATTTTACTCTACTTTGAGTTGTACACAATTTTTCGTTGTCTGGCACATGATCCTGCCCTACCAATACTGTATTTATAAATTTTGTTGTCTGGCACATGATCCTGCCCTACTAATATTGTATTTATAAATTTTGTTACACAAAATTTTATTCGAAGGGGGGACGTGTCACAGACTGTATTATTATGTATCTTTATTATATTGTGTTTTGCATGAATGAAGAGTACCTGGCTAGCGGAAGGACTGTCTGAGCGATCGTCATGTGTTTTTCCGTGTTTTGGGTGAGATCGCTCATTGACGTAAGGGGAGAGAAAGTGGTGAATAAAAGAGAGAGCGAAAGGTGAACGGGTGTTGTGTGCTAGGACTTGGGACTGGAACGATGGCAGTGAATGTAAGATGTCTCCATGACTTGGAGTCGTGATTATTTTTGTACCTATATCAGTTGATCTTCAAATATGGATGTACCACGGATTTATCTGTACATAGTGTAAATAAAGTTGTCATTTGAAGTTGCCACTGTTGCTCGTGTTCCTGTATGAAAGCTAACCCACAACAACAGAGAATACATGTTGTTACAGTACACAATCATCCCACACTCTCTGTCTTTAGTCGGCAACCATCTCATTCTCTTTGTCTCTAGTTGGAAGCCATTGCATACTCTCTGTAATTAGTAGGCAATCATCCCATACTGTCTGTCATTATTAGGCAATCATCCCATACTCTGTCTTTAGTAGGCAACCATTCCATACTCTCTGTTATTAGTCTGCAACCATTCCATACTCTCTGTTATTAGTCTGCAACCATTCCATACTCTGTCTTTAATAGGCAATCACCACATCTATCATTGAGGGCTATTTTAGAATGGTTTAGCTGATATTGTGGGATGAGACAGGCCAACATACAGGACCACATACAGGACAACATACAGGACCACATACAGGACAACATACAGGACGACATACAGGACAAAATACAGGACCACATACAGGACAACATACAGGACCACATACAGGACAACATACAGGACCACATACAGGACAACATACAGGACCACATACAGGACAACATACACGACCACATACAGGACAACATACAGGACCACATACAGGACAACATACAGTACTACATACAGTAGCACATAAGGACTAAATACAGTTCCATGTACAAGGCCCCATACTGGGCCATATACAAGACCACATATGGGCACAACATACATGACCAAATAATAAAAAAAATCTCTAACCCTTATTGGGATTTTAATTTATTTCTCTATTTTCCTGATTTTACTTTTTAGTGATAACTAAATAATGAAGTTAAAAACATCTTGTTTATAATTCAGCTTTATAATTACTTCAACAAACATTTCCTTAGAAATCTTCAAATGTGAGATTAAGGAACATTGAAATTACAGATAAATAATGCCTTAAATGTAACCTAAACCCAACCCACATCTTGCTTTTTATTTCTTGAATCTGGTGCATGTTTAATTAAATAAAATGTATAAGCATATTTTTGGTAAATTTACAAAACAGGTATGATAGTTTGGTAATTTAAAAATTAGATTTGTTTGCTTGTGGTTTTCATTTTATGCTAGAAAATAGTTAAAATGATTTTCAAATCTAATCTTATCATAATAAATAATCTATTTCAACATAAACTGATTCAGTTCCATAGAAATCGACTAGTCACATTTTTATGTTTCAGACGGCTCAAGAAGAAATAAGAATCAAGAACGAGGTTTGTTGTTTTCCTGATCAACATTTTTATGTTTTACTGTTTTCTCCTGCTAGGTTTAATTTAGTCACAGACACTTTCTTGTAGTAAAAAAAAGTTAACAGTTTTTATGTTTTAATTTTTTATTCTCCAACATACCCAAGTTCCTTTATATATTAACTGCACTTTTGTGCAATGTGACGTTGTGTAGGGTGTGTTAGTGTGTTCATTTTTACCTACAAATATGCTTAAAATAGCACTGAGTCATCTAATCTACACATATCTTTTTTTAATGGTAGGAAACACATTTGTGTTTAACACTAGACGGGTTGTTGGTTAAGAAAACACTTAAGAAATTTTTTTTTTGCAGAACGATCAAGAGAAAGGGTTCTACTTCGAGAAGGAGGTTTGTTTTTTTTGTTCAGATCAACAGATAAATCTTTGCCTGTTGTTGTTTTTATAATCTCACCCCCTGAAATGTTTAATTCTACATATTACTGTATGTGTACATATTGATGAATCTTAATTTGTAGAGTTCAAAAAGCTACAGTATGCGGCACTTTAAAAATTGATTTAGTATTTCTACCATTTTTGGTTGACATTGCAAGTTTGCAATCATTTTTTAAAAGAAAGAACACAAGCAATGTGCGGCACTAGTGAGAAACTGCACATAATCTTAGATCTATGACTTTAATTATCAGCAACATAAGTCATCCATTTACTGTGTCAACATAAATTTATGCTGCACCATCCCCCATCAATAAGCAATATTGACAAAAAAGACAATTTTACTAAAACAGTTAAATGTAACAATTTTCCTTGAAGCCTGTTTTTGCAGATAGTTGATCCACTATTTCCTGATCATATTTTTTATTTCAGCAAGTAGTGGTTCTAGTTCTGCTGGTGAGTAATTCAGATTTTCTCTCTATTTGTTCAAGCATTCTTGATTTTTTTAAAGAACAAAAATGTTTGAATTAAATATTAAAAAACAAAACAAAAAACCTTTTGGTAGCTGCTACCTTTATAATGCTAAACATTTTGCTAGCTGTTACCATATCATCAAAACTTTCAAACCCTTAGATTTCTTACAATACAAACCCTTAGCTTTCTTACAGTACTGATATCCTTGAAAAATCATAGATCCTAATGCCGTTAAAAACTTAAACATATATTTTTTAATGGTAGGAAACACATCTGTGTTTAACACTAGATGGATTGTTGGTTAAGAAAACACTTTAGAAAATTTATTTTTTTTCAGAACGATCAACAGAATTTTATGTAGAAGAAGAAGCAGGTTTGTTTTTTTTTGTTCAGATCAACAGATAAATCTTTGCCTGTTGTTGTTTTTATAATCTCACCACTGAAATGTTTAACGGTGTTTTGCTACATACCACTGTATGTGTACACATTGATGGATTTTATTTTGTAGAGTTCTAAAAGCTACAGTATGTGGCACTTTAAAAATTGATTTTGTATTTCTAATATTTTTAGTTGACATTGCAAGTTTGCAATCATTTTTTTTAAAGAACACAAGAAATGTGTGGCACCAGTGAGAAACTGCACATAATCTTAGATCTATGACTTTAATTATCATCCATTTACTGTGTCTACAAACATTTGTGCTGTACCCATCCCCCATCAACATGCAATATTGACAATAAGACAATTTAACTATAACAGTTAAATGTAACAATTTTCCTTGGAGCCTGTTTTCGCAGATAGTTGATCCACTATTTCCTGATCATATTTTTGTTTCAGCAAGTAGTGGTTCTAGTTCTGCTGGTGAGAAATTCAGATTTTCTCTCTATTTGTTCAAGCATTCTTGACTTTTTTAAAGAACAAAAATGTTTGAATTAAATATTAAAAAACAAAACAAACCTTTTGGTAGCTGCTACCTTTATAATGCTAAACATTTTGCTAGCTGTTACCATATCATCAAAACTTTCAAACCCTTAGATTTCTTACAATACTGATATCCTTGAAAAATCGTAGATCCTAATGTCGTTAAAAATTCTTTAATAGCTGAAATGATAATTTTTTTGAAGTAAGAGGTTTTTAACTTTTTATTTTTTCAGATGAAGAAGACGAAATATATGAAGAAATATCTGGTAAGATTTTCTTTAACTTTATCTCTTTTTCATTAAACAAACTGAATTTTTTGTGTATGTGCATGTTTAATAAACAAAATGAGTTTGGTTGTAATGGCTGATACTTTTGGTTTGATTAGCTGACCATGTACAGGCATCACATAATAGCACATGCAGGATCACATACACATAACACATACAGACAGCACATACAGGACCATATGCCGACAGCTCATAATGGCACATCTAGGACCATATACAGATAACACGTAATGGTACATATAGGACCACATACAGACAGCTGATAATAGCACACAAAGGGCTAAATACAGATAGCACATAAAGAGTCTCTTGTACTGTAGTAAAGCTATTTTACACTATAGCTATCTAGTGTGGATGCTGATGACGTGGGTATATTTGAAATGACCATAACTGACAATCTCTCTGACTTGAAGACCACTTCCACCATGTTTACTACAACAATGTTTCCATTGATGTGTTGCTCAGCCCCTGTTGTGCTAGACGTTGGGTCACTGATGCAGAAAGCTGGGTTTGCTGGGGAGATGTTCCCATCTGTTGAGATCCCCTCAGTTGTTGGGAGACCCAGGTATCAGGGAGTCATGGTGGGGATGGGCCAGAAAGACAGCTACGTTGGTTATGAGGCAGTGGGTGGCAGAGGTGATCTTTTATACTTTACATTATTTTAAAAAAAATGTATATTGATTAATTAACAATGTTTTGCTTGAACAAATGGATGCTTCTTCATATTGAGAAAGAAAACTTTTTTTTATTTTAAAAGATTAAAACGCTAGAATAGAAAAATGAAACTTAGCTTTGCATAAATTCTTAAACTGTTAACAAAAAGAGAGGAGAGAATCAGAATCATAAATGTATCCAGATGTTTTGACTAAAAGCAGATTTAAAAAATATTTAAATCACAATACTCAAGTCAGCTAACAGAGCTTATATCCAAATTATTTTCCTGCTTTGATAAAACTTTTTAAAATGTAGCACTAAGTCATCTTATATTTAGATTTTAAAGTTTGTACCATAATTCAAGTGTTTTAAATATTTAATTTTTAACGTATTATTTAACAAATACTATTATTTTTTTTCTAAATTTAGCTAAGCCCAAACCTGAATTTGAGAAATCAGTTTTACGTAAAACGTTTTCTACTAAGAGGCTCAATAGTGCCTCAATACGTCCTATTCCTGAAAAGCTTGATAGTGCCCCTTATAGTTTAGGAGCTGTTCCACCACTGCCTATGAGTAGCTTATTTGGATACCTTGCAGAGCAGAGCAGTGACACTCAAGTTTTGGCTGAAGCAAAACAAGTTTATCACAAATATTCAGCAAACAAAAGCTCCAGTATATTTTCTTCTATGAGACCTCCTCCTTTCTCACCTCAACTGCTTTCCCAACCTCCTCCGTCCCCACCTCAAACATTTGCCCCTCATCCTCCCCCACCTCAAACATCTGCCCCTCCTCCACCCCCACCTCAGTCATTTGCCCCTCCTCCCCCACCTCAGTCATTTTCCCAACCTCCCCCTACAAGAAATATCCAACTTATTTCAGACCTTAAAAGCACAAGATCATCACGTCAAGCTTCCCAACTTCAGGTTTCCTCAATAACTAACTCTGCTTTGCCAACTGTTAGTTTACATGATAGATCCATGGGGCTACCACAACTGATTTCAGGCTTTGGTTCAAGTTTAGCTGGGCCCCCAGCACCAACCCAAGCCTCATTTGGTTCAGCTCCAACAGGGTTCCAAGCACCATCTGCAGCTATGTTTGGTTCAACTTTAGCAGGGACACCAGCACCAACTTCAGCTATGTTTGGTTCAACTTTAGCAGGAACACCAGCACCAATCAAAGCCTCATTTGGTTCAGCTCCAGCTGAATTCCCAGCACCAACTTCATCTATTTTTGGTACAAGTTTAGCAGGGACACCAGCACCAACGCAAACCTTGTTTGGATCAAGTTCTACAGAGCCTGAAGCACTATCCCAAACGAATTTCAGAAGCTGTTTAGCAGCCCCAAGGGGTTTAAGGCCTGAAATACCACAAAAACTAGCTGCCTACAAGATGTCTCCAGTTGTCCCAAGATCTCATGAAATCCCTGTGACCTCCATGTCATCGTCAGCTGCAAGGCTAGAAGAACTCTCTTGTTTTTATTCGACTGAGTTGCATTCATACACCCGTGAGCTACCAGCCAAGGCACCAATTCGCAGTTGTTTCACATTGCGTGCATCATCATTATCTGCTAGTACAGGCCATGTTGATCCACATGCTGTAGAAATATTGAAAGGCACATGTGATAGCCAACCATGGCACGACGCAACGCCACATAAAGAAGTGTCAATGAAAAAGAAGAAAAATGTTCCAAAGGGATTTATTGTAGACGAATGTTATGATGCTGGCAGTGACATGCTGATGGAGCTAGAGGATAGCGAATATGATCAACAAATTCTTTGTTGTAATGATGAAATGATGCCCTACTCATATGAAGAAAAGGAGAGAATAACTAGTAAGGAGAGAGAAAGTGTTTTAACATATGATGCACTACCAAGTTTGTTTAATCTGCAGAATGTGGTGAGTAGTGATTTGAGTTTAGCATCACTTTACAGAACTTTTTTGGGATATTAATGAGCATTTTGCTTAACACATTGTCTCAAGTTCAATGTTTTATTATTTCAGAAAGAATGAATTGAAAAATTCACTGATTTTTCCTTTGTTAAATTTAAAAGATTTTTTTTTTAAACTGAATTATTTGATTTTGCAAATGTTTTAAAAAGTACAAATTTCTTTAATAATTTCCTTTTTTTTTCACAGGAAGGGTTTTGGGAATTTGGAGATGATCTGGATAAGCTGATAGGAATCAATAGTGACACTTGCATCGACATACTTATTAAAAGTGGTCTAAGCTCCTTAGGTTTGTCTATATTTGATGGTATTATGGGGTTTTATGGGATTTATGCTGGCCTGATTTTTAATTATTTATTGTCCTGTAAGATTTGGTTATTTAGTTCTGCTGGCCAGATAGTTTGGTTATTTAGTTCTGCTGGCCAGATAGTTTTGGTTATTTAGTTCTGCTGGCCAGATAGTTTTGGTTATTTAGTTCTACTGGCCAGATAGTTTTGGTTATTTAGTTCTGCTGGCCAGATAGTTTTGGTTATTTAGTTCTGCTGGCCAGATAGTTTTGGTTATTTAGTTCTTCTGGCCAGATAGTTTTGGTTGTCTAATTCTACTGTTCAAATAGTTGCTGATGTTTAGTTTAATGGCTTATTTGTAATGACAGGGATGGTCTGATTACTTAAGTTTGTTGGATATATTTTAAAAAGATGATTGAAATTCATGTGTATTGATATAATGTAATTCTCTTGTGAAATTTCTTGTCATCATTATTGAATGGATTATCCTTTCTTCATTAACTTTACCAAAATTAAGGAATAATTAATCTTTTAATAAATAATATTAACAAAACCTGCTTTTTTGAAAAGAAAGATAAACTGACTTCAACCTCTGGATTCCCCAGGTAAGACTGCAGAGACAGAGACCAAGAAACTCCTGGCCACTCTCCTTGTGCTGTTCTCCCTGCTAAAGCTCTCCTGCCCAGAGCTGTGTGACAAGCTCCTGGAGCACCCTCTACCACTGAAGGAGATCGTGCTCAACTTGGGAGAACCTTACATCCATCCTGTGAAGAATGCCATTGAGTTTTGTTTAACCGCGGATAAGAGGTACCCTCTGGTCTTCAGCACTCTGGAGTTGGGTTCTGACTGGGTCAAGGTCGCTGCCCACATGCTGGCCTTCAAATCATCAGGTCAACTCTCAAGTTCAGTTTCCAGCCTGCCACCCTGGGTTGCCATGGAGACCGCCTGTCTCTGAGATACCTGACAACCCTATAAAACCTGAATTTAAATTATGCTAATTATAAAATACCTGTGCTATAAAGTAAGCTATATAGTTTAGGTTTATACTTGACACAGTGCTGACCATACCAGCTTACATGAACCAATAAGCATTGCAGCATCTGCCCCTGTCTTCTTCTTCCTTCTTAATTTTTAGTGTTGGAAGGGATTGAGCCTTATCTGCCAGAGGGTTTGAACTCGTGACTTTTTTTCAAATTTAACAACCATGAGCTTTGCCGACTCGACCACGCTTCCTACACAATTAAGTATACGTGTCGACCACGCCAACCCCTATCTGCCCCTAAGAAATGTCAAGTCTTTGACCTACTTTTTTTCTTGCCACTTTTTTTTAAAATTATCAGCTTTATTTGTGTGTACCATTAAAATGGAATCAGCTTTTACTGTGCCATAGCTCTTTCTTCTTTAACGTTTAAATATAATCTAATTGTATTAGGATTTTTTAAAAATATTTAAATAAACTTTTAAAGTTGATGTCACTTCTTTGTAATTCAGTTGTAGATCTTCTGCCACTCTTAACAATTGCTTAGAAAAAAAAACTTGCATATTTATGACATGTGTCTAATTTTTAAAAATTATACCTATATTTTATATATAGAATAGTATTTGGTTAAATATTACTTTTTGTTGCAGTCGTACTGTAATTTTTAATTTAAAAAAAAATAATAAATTATCTTCTGATTGTAAAAGTGACCTGTATATAAATATAATTGAAGGCATACTAGTTAATAATAATTAGAGTAGTGATAATAATTTAAGATGAATTCTTTTGTAATCTGATTATTAGTTTAGTCTAATGATAATGTTTTAGATGAAAACTTAATGTAAGGAAGTATTAGTATACTGACCCCATTTATTACATGAATATATATATATATATATATATATATATATATATATATATATATATATATATATATATATATATATATATACACGTGTATTCTACTCATTAAAGTGCTTTTGTTAATTTGTTTAGCAGTTGATTCTGAGTTGGTAGTTTTGATCTAATGAGAACACTAGTGCATGTAAACACTTTTAGCTTATGTAACCATCACATACAAAGTTTCAGTACCAGTTTACTAAACTAAAATTGTCAGGTACACTAGGCAAAATTGTCTTGATGAGGTGGCCTACTGTTTCATCCTTGCTCTACTTGAGTTTATAAAGACATCCTTGCTCTACTTGAGTTTATAAAGACATCCTTGCTCTACTTGAGTTTATAAAAACATCCTTGCTCTACTTGAGTTTATAAAGACATCCTTGCTCTACTTGAGTTTATAAAAACATCCTTGCTCTACTTGAGTTTATAAAGACATCCTTGCTCTACTTGAGTTTATAAAGACATCCTTGCTCTACTTGAGTTTATAAAGACATCCTCGCTCTACTTGAGTTTATAAAGACATCCTCGCTCTACTTGAGTTTATAAAGACATCCTTGCTCTACTTGAGTTTATAAAGACATCCTTGCTCTACTTGAGTTTATAAAGACATCCTTGCTCTACTTGAGTTTATAAAGACATCCTTGCCCTACTTGAGTTTATAAAAACATCCTTGCTCTACTTGAGTTTATAAAGACATCCTTGCCCTACTTGAGTTTATAAAGACATCCTTGCCCTACTTGAGTTTATAAAGACATCCTTGCTCTACTTGAGTTTATAAAGACATCCTTGCCCTACTTGAGTTTATAAAGACATCCTTGCTCTACTTGAGTTTATAAAGACATCCTTGCTCTACTTGAGTTTATAAAGACATCCTTGCTCTACTTGAGTTTATAAAGACATCCTTGCTCTACTTGAGTTTATAAAGACATCCTTGCTCTACTTGAGTTTATAAAGACATCCTTGCTCTACTTGAGTTTATAAAGACATCCTTGCTCTACTTGAGTTTATAAAGACATCCTTGCTCTACTTGAGTTTATAAAGACATCCTTGCTCTACTTGAGTTTATAAAGACATCCTTGCTCTACTTGAGTTTATAAAGACATCCTTGCTCTACTTGAGTTTATAAAGACATCCTTGCTCTACTTGAGTTTATAAAGACATCCTTGCTCTACTTGAGTTTATAAAGACATCCTTGCTCTACTTGAGTTTATAAAGACATCCTTGCTCTACTTGAGTTTATAAAGACATCCTTGCCCTACTTGAGTTTATAAAAACATCCTTGCCCTACTTGAGTTTATAAAGACATCCTTGCTCTACTTGAGTTTATAAAGACATCCTTGCTCTACTTGAGTTTATAAAGACATCCTTGCTCTACTTGAGTTTATAAAGACATCCTTGCTCTACTTGAGTTTATAAAGACATCCTCGCTCTACTTGAGTTTATAAAGACATCCTCGCTCTACTTGAGTTTATAAAGACATCCTTGCTCTACTTGAGTTTATAAAGACATCCTTGCTCTACTTGAGTTTATAAAGACATCCTTGCTCTACTTGAGTTTATAAAGACATCCTTGCCCTACTTGAGTTTATAAAAACATCCTTGCTCTACTTGAGTTTATAAAGACATCCTTGCCCTACTTGAGTTTATAAAGACATCCTTGCCCTACTTGAGTTTATAAAGACATCCTTGCTCTACTTGAGTTTATAAAGACATCCTTGCCCTACTTGAGTTTATAAAGACATCCTTGCTCTACTTGAGTTTATAAAGACATCCTTGCTCTACTTGAGTTTATAAAGACATCCTTGCTCTACTTGAGTTTATAAAGACATCCTTGCCCTACTTGAGTTTATACCACAAAAGACATCCTTATTGGAGGATAACATATAGAAACCACAAGTAATCGATCAGAAGACAATTGTTTCAGAAAATGCAATGGTTTTATTCAGTAATCATTTATTTGAAAACTGTAATGTCATTTAGCGATCACAGGTACATTAACACTCCATGATGTTATTAAGAAATCAAATCATGAACACTAAAACCCAAATCAACTGTTTTTTTAGGTCACTGTAATAGTTCTTCAGATGTTTTTCAGATCACATATAAAGCTTCAGGTCAGTTTTTTAGGTTAAGGAGTAACTCGGTTACTCCCCCTTATAAAACTAGAACAGTGGACGGCCCAGACACCAGGACTTTTAACTTTTAAAACCCCAAACAACAACTTTATGGTCAAGCTCCTACATTCAAAAGATAAAGTAACGTCAATTAATAAAATAGTTAAAAATATCTCGTCAAAATGTACTTCAACTCCTGTCAACAGTATAAAGTCATAAAATGACGGAAAGAAAACTTGAATAGTGGAGAAACTAATCATAACATTCTACAAAACCATTTATATCATAAACAGGCTATTTACTGATGAATTCTTATATTAATATCCGATCGCCTCAAGAGCAAGAAATCAATAAGTACGGTAATATTATACCGGCACAGATACTTCAATACAATTTATGAGAAACACTTTCCTTTTCTATTCAGTGAAACGAATCCGTTATTTACTTTAACGGTCGTTAGTGAAGCGGAAATACCTCGCCCCGCCATGTAAATAGATATTGTCGGGTTTTATTAACAGGGGCGGTAAGAGAGACTATACTCTTTTAAAATGATTTAAAACATATGGTGGTTGTGTTCGTTTCAGCATTTCTGCAGATTCCGCTGATTCTGCGCGTGGAAAGCGAACAAAACGTAAATTAATCTTAAGGCTGATTTTAAAATGGTATTGGTAAGCTAGTTGAAACGAAAAATAAATACATTTCCAGCTAATTATTCAGCGACACCTTCACTTAAAATGTAGCTGCATTGAGTTTAGGGTATGCGGGAGTCAAATGTTCATCAGGAGCTTAAGGTATGCGGGAGTCAAATGTTCATCAGGAGCTTAAGGTATGCGTGAGTTAAATGTTCATCAGGAGCTTAAGGTATGCGTGAGTTAAATGTTCATCAGGAGCTTAAGGTATGCGTGAGTTAAATGTTCATTGGGAGCTTAGGGTATGCGGGAGTTAAATGTTCATCGGGAGCTTAGGGTATGCGGGAGTTAAATGTTCATCGGGAGCTTAGGGTATGCGGGAGTTAAATGTTCATTGGGAGCTTAGGGTATGCGTGAGTTAAATGTTCATCAGGAGCTTAAGGTATGCGTGAGTTAAATGTTCATTGGGAGCTTAAGATATGCGGGAGTCGAATGTTTATCGGGAGCTTAAGGTAATTGAAGTATAATACACAATAAAGAGCTATCTCAACAGGGATAACAAAATGGTAATGGCGCTCAGTCTATCGTGAGATTTTAATGCTAACAAGAACTTAGTATTCGGAAGGAGTCTAAGATATGCGTGTAGCTTAATGCAATGCCGGAGCTTAACGTATAACATGCGTCTAATTTTTGGAAAGGCTTCAATCTTTTAGCAGGATTTTAATTGGTAAAAGAAACAGCGAAAGCGATATAACATTTTGTGGAAAATTAATACAAGTCTGGAGCTCAATGTGCATTTGCAGCAAAATTTATATTCATGGCATGAACTTAAACTTGAGGAAAAGCAAAGTTGACGCGAACAGTTTCTTGTCGGGGCCATGTTGAAGGGGACCTTCTTCTTCTTTCTTAATGTTGAAAGGGATTCCCTCCAACACAATTAAATATTACGTGTCCACTTTTTATGCGCCATTGAGGCCATTGACTCCGATTTCAGCCTGCTTTTCTTTTTGGATTTTCTTCCATAGCCGTTGTCTAGCCAAGAACAAACTACAAGACAGCAGTTGTTTGATTTTGGATTTGTCAATGTATAACAAACTAATAAGCTGCTGTCCAGAGCTATAGAGCCCGGGGGTTCGAACTCGAGCCAAATAGTCGGTTTTTTTAGTCGAAGTCCCCCGGACTAGATCATTTTTTCTGTTCGTTTTGTCGAGAGGCTTTTGTTGGTGGCCATATTGATGCACTCCAGCCTTAGAATCTAACAGTTTTGTTTGATGGTTTTGTTCGGGAGTTTTTATTGGTGGCCATATTGATGCTGCCCCAGCCTTAGAATCTAACAGTTTTATTTGATGGTTTTGTTCGGGAGTTTTAACTGCATGCTGTCCAATTACCACAACTTCTGGCCTAGAATAACATCCTCATCTACAACAAATTAAATTCAATAATTTCCTTCCAATTTGACAGAGCTTGCAATTTTCAAATAATTAAATAAGTAACTAAAAGTACTGATGTTATTTCTTTTTTAATTATGAACACCACGAATAGGCCTATTAATTTAAAAGTACCCCACAACAAAAAACAACGCCAATTTAATTAAAAATGTAAAACCCACTACAACAACTTTCATTTGATTAAAAATACTAAAAATAGAAAAAATAAAAACAAGTGGTGTTGCTCAGAAGGGGAGTGAACCCTTCGGAATTTGAGGCCCGACATTTCAAATCGAGAAGCGGCAATATCAAAAAGTATCAATCATTACCGATAAACATTCGCATTGATCACGATCTATTGAAACCGCCGGTTGCTTTGTTGGACTACCCAGTACGCATATCAGTCTGTAATTATACCAACATTCGTCAAGCGCTATCAAAGATTTATTGGCCGCTGGAGCTGAATTAGAAAGTTGCTTGACGCAGGCGCGTCAAAAGTATCAATAAAGGTGTCAT